CTGCGTCATCGGCTTGTTGCTGCAGAACCTGGATCTTGCGCTTCACCGCCTCGATGGTGGTGATCCCGGCCATGGTGCCCACCCAGCCCCTGCTCGCGCTCGGCTTCCTGCCTCCTCCGCTCGGCGATGTAGCCGCTTCTCACCCCCACTTCCGCCTGCTCCTCCCTGAAATACCGGAACTCGCCCACCCGCCCGGATGTGACGTCGCCGCCGCGCCCTGCCGCGCGGGGCCACGGGAGGACAGCCCGCCGCGCAAGCGCGGGGCGGGGCCTTCTGGCGCCAGCAAAGGCGGGCGGGGCTGCGCCGGGGGCGAGCTACCATGGCGACGGCGGGGAGCGTCGCGGTGAAGCCGCTCAGGCCTAGCGGGCTGCGCTCGGGTCCGCAAGCCCGGCCGCGGCCACCCACCGGTCGGGGCACCTTGTGTCCTCCCGCCCCGAGCGCCGCGTGTGCCTCTGCTTCCACTCGCCGCACCCAGGGCCGGGGCTTGCGGGGCCCCTCTTCCGCAGTGCCCCGCTCCGCCCCGTCCTTCCCAGGTCGGCCCGGGGGTCCTCGGCCCCCGCTCGAAAGCGGGTGAGGGGATCGGGGTGGGAGGAAAAGCCGCGGGGCCACTGCTCGTTCCGCGGGGCGTCGGTTAGGAACGAAGCGCCGCTTCCGTCTCGGAGCCGCGCTCTAGCCGGCGCCCTCGAGAGTCGGTGCGGTTTACCCGCCGCAACAGTCCGTCGCTCGGCCTGGTCGGGCGTCGTCGCTGCGCGCCTCTGCCGCTGAGAGGGTGTCCTGCGCCCCCGCTTCACCGGGAAGGAGCCCTCTAGGACGGATCGTTGCTCCCAGGCCCTTGGTGCCGCAGCCCCAGGAGAGCCTCTGCTCAGTGGTGCGGCCCCGGTCCGCGGCCACGGCTGCTCTGCGGTGCCCTGAAGAGCTGTTTGGGATTTGGAAACTGCCTCTCCGGCACCGCCATGCAGGATTCTCGGAAGCGCAAGAGCAGAGACACCTGGAAATGGTGCCATCCCCGCCCTTCGTCTGCACGCCTGCTTCCCAGCGAGCCCTCAGAACAGAGGGCCCCTCCGGTGCAGCTCTCCTTCCCTCCGAATTACGGGCCGGAGAGCACTTCGAGTTAAGAATCCTGACTGCGGAGAGGGCTGGTGGGTAAGATAGGTGCTGCCCTCAGTGCCTGGTCCCGAGGACGCTCCTGCACAGGCTCTGTCTTCCCTGGTTCCTCTTAAAAATACTGAGCAAATGTGGTGGTGTGGAGAAACCAGAGATAAGGGGACCGATCGGACCACCCTGCCCTTTATGATAATCACCTGTGACCCACAAAGAGCAGCCAGCCCCTAAAAAGGAAGGAAGCTGTTGAAGGTGCTCTCAATGAGACGGTAAAAGGATTTAAGTTTCCTGGTTAGCTTTCTACAAAAGACCAACACTTAAAGGCCCTCATTGCCAACCCAAGGACCCCTCTCGCTCTTGAGAGCTTTTTCTGTGTCTTCACTTAATAAACTTCTTACAAACTAAATAATAAAAATCTAAAAAAGTATGAAGCAATGAGCCTGTTGAGAGGAAGCAATTGAGACAGTAAGTAATTTGCTTGATAGAGTAAGCTGTACACTGGTTTCTCTCTCCCACTCCCAGGAATTTGGGAGGAAGAACAAGGTTCTGAACCTTGGTAAACTCTACCCTAATGGCCTAAGAATTTTCCATCTCTTTTTGGAGAAATCTGATCTGAGAGACTATGGAAGCAGAAATGAGACGTTGTCATCTGGGTGGCCATCAGCAGGGGGCACTGTTTACCTCCCTTTGTCCTAGTGACGTTGCGGGAGACCTTATCCAAGACAAACCCAAGGCTGCTAAGAGCACCACTGCATTCCTGAAGCTGGTAGATGTGAACAGATAATCTTCTCTTGATCCAGGGAAACAGGTGGATTGACTCCTGATACCCTTTAAAGGCATGATGGATGGGCAGCAAGAGGCCCAGTGCTATTGTTTTCCTGGTGACCAACAATACAACAATATATCAGCAGGTGTATCTGTCCATCCCTGGCTCTTATCTCCCACCCCTTCCATGTCTGGTATGACCCTATGTTCCAGACATTACACTCTTCTTTCCCCTTGTTTTACGCTAATTAGCTTCTGACTTCACCTCGGGTTGAGAGGACCTTAGACATCGTTGTATAGCACTGTGAATGTTCTTACTGCCACTGAAGTGTACGCTTAAAAATGGTTAAAATGGCAGATGTTACCTGGTTGTGTTGCAGTTCTTTAAAAAAAAAAAAAAAGGACCTCAAACAAATTCAGGGAGGAAAAACAAGTCTAGACCAACCTTGCCAACCCTTTGCCCTTTCTTTGTTCAAGAAATCCTGTGCTTTCCAGAAGAGCTTCTCAGATAGCCAGAACTCACTGTGTGAACATGCACTCACTGACTTGACTCCCTCTCCTCTTATTCCCTTTATATCTGCATCAAAGTCATATGCTCTGTTTGTTCATCTCAGAGGTGGAAGCTGGACTGCGAAGGGCTTGGCCAGTTGTATGGGACAGGGTGCCCTTCCGCACAAAATACACCTATCATGTTGCTGATGACTCTGACCCTTGCTCTCGACTTTAAACCTTGCTGCCTACTCCTTATTCAGCCCTTTTCTCAATTCCTATAAACACTTTCCTTCTTTGATCCTTTGAGGCAGGAATCTCCTGCCTTTTTCTGTAAAAGACCAGACTGTCAGTTTTTCTGGCTTTGCGGGCCCTGGGGGTGTGGTGACTATTCCCTGGTTGGGAGGAAGATGAGAGAGGATATGTAAGTGAGTGGGCATATCATGTTGTGCCAGTAAAACTCTACAGAACTAGGCTGTGACAGGATTCACCTTACAAGTGGGAGTTGCTGACCCCAGCTTTGAGGAAAGAAACCCTTCCTCTTCCGTTTCTTGTTCCCCAGCACACCTCTGCGGGCACTGACTGACTTGTAAGGAAAGCTACCAGGTGCGGGGGGGGGTTAAATGAGGTTTTCCACCCTCATATTACATACTGAAGTGGGTTTTGATGAGTTCCCATACAAAGAGGAGAAATTCCTTCCGAGTGAATCTACCAAGCCCATGCCATCCAGGTGGGGGCGAGAGTGTGTGCAGCACGTTTGCAACAGCTTGGGACAGACAGAATTCATCCTCGGGAAATTCCTTTATCTTCCAAATAAAACTGAGGTATTGTCTAAAGCCTCTGATCTTTCTAGGGCAAACATGAAGTGGAAAGATCTAAGGTTCGACTTTGTTGTTCTCACTGCCCCTAGACACACCACCTCCATCCCGCACGCTCCTTGCAGCCTCCAGACTCTCCCTGAGGGCCATCAGCCAACATCTCGCAAAACTGTTATTAACCTGGCACTGCTGGTTTGAGAAAATTCCTGTCCCTAGATCAGTCCATTGGGGTCCGAGAGCCCTGTCCATGTGCACCTGGAACCCTGGCCAGCCAATTCCAGCAGGCCGTCAGGCATTTGCCCAAAGTTCTGGAGGTAACCTGCGTTCATTGCAGTTTTCCAGCAGTTTTCTAGGAGGGGAGAATGAATAGTTTGCAGGGGACTAAACTTCGGAAACTATGTATATGTATATGTATAATGTATATGATCTACTTTACCTCTGGCCTCCGGTATGACACATTCAACAACCCTCACCGTGTTCCCTGACCCCTGAAAGTGCCAAAAAGCCAAAGAGGAGATGAGAGACCTCACAGCGGAGAGGCCCCATGTGAGTGTTTGGAAGCATTTGTGAATGGCCCAGGTTGAGTCTCCAACTCTTTGCCAAAACCAAATGTGATTTTAAAAAGTATGTGCTCGGGGTGCCTGGAGGGCTCAATGGGTTGGGCGTCTGCCTTCAGCTCAGGTCATAGTCTCAGGGTCCTGGGATGGAGCCCCACATCAGGCGCTCTGCTCAGCAGGGGTCTGCTTCCTCCTCTCTCTCTCTCTGCCTACCTCTCTGCCTACTTGTGATCTCTGTCAAATAAATAAAATCTTAAAAAAAAAAAAAGAAATCTGTGCTCCTTGGGGGCAAACCGCCAAATTAGTCGGTGGAGGTTAAAACTCTTGAGCTCAGGGTCGTGAATGCCAGCCTCAATCTGGGTATGAAGCCTACTTAAAATAACTAAACAAAAATACGTGCTTCTATTTTCCTGTTAACTTAGTGCTAAGAGTTGATGGTATTTCCGTCAATATCAGGACATTTTTTTGTTGCTGTTATGTCGCTTTTCTTCCCAACATCTTTCCTCTGTAGCCTCTCATTTGTCATTGTGCTAATCTTTGAGTTTGAAGATAGAGGGAAGTAGATGGTGCTAGGGGAAACATGAAGTGGAAAAAAGAATTTTATTTCATGTTTGGTTGGGAAAATCCAACCCTGAGCCTAGAGAAGCTGAGTCATAGAACCAGTGCCACAGAGTAAGGTCTGGTGGTGACACTCTTACCCCATAGGGTTCCTTCTTGCTTTACCACGGTCTCTCAGAAAGCCTCTCTGCTGCCCTAGGAGCAGTGCTCCGTGCGGCCTCTCAGCAGCAGTAAGGCAGACACAGTAGCCCTGATAAATAAAGCCATATAGGGCCAGGGTCAGTGTGACCTCTTTTGTCCCATTGTGAAATCGGAGCCGGCTCCATGGGGCAGTTGAGAGATGAGAGTTTCCCTATTAATACACAGACCACTGCGCCAAGTCTTGGACACAAAAGCTAAGAATGTGGCACGGGGGAGGGGGTGGGAAAAGTGAGAGTAGTCTGGACTCCTTTGTTCGGGCCCTGAGAAACCTATAAAATTCCTGGGTGGAAGGTGAGACAAACATCAGACTTCTCCCTGTGCTTAAGAACAAACGTGCGTGCCGTCAGAGTGTGCCGGCTCATATAAGATTGTATGCCGAAATGCATGTGTGTGCGTCTCCGCTCTCTGAACTCCCGCGTATGCACGTGTGCAAGTGTGTGGGGGACGTAGTCCTACCAGTGCGGTGCTCTGCACGCGTGGACCAAACCCCTTCCGTCTCTCCGGCACTCACGTCAGCGGCCTTCTTCTCCGCCAGCTCCAGCTTCTCCTGGGCGTCCTTCAGCGCTTCAGAATACTTGTCCAGCTCGTCCTCCGTCCCTTTCAGCTTCTTCTGCATGGCCGCCAGCTCGTCCTCCAGCTGTGGGAGCCCCAGCAGTCACACACAAGACATGCACACAATGGGGCCAGCTCAGACCCGGGGCTCCTGAGCCCTGAGCGGCCTCTGAACCCAGCCTCAATGTTACCAATCCAAAAGAGACACGCTTTCTCCCCAGCCACTCCCAGCCAACTGCCCCAGGACTTGTGCCTTGACATGTGACCCTGGGATCTCTGACCCTAAGATGACCAAGCCCTGCTGGATTTTCCTCGAAGACCCTGGGATGGGAAATGTCTTAGGGAGTAGGTGCCTGTGACTCCAGTTAAGGCCGGCTCCGTCAGTAGAGCTATGTGACTCTCGATGTCAGGGATGTAGGTTCAAGCCCCACGTGAGACGAAGAGATTACTTAAAAATACCATCTTTAAAAAAATGTTTTTTAAGGGAAAAGAGATGCTACGTGCCAAGCTCCCACCTTTTCCTCTAGAAATCGGGTCCTCCCAAAACATGACCCCCCCATTTAGATCCAGCAGACACACCATGGCTCAAAGGGGGCTACTGGTTTCCCAAGGTCACGCAGGCTGTCTGGGACAAACACCCTAGATGTTCCCTGTCTATCCAGGGAGGTTAGGAAAGAAGAGGGTCTCTCCCACCCAAAGAACAAGCAGACACAGGCGCTCACTGCCTCTGCCCCAGAGCCCTCCACCTGCCCGTCTTGCGCGCCCGCAGGCAAGAGAAGCTGACGGGCGCCCACCTGCTTACTCCTCTCTTCCGCCTGCTTCTGCTCAGCCTCGGCTTGTTCTGCCCGGTCCAGAGCATTCTCCTTGTCCAGCTTCAACATCTGCATCTTTTTCTTGATGGCCTCCATTGTGAGCAGTGGCTGTTGGTGAGCTGACCTGTGAGCACTGGAGAACTGGAGACCGAGGGCAGAGAGGAGGGGCTGCTGCCTGACCGACTAGGCGTCCCCCAGCCTTAAGCCTTTATCCCTACTCCTGGCTCCACCTCTGGTTCCTAATATGGTCTTTCTAGCTCCTTCCATCCCGTTATTGTTCTCCCCGGGGAGCGCGGGGTGAGACACTTTGATGGACTGACATCACCAGCAAAGAAGAATTAGGGAACAGCTGAGGCTGATTTTAGACAATGGAAAGTGGGGGAGGGTAGAGGTTCTTCCTGACCCTGAAACTTTCCACTCTCAGGGCAGCTCTCTGGGTGTTCTAAAAGGCAAGGGCAGGGGAGAACACTGAAATAGAGAAGGGTACTTGGGCAATTCCAGATCAGTGGTTCTCCCCCAGAGTGTCCTTCTGTTTCCCGTCACCTCCCCCTGCCTGTGTTGGGTGGCAGTCAGACTCCGTTGGCTGAATTCTACCTTTTGATTCCCAGTGTTCGGGGACCTTGAGCTCCAGTGAAGACGGAGGTCACTCGTGATCCTCGACAATTCCCCCGGATCCCCAGATCAAGTTACTGTGCTATTTCCAGAGTCTCTAATTGGCAGGGAGACCTCATTCCTCCTCCTCTAGAGCCACAGGGTTGGAGTAAACCGAGAGGGTTGGTATCTGGAAAGCTCTCCCAGAACTTCAAGTGGGGTAAGGGAGAGAAGCAGGGGAGGGTCCCCGTCATCTGGGTCGGATCATGCCCTCTGTTTGCCCACTGTGATCTTTAAGTAGAACTTCCCTGCGCCCCCAGCCAAGCTCTGTCCGCTGTCCACTCTGCCTGCTCCCGGCTTCCTCCTGACCCCCGCCCAACCCACTGCCATGCTCGCAGCACGTATGTCTTCATCACCGTCTCTGTTCTCCCGGGCCTCCCTAGACCAGGTCATTCCTCCACTCGGAGCCTGTTACTGACAGGTGGCAACTGATCCTGGGGCGCCAGGGGAGAGGTGGGCCCCGCTCAAGGTGACAAGGTGGGCCATCGGAGAGGAGTGCGAGGGGCTCTAGCTAGTCATTATGTCAAGGATCGCTAGCTCCTGGTAGCACTGAGGCCCAGCAGCGGGGTAACTGAGACCCCCACCGGGTCAGAGGGCAAAACTGGAGCCCACTCGTGAGAGCTTCCAGTCACTAGAGGTATGGGCAGAGAGACCATCGGTTCATCCTGAAGGACAGCAGAGAAGCCGAAGACCCTCCATGCGGGACGTGTGAGTGAGGAGCAAGGAGGTCCCAGGGACGGGACGCAGCAGTTAACACGGGTGTGGGGAGTGTTGGATACGGAGGGCAAAAGTACAAGGACAGAAGGTCAGAGAAACATCCCTTCCGGTATACAGGAAAGATGCAGGGAAATTCGATCTTCAAATTCCGGTTCTCGTGCTCCCACACTAGCCTCCAGCTCAGGACTGAAATGCACGGAGTCGCCACCACTGCTTTTCCAAAGGGTCTTGGAGAGATGAGGTTGGGTAAAGGAGCCCCAGAGCCCCAGAGGCTGATGCCAAATTGCCCACCTCCGTAAGAATATGTTCGATATTTAGTTGGTTCCTAATTAAACAACCCAATATCAAACATATCACACAGAAACAGGCAGGAGAGCCTCGGGGGTCATCTCCCTTCCTCCCCTCCAGCCACCAAGCATGGCTGGATGGCAAGCCATCTCCTCAGGGAAGGACACTGCCCCCTGCTCTTCCCCTCCCAAGACAGCTGGCTCTTACTCTGGTGCCTCGTGCTGTCCCTGCGTCACCCCTCCCTGTCGGTGCCTGGCCTTTGCTGGATCACGTTCGCCTAAACCAGGAAGCATGTCTGGCAGGGCTCCACGTCCGGGCACCTATCCTTTCCCAGGGCTCCCACACAGAGCTTCTCCCCATGATGTCACGACCACAGCGCTGAGAGCCGGCCCGGCCTCCTGCTGTCCTCAACCTCCTTCCCACTGCTCTGAGGCTTTCCGGGGGAGGGGGTAGGCGGCTTGCACACCCTGCTTCACCTCTCCAACAGAACTCCCGACCTTCCAGATCACCCCCAGCAGACCGCTGAGAGCCTTTGAGCTGACGCCCTCCCGGACTCCTCCTGTTCCTAAGTATTACAGAGAAGTAGCCCTGAGGAACTTCGAGAAAGTTCGGCTGCTTCCTCCCATCACCTTGTCCCTTCTCACCTTCTCCCCATGTCTTCCAGGCATCCTTAAAGTCACCGTTGGATGTCCAGAAGAGAAGAGTGACCTGTCTCCTTGGTAGCCTCCAGCCTGGGCTCCAGAGCAGATAGATGTCTGGTCTCTCCAGCCCGGCAGGATGGACTCAAGGGAAAGGCCCCACTCTGCCGGGAGGCAGCCCGCCATCCTTAGGGCTCTTCTCTTCTGGGGATTTTACACTGAGAACTCCTGGCCTGGCTTCTCTAAGGGTCTGCCCTCATGGGGATCCAGCTGTGCTCCTTTCTGGGGGATTTTCTCTTCTGAAGAAGATCAGGTCTGTTGGCTGTTCTGTGGCAGGCTGATGCTCCTCACCACTGTGGCAGAAAAGAGCCCAAGTTATAGCCTCGCCGGGTGGGCAGGGGGCTTGGGTGCAAGTGCAGCAGTGGGAGGAGTGTGCTGTGCTTCAGCCCCGGGCTTGTTCCATGTGTCCTTGTTCCCATCAGTCTGGATTCCCGCCCCCCTGCAACACATACAGCAACCCCACAGTGCCCTTGATCGGAATCAATAGTTTGTCCAAAGCCCTAGTTGATCCCTGTTGTGTGGCTCCGGCTGCCCAGGGGAAGACAGACAAAAGGGTCTCCAAGCCCACGGTGGCCCTGTGCTGTTGTCTTACGTCCTCGCTACTTCATGGCTTGTACTGGGGATGTGTAAGTTTTGCTTGTGACCATCTTTCCTACCCTTGCCCCCACATTTAGTTTCCTTCTCCGGGAACTTTGATTTCCCTGGCAAACCAGAGGCTGGGAAATGATGAGCAGGAGGTAAAAGGATGAGGCCGAGACTGGGAATAGTATTGACGTACAAGAGGAGATGCTTTCTTAGGAGGCATTGACTTTGGGGCATAACTAAGCAGAAGCATTGATGGCATCTTTCTAGCTCTCCTGGAGTGGTTTCCATGCAGCCATTTTGAACAAGGCCAAGCCCCTCTAAGCCAGAGCAGACAGGCGAGGCAGCAGCCGTAGAGGAAGACGGGATGGATGGGTGTGATGGGCTGAAACCCTCAGCTGATGTGATGAGAGCAGACAGAACCGGTGGAGGGGATCAGAGGAGATGGGCTCCCAACGGGCCAACCTGCCAATACAGGAGCCAGCCTGGCACTGACAAGCCCTGGGGAGAGAGGCCAAGGTCAGGATCAAGGCAGAGGGGGCGGGGTGTCCCGTGGGTCCCAGTGGACAGAGGAAAGAGAAATAAAGAAATTGCTGAAAGAGTGTGGTGGTGGGTGGGGAGCAGCCAGGAGACGCAGGGGAAATGAAGAGGGAAAGAAATATCCTAGGAGAGGAAATCGTCATTATGGCATTGGACATTAAGTGCTACCGTGTGAACGGAGGCATCGTCTCCATTTTATCATCAAGGAACTGTGACTCAAGGCAACTCGCCCCAAGCCAAGCATGCAGTAAGCGATAGACACAGGGTTCAAAGCCGGATCTGCTGTGGTCTCCAGAGGCCAGGCTCTCCTAGATCCGCTGTGCTCCCCCGAGGCCAGGCTCTCCCGGAGAATGGGAGCCGCATAGCCGGCTGGGAGGCGGCCGCAGGTGGATGACAGACATGGAGGGACGTGGGAGCCATGGGGGACAGGCCACGTGGGAGACCTAGCCTCAGGCTGGGGTCAGATCCAGGCCACGTGCTCCTGCTTCTGTCCCTTAGAACAGGGTCACCACCCCTTCCTTCCTCCCTCCCTCCTTCCCTTCCTTCTCTCTCTCTTTAGGGAGTAGAGGGGAGGGGGAGAGGCAGGGGGAGGGAATCCTAAGCAGACTCCCTGCTGAGGACGCAGGGTTGGCTCTCACAAGCCTGAGACCATGACCTGTGAGGAAATCAAGCCAGTCGGATGCTCAACCGACTATGCCACCCAGGAGCCCGTCGCCTGCCTTCCTTGTCCACGTCTGACCCCCCACCCAGCCCATGAGCCCCATGTCTTGTTGGTGCAAGAGCTTGTGAGTCATTGACTAAAGATGCTTGGGAAGCGGGGCTGAGGGCAGCTGGCTGACGAATGGATGCCCAGGCTGGAGAGGCGGGCATGGCATCAGGGACAACTTGGCTGCATAGAGAGTGGCCAGGGGCTGGAGAGGGGCCTGCGAAGGGTCTGCCTGGGTCACAGGGAAGTCTGAGAGGGAAAGGGAGGGTACCCGCTGTTGGGCACGCACTAAGCTTGCTCTCTACACACCTTACGTTATTTCATTCTCATAAAGCCCCTGTGACAGGGGTGTTACTTTCCCCACTTTCAGAAGAGGAAACGTTCAGAGAAGTAACTTACAGAAAGTGACTACTAAGGGATGAAACCGGACTCTGAGCCCACACCTGACTCTAAACCCGTACCCTCCTCTGCACCCGCTGGCTCTCTGGGACCCTCGGCGGGATGCGGAGCAAAAAACGCACGCTGGAGGGCGGGCGCGGGGCGGGGAAGGGGAGGTGGGAGGCCTGCGGTGCGCACAGCCCCCCGGAACGGGGGCGGGATCCGTGTGGACAGCACGAGGGGGCAGTGAGGATGCAGACGGCACGTGAGGGACCAGGGAAGTGAGCCAGGTGGTGCCCCCTCACCTGTCACCCCCGTCGCCCCGTCGTCCCCCGTCACCCTCGTCACTGGCTGCGCAACAGGGAGCTCCCAGGCCTGGGATCTCATTTTATGGAAAGTGGATCTTCGTGAGCAGAGCTCGGGGGGCTCCGGACGCGCGTGCCCGGCCGGCGCTCTGCGGAGCTCTGCGGGCGCTGGGTGCTCCGGACGTAACGCGCTCTGGACGGCCCCCCAAACCTCACTGCTCCTCGCTTGCCGGACCCGCCGGCCCACCGGCCTCGCCTCGGTGACACCTCGGTTCGGGACCTTGTCCGTTTGCGGGGTGGTGGGGAGGTAGGAATTCGGGTCCAGGGGAGAGAGACCTGTCCTGGGCCTCCCGACACGCGGCCGCGCGCCGAGCGGCGGGTCCCGGACGGACGCGACCAGAGAAGTGAGGCCCGAGAGGCAGGAGCACGACCCAGGGAGCTGTTTTCGTATTTATGGCCACGAATTAACACAGTTCAGAGAAACGGAGACTCGGGACCGAGGGACGAGCGTCTGTCCGCGCGCGCGCCGCTCCGAGCAGCTCCCGATGCGCTCAGAGTCTCTCCACGAAGCGCGCTCTGCCGCCCTCGCCGAGCTCCCGCTGCCACCGGCGCTGCTCCGCTTCCAGCAGCGCGCGCAGGGCCGCCCGACGGGCCTGCGGGCGGGGGCGGGCGGGGCGGAGAGTGAGGCTGGCCTTCGGCTGACCCTCGCTCTCGTCCTCCCCCTGCTGGCTTTCCGGCTTGTGTCTTCGATTGGCACTTAGCTGTGACAAAAAGCTGGGCAGTAGCGTGCAGGGTGCCCGTGGCAGGGAAAGCCCACCCGCGTTTCCTCCACGGCCAAAGCCCCGTGTCCAGCAGACAGCGACCGAGAGCACCGTGAACGGTGAGCTCTGCTGGGCCCCTGGGGTACAAAGATGACATCATGCGGGCAACTGGGACTCCGGGGAGGAGGGCGTCTCTAAGAGGCAGGTGCTGCACACTGAGATGAGGGGAGCAAGGACTAGCCCGCCCTCTGCGACCTGAGAATGTGCCACCTGCGGCTGAGCGCGAAGGGGCATTTAATGAAAGAGTCGCTGCTCTGGAACACCACGGATAAGGTGGGCAAGCGATGGCAGCAACTCAGAGTCCGGGAGCCCAGTGGGCATCAGCACAGGGCAGTGACGGATGAGCCTTCTGGTCCCCCTTGCTAGAACTCACCATCAGGAGTTGCTTGTTGGCCAGCGCCAACTCCTGTCCCAGGGTGTCCTGCAACCTCACGGTAGCATTCAGGTTTCTCCTCTGGCTGAGTGTCGTCTGCCACAGACAGCGAGCGTGCGAGTTTCGCCACCTGCCCCAGGGACAGAGGTAGGAGCCGGATGGGTTAGTTGGGAGTGGAGACACAAAACCCCTCGGTGAGGCCCAGGGCCTCCGGGCCAGTGTCAGAGGATGGAGAGCTCCTTGAAAGGGTAACCAGAGCTAACTTGGAACCTGGGATGTGTTGAAGGAGCCATTTAATCATCACGACAGATGACTGTCACAGAAACCAGCGTCTGCATTGTGCCGCAGGGAAACAAAGTTCAGGTGAGCTGCCCAAGGTTGGTCACTTAGTGGCAGGTACGGGTATCAAAGTCTGTCTAAGAATTGATACCTTCTGTTATACCCTGATCCTCAACCTTAGCTAGACACGTTCTGGAATCATTTGCTAAGGTTTTGTTTTTTAGATTTTATTTTTAAGCGATCTCTACACCCAGTGTGGGGCTCAAGCCCACAAACCCAAGACCAAGAGGTGGGCGTGCCACCACCTGAGCCAGCCAGGCGTCTCCAAGGTTGCTTTTTTTTTTTTTTTTAAAGACTTCATTTATTTGAGAGAGAGAGAGGAGGGGTAGGAACAGCGTGAGAGGGACAAGCAGACTCCATGCTGCGCACAGAGCCTGACTTGGGACTTGATCCCAGGACCTGGAGATCAGGTCCAGAGCCCAAATCAAAAGTCAGCCACTTAACAGACTGAACCACCCGGGTACCCCTAACACGTAAGAGGAGTATTTATTTCTTACACAAACACACACACACACACACACACACACGCTCTGCTTGGGTAAAACCCTGTTGAAAAAATTTTTTAAATATTTTATTTTCAATTTGTTTCATGGGGGAGGGGCAGAGTGGGAGGAGAGAGAAAATCTTTAAGATTTTATTTATTCATTTGTCACAGACAGAGATCACAAGTAGGCAGAGAGAGAGGAGGAAGCAGGCTCCCTGCTGAGCAGAGAGCCGGATGTGGGGCTCGATCCCAGGACCCTGAGATCATGACCTGAGCAGAAGGCAGAGGCTTTAACCCACTGAGCCACCCAGGTGCCCCTGGAGAGAATCTTAAGCAGATTCCACCCTAAGTCCAGAGCCTGACATGGGGGGGGGGGCAAACCCCCCGGATGTAGTTTCAAAATTTTTAGGGATTTTTTAAGCCAACTGCCAAAAAAAAATTTTTTTTTTTCTTTTAAGATTTTATTTGTCAGAGAGAGAGACAGAGAAAGCACGCACACAAGCAGGCAGAGCGGCAGGCGGAGGGAGAGAGAGAAGTAGGCCCCCCTAGAGTAAGGAGCCTGATGCAGGACTCGATCCCAGGACTCTGGGCCATGACCTAAGCCAAAGGCAGCGGCTCAAGGCTCAAACGACTGAGCCACTCAGGCATCCCAAGAAAGAATTCCCAAGGAAGTACTCTTGATCTGTCTCTGGTACAAAGGGCAGTTTTATTAACGCAGGGGAGGGCGGTGGAGCGGGTGTGAGGACTGGCTGAGTATATACTTGGGAGTTCAGGGAGGTTTTCAAAAGGACTTTCATATGCTAAAGAGATCCTACAAGAGGCCTCGCCTTTGTCAAGTTAAGGTTTTTCCCTCTAGCAAGCCATTAACAGGAAGACAGTTGGGAGTTTCCCCATGGAAGTTAGGTTATTGATAATAATGCTTTTTTCTTGTAAATCACTAAGGCATTCATAAACTGAGGGAGACTCCCATCCTCCCGGGTGTGATCACTGTAACTTGAACCGTTTGTTTTCCTTCCCTCCCTTCAGAGCCGCCAGGACTGCCTAAGGAATGTTTCACGGACCCACAGGACGGAGCTTTGTCCTCCTCTTCCCTTCTGCTCCCTCGTCATCAAGACCCTGAGATATCAACACGAGCCAAAATAAAAGAGTCTGACATGGAACCAACTGAGCCACCCAGGTGGCCACTCAAGATTTTTTAAGAATTCTTATTTATTTATTTATTAAAAAAAATTTTTTTTAAGATTTTATTTATTTGACAGAGAGAGATCACAAAGCAGGCAGAGAGGCAGGCAGGAAGCAGGGTCCCAGCCGAGCAGAGAGCCCGATGCGGGGCTCGATCCCAGGACCCTGAGATCATGACCTGAGCCAAAGGCAGCGGCTTAACCCACTGAGCCACCCAGGCGCCCCAATTTTTTTAAAGATTTTATTTGACAGAGATCACAAGTGGGCAGAGAGGCAGGCAGAGGGCTGCCCGGGGGCTGGCGGTGGGTGGGCAGGAAGCAGGCTCCCCGCTGAGCAGAGAGCCCGACTTGGGGCTTCATCCCAGGACTCTGGGATCATGACCTGAGCTGAAGGCAGAGGCTTTAACCCCCTGAGCCACCCAGGCGCCCCAAAATTTTCATTTTTAAATTATCTCTACACCCCTGGTGGGTGAAACTCACAATCCCAAGACCAAGAGTTAATTCACATGCTTCACTGACTGAGCCTGCCAGGTGCCCCCGCCCTGTTGAAACAAACAAGTATTTTTTTAACAGAGGATAGAAAAAGAAACCCAGATAGAAATACACAAAATGACAGTTGCAGTTGTGTTCTCCAAGTTCCTGTCTCCCTGCCCACGCTGCCCGGATGGCCTCCCAGAACCGAGACCCAGCTGCCACCAGCGTTGCTGCGGCCAGCAAAGGAGCCAAACCCAGAGCAGGGTCCCGTGGGCAAGAGGCTACAGCAGCAGTTGATGACCCTCATGATGTCTGGCAGCAAAGGAATCTCTGCCTTCCCTGAATCAGCCCTTTTTCAAACGGGTGGGGCCCATCGTGGAGCAGCTGGCCAAGTCTATGAAGACATGAGGTGTAAGTTCTTGGGGTTTCCCCAGTGGTTCCACTTATAATGCCCCCATGGTCAAGTGCCTCCCGTCCTGCTAGCACCCCAGCATGGACATCCAGGGCAGCATCTGCCTAGACATCCTGAAGGACAAGTTCTGCCCTGGCTGATGTCAGGACCATCCTGCTGTCTGTCCAGAACCCGCTAGAAGAAACCAACATCCATAGCCCTTTGGTTAGCGAGCTCTAGAAAAAGCCATAGCCTTTGAGAAGTATCTGCAAGAAACCTACTCAAAGCGGGTCTCCAGCCAAGAACGCTGTGTAGCTTCTCTCCTTGTCTTTTCATTTCTTCCTTAGATGTTCTGCCCTTTCCTTCATTTCTGTCTAGGATTTTGTTTCTTAAGCTGTGGTATCCTTTTTTTCTGTTTCTGTTTTTTTTTTTAATTAAATCTTTGGTTGAACCCTTGTGATGAATCTATTCAATATATACACTGGGTTTTTAAAAAAAAAAAAGATGCCTGGATGGCTCAGTAGTGAGTACGTGACTCTTGATCCTGGGGTTGGGAGTTCAAGCCCCACGCTGGGTGTAGAGATTACTTAAAAATAAAATCTCTGGGGCGCCTGGGTGGCTCAGTGGGTTAAACCTCTGCCTTCGGCTGAGGTCATGATCCCAGGGTCCTGGGATTGAGCCCGCCCCCCCACCCCCGCTTTCTCCTGTCTGCCTACTTGTGATCTCTGTCAAATAAATAAAATCTTAAAAGTAAATAAAATATAATCTCTGGGGTGCCTGTGTGGCTCAGTTGATTGAGTGTCCGACTCTTGAATTCAGCTCAGGTCCTGAACTCAGGGTTGTGAGACTGAGCCTGACGATGGGTTCCATGTGGGGCGTGGAGCCTGCTGGAGATTTCTTTCTCTCCCTCTGCTTCTCCTTCTCCCTTCCTCAAATAAGTGAATATATTAATGATATATTGTTATATATTATTATACTATACATATTAATTATATATTAACATTAAATATATGAAATGAGAAGTGAAAGCTTTTTTTTTTTTTTTTTAAGATTTTATTTTTTTGTCAGAGAGAGAGAGAGAGTGTGAGAGTGAGCACAGGCAGACAAAGAGGCAGGCAGAGGCAGAGCGAGAAGCAGGCTCCCTGCTGAGCAAGGAGCCCGATGTGGGACTCGATCCCAGGACACTGGGATCATGACCTGAGCCGAAGGCAGCCGCTTAACCAACTGAGCCACCCAGGCGTCCCGTGAAAGCTTTTTCTGCCCCAGTTCTCAACAGTTATGTTTCTTGTGTATATTTTCCAGAAAAAAAAATTTTTTAAAGATTTTTATTTATTTATTTGACAGAGATCACAAGTAGGCAGAGAGGCAGGCAGAGAAGAGGGGAAGCAGGCTCCCCGCTGAGCAGGGAGCCCGATGCGGGGCTCGATCCCAGGACCCTGAGATCATGACCTGAGCTGAAGGCAGGGGCTTAACCCACTGAGCCACCAAGGTGCCCCGAAAATTTTTCTATCATATACCAGTAAGAATAGTACTATCACCTTTTTACTATGAATCCATATGGTTACATAAGTTGTATTACTTAACAATTTGGACTTTTCCTACCGGCACATAGAGATTTGCTTCTTCCTGTGTAAAGGCTGGCATGTTTATGTCCTAATTTTACCAGCTGGACAGTTTGTACTTTTTAATTTTTTTTGGTTTATTTCTTTTGAAGTCATCTCTACACCCAGCTCACCACCTGGAGATCAAGAGGTGCCTGCTCTACTGACTGAGCCCGCCGGGTGCCCCCTTTCCCACTTCTGTCAGCAAGGCCGTCTGGAGCACGTGGTGCGGCACCTTCTACAGCTCTCACAGGTGTGCATGCGTCAGGCCGACCAGACGTACCGTTGCCGGTTCTGACATGTGAATTTTGAGATCTTCAGCTTTGATAGATTTCATCGTGTCTTTGTAAAAAGGCTCCATGAGTCAGGACTCCCACTAAAATGACATGCACTTGCTCCCTCACGTCCTTGCTGGCTCCTGGTATTAATTATATATTAATAACCTGTGAAACCTTTAAAAATGGGCCTCTCCTACCTGATCCCAGGCCACCACAGTCAGTGGCTTTCGGGTTAAGACCTGAGCACCTGTGTTTCAAAAAGTTCCCAGGTGACGGAGAGACATACAGCCTCATCTCCTCACTCACTCACCACGTACACACCGCACACCTATCACATGATCAACACAACAGATACTTGCATTTTACTTAAAAAAATGAACACAAACTTTATCTGATTTTCCTTCAGGCAACAGACAGACCGATAATAAAAGCACTGTGTGGGTAGCACGACCTAGGGGCACTGGGAGGCCGTCCCTGCAAAAGGCTGCTTCTCCCCGCCCCCCCCCCCCCCCCCCCCCCCCCCCCCCCCCCGCACACCTGGTTCCTTCTTGAGGAGTCCCAGACAAGGATGGTATCTGAGCGGTGGCTGCAGCGGGGACACAAGGGCGACAAGATCAAGTTGAGGGGCAAGGGAAGGGATAGAAATAGAAACTACCTGTCAGCCATCTTCTTAAATCTCAGGACCCTTTGAAAATCCTGCAAAAAAAAGCAAGTTTCTCGTCTGGCTTGATATCCAGCACCCGACCCGCGCACCCTTCACGTGGACCTCTCTGCTGACAGGAAACCGTCACTTCCTCGGGACGGGAGAGCAAGAGCACTATTCCTTTCAGAAGGGACCAAAAAAATCATGCAGGGAAGAGCTGGTATGCAGCAGCCAGCCGTTACCTCAGGGGCCCCTCAGGGGAACTGCCTCTGGTCAACCCAGCCCCCTTCCAGCTCTGTGCACCTCTTCGACTTTTGTCACCTTTCCCACAGACATGTCCACAAGCTGGCGGGACACAAGCTCAGGACATGAAGCAGGATCTACCTTCTGTCTGGTCGGTCACCCAGGATTCAGCAGTCATGGCAACACATTTACCTCCAACAACATACCCCACGCCTAGGACTTGATTGGTCACCTTGCGTTGCCCCGGAGAGCTTAAGAGAATCCTGGTTCTCCTGTCTTCTATCAGTGACAGAGGCAATTCTAGGAGTAAGGTCCAAAGTTCCTATTTTAAGGTTTCTTCTGTGGGGTCCCGGCATGACCCTAAGTCCAAAGGACATATCCTAGGCCTGTTTCATTAAAAGGCAACTACAGGGCACCTGGGTGGCTAAGTAGGGTAAGCATCCGACTTTTGATTTCGGTTCAGGTCATGATCTCAGGGGGCAGGAGACTGAGTCCCACATTGGGCTCTGCTCTCAGTGGGGAGTCTGCTTCTCTCTCTCTGCCCTCCCCCTGCTCATGCACATGTACATTCTGTCTCGAATTAAAAAAAATGGGGCACCTGGGTGGTTCAGTCATTCAGCGTCAGCCTTTCGTTCAGGTCATGATCCCAGGGTGCTGGGATCGAGCCCCTCATCGGGCTCCCTGCTCCGTGGGAAGCCTGCTTCCCCCTCTCCCACTCCCCCTGCTTGTGTTCCTTTTGCTGTGCCTTGCTTTCAAATAAATTTTAAAACAAACTATAAAGAAATCAATCATATACTTTTTAAATTGTTCATTTTATTAAATAATCTAGAATGTCAGACCAGTGCATTGGTCTGACATTTCTTCCCTGTCCCACAGCATCCCCAGGAAGTATAGGGGGATGGGATTATGTCAGGCTCCAGCGTTCCCTTTATTCAAGACAGTATGGAAAGAAAGCCCAAAGGCAGATCCTTGCATATCAGGAAAGCCATGTTAATCTTTCTACCAACCACCTCTTAAGATGTCTCAAACCCAAATGGTTCCCACTAAAATATGTAGAAAGGGGCAGACATGGAAGACACCAGGCCCCACCATCCCAACTCTCACTCTTAGGATTATTTATAGTTTGGAAAAGGGGAAAAAAACCAGATGAACTATAATAAAAACCAAGTGAAGATTTTAAAGAAAACATTGATGGAAACATTAGAAAAACATCTGAATTCAACTCCGGAAAAAAGTGCTACCAAGGGAAAATAAAGTCCTGATTTCCTGAAATGGGCTCTAAGAACCAGCTGGAGAATGATCCTCCAGGCATGAACCCTAAGAACTCTGGACACTGTAGCAGGTCAGCAGACCTGGGCCCACCAGCCACAGGACGAGGCCACGGGCCCCAGTGGCGGCAGCAGCAGCAGCCAGCAGCCCATCACAGAGTACTTTCCAGTGTGTTATAGTTGTCCTTAAAGCTCTTCAGTTCAAGGAAGTGCTTGGCACGTTTACTCTTCTGACTGGAGGGGAGGTATGTCACCTGGATGGTCGCCGGCGAGACTTCAGGGGACTGGGTCAAGTCTTTGGCAGCGGACTGGTGCTGTCGTTGCGAACTCCCACTTCGCGCTTTGACCCTGGAGCACATAGAGAGGGCAGCTTAAGGACAGAATGAGGACTAACACAATTTAAGGCTCATCCATTCTATAAATGTAGCTATAGCTGCAAATGACCCCTGCTCTTGTCCTACCTTCTAAACTAGTTACTAAAACCCCATCTGATAGCTTAGAAGTAGCAGAGAAACCAATTTTCCCACGGAGTCCGTGACTCTGGCTCAACATTTTCATTTCACTATGAAGAAAACTTTTAATTCTGCTGATTTACCTACTTTTGTGTGTTGCAAATATACTCCCAGTCCAAAACAGTCCCTTGAAAACTGAACAGCAAAAAATAAGAAACTCAAGTAGCTACTGAGTACTTATGACACATTACATTAGACTTGGTGTTTTACCAACATCTAATTTACTGACATCCCAGTATCTCTGTATGGTGGTAACATCCTCATTTTCCAGGTTAGGAAACTAAGAGGCCCCCTGCCTGAGGTCACAAAGCTATCAAGTGACAGAGTTGGGGGGCACCTGGGTGGCTCAGTGGGTTAAGCCTCTGCCTTCAGCTCAGGTCATGATCTCAGGGTCCTGGGATGGAGCCTCGCATTGGGCTCTCTGCTCAGTGGGGAGCGTGCTTCTCCGTCTGCCTACTTGTGATCTCTCCCTCTCTCTGTCAAGTAAACAAATAAATCTTTAAAAAAAAAAAAGTGATAGTTGGGTGCTAGTCTGTTGGATTTTGGAGCCCACTCTCTTCATCACTCATTGCAACTTTCTCACTGAAACCAGCAACCAAGGACTGAATTTTTATTTTTTATTAAAGTATTTATTTGACAGAGAGATCACAAGTAGGCAGAGAGGCAGGCAGAGGGAGAGGGGAAGCAGGCTCCCTCCCCGCTGAGCAGAGAGCCCGATGTGGGGCTTGATCCCAGGACCCCGAGATCATGACCTGAGCCGAAGGCAGAGGCTTAACCCACTGAGCCACCAAGCGCCCCTTATTATTTTTAAAGTTCATTTATTTTCTAAAAAGATATTTGACAGAGATACTGCGAGAGAGGGAACACAAGCAGGAGGAGTGGAAGAGGGAGAAGCAGGCTCCCCTTCTGAGCAGAGAGCCTGATGTTCATTTATTTCAGTAATCTCTACACCCACTATGGGGCTTGAACTGGAACTCAAGACCCCAAGGTCAAGAGTCAAGTGCTCAGCGTGCCTGGGTGGCAGTCAGTGGAGCATCTCTTGGTTTCGGCCTAGGTCATAATCTTGGGAGTCTTGGGATCGAGCCCCGCATTGGGATCCATGCTCAGCTTGGAGTCTGCTTGAGATTCTCTTTTCCTTTCCCTCTGCCCCTCCCACTCATGCTGTTTTTCTAAAAAAAGAAAGAAGAAAGTTACATGCTCTTCCAGCTGAGCCAGCCACAGGTACCCCTATTTATGCCTGAAGTGAGACTTGAACTCATGACCCCAAGATTAAGAGTCGTTCTACTGCAGCAGCCAGATGTCCCACAAGGACAGGGATTTTTATTTACCTTTTTTTTTTAAGGATTTTATTTTTATTTATTTATTTGACAGAGAAAGATAGCATGCGCATGCGCACACGCACACGCACAAGCAGGAGTGGCAGGCAGAGGGAGAGGGAGAAGCTCCCACCAAGCAGAGAGCCTAATGCAGGACTTAATCCCAGGTCCCAGGGATCATGACCCAAGCTGAAGGCAGACGCCCAACGAACTGAGCCACCCAGGCACCCCTATTTATTTTATTTATTTAAAGATTTAATTAATTAATATTTTTTAAAGATTTTATTATTTGTCAGGGACAGAGGGAGAGAGACCGAGCGAGCACAGGCAGACAGAGAGGCAGGCAGAAGCAGAGGGAGAAGCAGGCTCCCTGCCAAGCAAGGAGCCCGATGTGGGACTTGATCCCAGGACTCTGGGATCATGACCTGAGCCAAAGGCAGCCGCTTAAACCACTGACCCACCCAGTCGTCCCTAAAGATTTTATTTATTTATTTGACAGAGATCACAAGCAGGCAGAGAGGCAGGCAGAGAGAGGAGGAAGCAGGCTCCCCGCTGAGCAGAGAGCACGATGCGGGGCTTGATCCCAGGACCCTGAAATCATGACCTATTTTTTAATAGGGCCGCCTGGGTGGCTCAGTTGGTTAAGCGGCTGCCTTCGGCTCAGGTCATGATCCCGGTGTCCTGGGATCGAGTCCCACATCGGGCTCCTAGCTTGGCGGGAAGCCTGCTTCTCCCTCTGCCTGCCACTCTGTCTGCCTGTGCTCGCTCGTGCGCTCTCTCTCTGACAAATAAATAAAATCTTAAAAAAAAATCTTAAAAAACATTTTATTTTTAAATAATCGCTGCACCCAATGTGGAGCTTGAACCCACAACCCCACAATCAAGAGTCACATGGTCTACTGACTGAGCCGGTCAGTCACCCCAAGAACTCAATTTTTAACATAACTCTGGTAAAATACACCCAAAATTTACCGTCATAGCCATTTTTAAATGTTTCCGTTGAGCAGTGCCAAGTAGCATTGTGCAGCCATCCCCACAGCCCATCTCCAGCGTTCTTTTCATGCAGCAAAATCAGCGCTCTGTTCCCATTAAACCCTAATCCTCCAGCCCCTGGTACCCACCAGCTCCTTTTCTAGCCTTATGAATTCGATGACTCTCGGGACCCCAGATGAGTAGAACCAGAAGGTACTTGTCTTTCAAAGATACCGGTTTCAACACGCCCCTAAGTGACTTCCAGACGAAGCACCCATCTCATCCTCTCCCCTGCAGTTTCACTCCTGTTCTGAGCAGTGTTTACTAGACCCTTTGTATTCGGAACAAGGTAGTTTATTTTTAAGGACAGAGACAAGAGGGGACAGACACCCCTTATCTTTTGAGAAAAAACCTTATGTGCCTTCAACACAGCGGAAGACAGAGGTGGCTCTTCTCAACGCCAGTAAGATTTTATTCTACATTGGCTTTCCCTCTCCACTCTCATGACATTTGCATGAACAACACAACGAAGCTATGTTAGTGCATTTAAAACGACGCCAGATAGAAGTCGGGATTCCAGTAACACACTCAACAGCTAAAACTACAGTAATGCCCTTAGTTTCAAAGTTCCTAGTGCTCTAAGTGCTTATAAAAGTGGATGGCATTGGGGCGCCTGGGTGGCTCAGTGGTTTGGGCCTCTGCCTTTGGCTTGGGGTCATGGTCCCAGGGTCCTTGGGATCAAGTCCTGCATCGGGCTCTCTGCTCGGCTGGGACCCTGCTTCCTCCTCTCTCTTCCTGCCTCTCTGCTTGCTTGTGAGCTCTGTCAAATAAATAAATAAAATCTTTAAAAAAAAAGAAAAAGAGGTGGATGGCACTTAACTGTTACTTTTATCAGACTAAGACATGTAAGGACGACACTGGAACCCTGGAAGAGAGGAAAATCTCTATGCTGAAAAACCTCATTCCCTTTATTGATAGCAATGTTACACCACTTCTGACATTTTACTCACCTGGACTAAAAAAAAATTGAGGGGTGGGGGCACAAAAGTAGGAAAGGCTTCTCCCTCTGTAAGCTTGTAGAGCAACACATGCTTTCAGATGTGAGGGAAAGGCAGAACGGGACAACTCGTCATCGTGGTTTCGTTAGTGCTGCCCACGAAGGGCATCCCGCTTGGGGGGTGGGCGCAGCAGCTCTATCGCCCTCTCCAACCAGGCCCTCCAACGTAGTCCCCTTCACACTTACACAGTAGCCAGCTCGCTCAGGGCCTCCTGGTAGCGCAGGTACTCACTCTGGCCAAAGACCTGAGGAAAGAGGAAGGGCAAGAGTCCCTCAGGCTGGGGTACTCCGTTAGTTCCCTGAAGGAAAAAGTGGCCACCCAGCTTACCCCTGTCCCATAGCGCGCCGTCTCATAGCCATCCAGCAAGGTATCAATGAGGGCCTTGCGCACGCCCTTAAAAGGGGTACTAGCGTTCCGAAGATCCAACAGGTAGGAGCGGAAATTCTTGCCCAGTAAGGAACGGGGATGCCTGCCTTCAGCGTGAAATGGTATCTCTGTGGAGATAACAGACGACAGTGCTAACACTTCTCCCACTTATCAGTGTTTTTAGTTAATCTCCCAAGTTCAGAAATGGGTCCAAAAACTGACTGACTTTGGGGGAATCTAATAGAATGAAGAAGACCACAGGTATAAAGCTGTGTCTGAGTGGTCACTCGGTGGTGGGAACACAGCTATAAGCTACGTCAATGGTACACAGTACTGTCCCCATCCAATTTACACTCCTGGCTCTGAAATACAAACCATGTTTTATCAGAGAGAAAGCATACTTGACAATGGTCATAGAATAGAAAAAACTCAAGAACCATTTATCTTGGTCTTACTGAAAAAGCAGATGTCACCTGTCTTTTGTGGAAAAAGCAGTCAGTCACCACCACCCCGTCAATGAAGCTGAAGGTCTATGAACAAATGCACTCACTGGAGAGTAATGTGCCTCTGTCATTTCCTCAGACAAAACGATAACCTGGTACTCTCAAAACTCTAGGAAACTCCTCCTAGCCGGAGATTAGAGAAAGGACAAATTCTAATATATATAAAGTGGGCTTCCTCCCTCTTCCCCAGGTGAGCCTCCAGGACCCTGACCATCCTGCCAGGCAGGCCTTACCGGAGGCACGGATGGCATCCAGAGCTTTCATCCTGTAGAGATAGTTGTAGCAATCTGTTGAGAGAGAGACTGGTCACAGACTTAACCTCAGAAGACTTTGCAAACTTCAGCAAGCTAATAAACAGCCCCCCCCCCCCCCCGCCGCATCTGACAGGTCCCCAGCAACAGAGGAACCACAGGTGTAGGTTTTGCCAGGGGCTATGCTAACAGCTTGGAGAGCAAAGGAATTCTGAACTGGGGATTCCTCCCTGAAGTATCCTCCAAGACCATGCCACGTACTCTGATTTCCCTGGGTTTCTAGCTGTAGCAGTCTTGCATCACCATCTGCAAGGAGCTGAGGCTCATACTTGATATCTTGAACCCTGGACAGCCGGATATCAATTTCCTCTTTCAAGTCCTGTTCACACAGAGAAAAGAACATGCCATCACTTACCCTATACTCTGCTTTCCATCACCCTGGAAATGGGGCAGAGCAAGTGAACAACTAAGAACAAAAGCAGCAGAAAAAAAGCTCGTATGGCTGATAAAACTGCCAGGTTAAGACTAAAAAACTTAAGGATGGGATTAGGCTCACTAAATACCTCTCCAAACTGTACATCTCTAAACTAGATCTTTTAACCTGCCAGAATTTCTTCAAGGTCCACAACATCAACGTTATTTCTGATTCAATTGGGTTTAAAATCTTAGTTTTTATAAAGAACTTGCAGAGAAAGAGAAAAAATGAACAGCAATTGGAAATCATACTCTAAAATCCGTAAAGAGGCCTGTAATGATTTATAATAGCTTAGGGACTACCCTACCTGGTGGACCACAGAACTTCTACAATTTTTCTTCCGGACTATGTTAACTCCCCCCCCCCAAAGATTTTATTTATTTATTTAACACAGAGAGAGATCACAAGTAGGCAGAGAAAGAGGGGGAAGCAGGCTCCCTGCTGAGCAGAGAGCCCAATGTGGGGCTTGATCCCTGGACCCTGAGATTAGGACCTGAGCCAAAGGCAGAGGCTTAACCCACTGAGCCACCCAAGCGCCCCTACGTTAACTCTTTTAAGTAGGTAATTCATATCCATGGTGTAAAATTCACAAAAGGCTCTAAAGCCAGCCCTCACTTACCCAGAAGCAACCACTGTTAATAGTTCCAAGCTCATCTCTCTTACTTATGAGGGTTCCAGCGCCCCAACAGATTTTCTTCTTGTAACTTATTTTTAAGTAGGCTCTACACCCAGTGTGGAGCCCAATGTGGGGCTTGAACTCAGATATCAAGACCTGAGCTGAAGAGTTGGAGGCTTGACTGAGACAGCCAGGTGCCACTTCTTGCCATTTTAGAAACTTCCACTATGAATTACATATGGAATATGTGTTACATACATTTTAAGTAATCATAAAAATCATTAAGATAAACACCTACATCCACTATCCTGTTTATGAACTATAATGTTACCAGCGACTGTGAAGTCTTGCATGCCTATCCCTGATTGAATGCAACCCCCAATGTTAATTTGTCAACCTCATTTTTCTTTACTGTTTATCACATCAACCTAAACAAGATGTTTAGCTTTGCCTGGTTTTGAACTTTACACAAATGGAAAAAATGTTTTGAATTCCTCTGCAACTTGTCTTTTAAAATTTTAAATACTTGGGGTGCCTGGGTAGCTCAGTCAGTAAAGCGTCTGCCTTCAGCTCAGGTCACGTTTCCAGCATCCTGGGATAGAGCCCCTGCTCAGCCAAGAGCTTGCTTTTCTCTCTTCCTCTGCTGCTCCCCTTGCTTGTGTGCCCTCTCTGTCAAATAAATACGTAAGTAAAATCTTTAAAAATTTTTCTAAATACTTTATTGCAATAGGTTGAACTTACACGTGATAAAACACATCCAATTTGTGTGTATTGATGAGTTTGACAAATACACCCACTCAACCACCATTACAACCAAGGTACAGAACATTCCCACCATCCCAAAATGTTCTCCAAGCCCTTTGCAGTCAACCTATCCTTCCCGGCTCCAGACAACAATTATGTACTTTCTATTGATGTAATTCTGCCTGTTGCAGAATTTAATATAAACGGAATGCAACAAAATAGTTTTATGAATGACTTTCTGGTTTTTTTCATTCAGCATGTTGTTTAAATTCACTCAAGTTTGTAATTTTTTTCATTCAAAAATACTTTACTTTTTTTTTAAAAGAATTAATTTATTTGACAGAGATCACAAAGAAGCGGGGGGGGGCAGGCTCCCCGCTGAGCAGAGAGCCCCTGCGGGACTCGATCCCAGGACCCTGAGACCATGACCTGAGCCGAAGGCAGAGGCTTAACCACTGAGCCACCCAGGCTCTCCTGGTTTAGTGCTTTGTGTTCACGTGTTTACGTTGCTTAGCTTCTTGTTGACCCTTACGGTATTCCAGGGTACGTCACTGTAAACATCCTCTCAAGCAGGCATCTGGACCAGCAGTTTCTTCTCGAAATGTCACCACCACGGACAGGAACGCCCGCGCACTCGTCTAACGGTTCAACGGAACCAGCGAAGACCAATCGCCCCGCGGGTCAGGCGCAGGCGCAGCCTCACTGGACACCGCCCCGCGGTTTTCCGAAGCGGTGTTACCCTCCGGCACTTCTACCCGCAACACGCGAGAATGTGGACGAAAGACTTTTTTAAAGCGGAAGGAATCTCATCTGGTCCAGGGACCTCTCAAACCCCCGAGCTGTGACTGGACCGTGAGGTGCCGGACGCCGGCCCCGCACCCCTCGTCCGGAGGGCGGGTGGACCTGGGAGAACTGAGGCATGTGGAAGCAGCGCTGCTCCAGGTTTCAGGCCACACCACCTTCCTGCCGGCTGTCCGCGGAGGACCCCGGCCAAGAACTCCAGGAAGAGTAACAGCACCGCGGGGGGCCGAGCACTGATCTCGGAGCTGAGGGAGATCCGTGGCACTCAGTACCGAACTACTGGCCCTGCCTTTACTGTGGGCAACAGACCTGCACTCCCGAAGCTCGCCGTCGAGGGGAGACTGGGCATTAGACAAAGGGACACACATCAAATCTGCGGGGAAACAGTTTCTAGGAAAACACGAGGACGCGAGGAGAGACAGGCGCGCGCGCCTGCACGGGGAGGAGGGCGAGGGCAGCCGTCGCCGGCCCGCAGCGCGGCCGCGCACAGCTGAGCGCGGGACAGCAACCCCTGCGGCCCGACCCCAGCCAGACGCCGCGCCCAGGGCGAGTCCCGAGAGGGCGCGGCGTGTCCCCCAGGCGCCCGGCGCGGACAGGTCCGGGCTCAGACGCCCGTCGGACCCGGCGGAAAACCCGGAAGTCCGCCCGCGGGACTCGCGCGTGCACAGAGCTGGGCGCAGATCAAACGTTTCTTTTTTCCCCAGATTTGACCGACTTACTGGAGAGCGAGCGCGAGCGGGCGGGGCAGGGACCAGGAAGGGCAGCGGCACCCGAGGAGGACGCTCCGAGACGCCGCGCGGCGTCGGCCTCCGCAGCCCGCCCGGATCCGGGGCTGACGTCGCCCCCCCGGCCCACCCGCAAGCAGAGCCGCCCCGGAAGGCGCGGCGCGGGGCCTCAGTTCGCACCCGCGCCCGGCCCTTCCCACTCCCCGCGCCGCGCCGGGGAAGCCCGGCCTCCGCAGTCCCGTCTCGGGCCGCGAGCACCTACCTTGGGGGCGTTGTGCCCCACAGGGACATGAGGGCCCCTCCGCGACTTCATGGCGAAGCGCATGATCTGCCTCTTGACGAAGATGAACAGCAGCACGAACACCTGTCCGGAAGGTGTCGGGAGGGCGCCTTAGTAAAGCACAGTTACCCACAAGGGGGCACGCCTCGGTCCCTAAAGCCCCCGTGGGGCTCCCAGGGGCGCTCCGGGGCGGGGCCGGGGCCGAGGGGGCCGCGGCTTCGGTCCCCGCGCACTCCGGAGGCGGCTCCGAGTCCAGGCGCCGAGAAGGCGCAGCTGAGAGCGCGGCAGGCGGGGACGGGGGACGCCCACGACAAGGGCCACTAAGGGGCCAGACGCGGCGGCAAGACGGGGCGGGGGTCTCCTCACCAGGCTCCCGTAGGCCATCACCAGCACGACATTCACCCCCGACAGCCAGTTACTGCCGGACGCCATGGCCGCGACCCCCCTCCGCCCCGCGCACAGCTCCGGGTCACCGGCCGCCCTGCCTCGTCAGCCCGGGCTCAGCCGAGGCAAGGGCGCCTGGGCTCCCTGAAACCTCTCGACCATTTCCTCACGGGGAAAGACCAAGGCTGACCCGGCCCGAAAACATGGCGGACGGGTAGCCAAGAAGGACCGTCGCCTTCCCGCTACCCCCCAGCACGTGACCTAGGCCCGCACCGGCCCCGCGGGCTGCGCGCGCCGAGGCGCCGAGCGACGCAGGAACAGGAAGCGGAGGCCGCCAGTGCGTCACGCGGCGTAGGCGGGGCGGACGCCCGGAGCCGCAGCGCAGCGCGGCGGCTCGTGGCGGAGTGGTGCGCGCACGCTTGCGTGCGCGTCCTTTTTCGCGTCACGTGCCGGGGCACGCAGGCAGGCAAGTGGGAGGGGGAAGGCGCGAGAGCGAGCGCGAGAGGGGAAAGGAGGGAGGGGGTGGGGAGGAGGGAACCTCACATCACGTGACAGGGGCGGCGCGGCCCGGGGTGTCAGTGTGGAGGAGACTGAGGTAAAGTTGGGAGCGCAGCGGCGTTGGCGGCGGCGGCGGCGGCAGCGGCAGCGCGGCGGGGCCGGGTATTGTCCGCGGCCCCTTTAAATCCGCGGTCTCCCTTTCCCCTCCCTCCCTTTTCCCCTACCCCGCCGGCGCGCCCCCCCGTAGGCCCCCCGCCCCGTGCGTTCCCCCCACTGGACACCCCTCCCGGTCGTGCGAGCCCGGCGCCCCCCCTCGAGTCGGCCGCCGGGGGTTTTGTTTATGGTTGGATTTGCGGCCTACTGGGCCGCGCCGGAGCCGGGGCCTCGATTTGGGAGCGTGGCCGGGGCGGGGCTTGGGCAGCCGGAGGGGGGGGGGCCATGCGGCTAGAGCCTGAGCGGGGAGAGCGAGGAAGAGCGCGAGCAAGCGCGGTCTGGGCCCCGCCTGAGGTAGGGCCTGCTCTGCTCTGGCCGCTGCCCGTGAAGACGACGAGGGGGCCTCCTCCCTTCCCAGCCCGCTGCGGGCCTCCTCGGATCCGGATCCGGCCTGGTTTGGGGGTGGCGGGGTGGGGGGGGCGGCGGGTGGAGCTGCCCCAAACTCCCCCATGTGGCCCTCAGTTTGGAGTGCGGAGGATTAATTTGTTCCGGGTGGGAGGTGAGGAGGCGATTGGCCCCGCGAGCTCCCGAGGTGGCGCGGAGCGGGGTGAGCCTCCCATCCTCCACGCGTGGGCTTGCGTCCCCTCTCCGTTCCCAGCCTCTTTGTCAGCGCCTCTTGTTGCCCTTCCTTCTCTCGCAGCGCCCCGGCTTTGGGGACGTGTTCGTGGCTGCCGTCGTTGGCTTGCTGTTGTCCATGCTGTAGCTTGGGGTGCCCCGAGCAGTTGTGCTGTGTTTGGGAAGCTGGACGGGGAGACCCCCGTAGGCTGTATTACGCCTGAGGGACGTCACTAGAGCCCTGGGGTGTGTGCTCCCTCCCCCCGTAATCGGACAGGAATTCCGAATTTCTTCAGACCCTCACTTTGTGGACAGTCCCTAAATTGCTTTGCAGACTGATGTCACAAACAGGAGACTGCTCGTCCACCGGTCTCGAAACGTAGCCGCCTCTGGTGTAGGATGTTGGGGAAGGAAAAACACCACAGTAACAGGCCTTTTTTGTTGTCATTGTTACCGTTTTCGCCTTTGAGTGTCCCTGAGTGTTAGATGGAGAAATGCTTTTTTTGTGTCCTCTCCATCCACCTTTCCCCGCCCGTATCCTGCTCGGGGGATGTACGATGTGACTTGTGGCGGGGGTGGGGGTCAGTGACAACCAGTCTTCCTGGAGCACAAGCGTGCTGGTCATGTATGGGTTCATGGGTTGGTAAAACTGCTTTGAGATCTTACACCATTGTCCTTAAAAGAGTAGAGCATGCCAGTGATTGTTTCCGCTGCGAACAGCAAGTATTGCTGGCCCAGAACTAATGATGCAAGACCTTAAAATGTACTGTTTTGTTTCTGATTTTTGAAGCCCCTCTTTGCTAAATGTGTCCTAACTGGCAAGCACTCTTTAAAGTTAGATTCGAGAGTATGGAGAAGGGGATGCTGGGGTCATTTCCACAAAGCCTCTAGGGGAATTAGTTGTGTTACAGGTAGCAAGCCCTGTTCACCCCAGTCCAGCTTCAGAGTGTCTGAATTGTTCCTCAATTTAGATTGTAAGCTCCCTGAGGGCAGCAACCAAGTCCTACTGCTTTTGTATTTCCTGAAGTACTGGACACATAGTAGATACTCAATAAATACTTGTTACTTATTTTTTTCTGTAAAATTTCTCTGGCTATTTTTTCAAGTAGCTGGTTTTCAAAAGATGGTCAAGGGCACTCCTGTATTGAAACCAGGATTTGTTCCTGCGCTGTTCGCTTGGTCTTCCAACACTTCTCCTGTGTTTCCCGTAAATATTTTTAATTTCTAAGGAAAAGTACTTAACAAGATTCCTCCCCTCCACTGTGATAACTCTAGGTATGTGTCTCTGCTTGCTACTAAAAGGCTACTAATTTTGTGCCCTCTGGTGATCCCAGATCACTCACTTTTGAGCTGTTGCTCAGTGTGGTTACCTACCTAGGTGGTAAAATTTTCTTAGTCACACATTTCAAAGCACTTGTAAGAAAAAATGGAAGTTAACAGCCGGACTGATCAGGGCTATTTCTTTTTTCCCATCAGTAGTTATGAGCCTTTCAAGAAAACTCATTAATGTATTTACGCAGGTACAGCGCGTGCAGTCATCCCTACTGGTAGTCACGCAATTCATATCTGTAGTATTATTTCTACTCGTCGGTTGGAATCACAAGAGAAGTAGAAGGCAGTCAGTAATTGTAAATTACAGGAGCATTTATTCACATTAGAAATTTCATTTTAGAGCCAATTAGTAAGTATAATAGTTTTCATCCAGTTTTAATTTTTCTCTTTGATTTGAATCCAGCGGTACTGGTGAAAGAATGCTTGTTTTTTTGTGAGTGATGAAACTTGGCTATAATGCCAGTTTGGGAAAATGGACTACTGTGTAGCAAATAATCCTCTACTAGCTAAAAATATTTACAGGCCTTTGTGTGCACATGTGCATGTGTGTAGGGAGAAGAGGTAGTGGTTAAAGAATTAGCTCCGGGATTTCTTTAAAAATTTTGGCGATAGAGAATGTAAAACTCTTAATTCTTAATGACTGTATCAAAAAAACACAAAGACCTGTGCATCCTGTTGATCCAACTTGGTGAAGACTTTATCCACAGGGAAGTTAGCTTTCTTTGTGACCCAAAAAACCAATGAAATTCACTTCCTTAATAATCCTACTATATTTCTTTAGAAGCCCAACTTATTTCTCCCTCAAATTCAGCAGTGTCTTTTGAGTGGTCTAATATTACCCCATATATAAAGTTTCACTAATGAAAAAAATTATGTGTAGAGCAGAAAATATAAACTTAATCTCTTTGGGATGGAATAAAACAATGCAGAGTAACATCTTTGAGCTCTCCATCATGTGGTGGAGATTTTCTTTGTTACTAAATGCAGCTGCTGAGGTGGTGTTACAAAGCAAAGTATGAACGAAGGGAACTTAAGTTCTGGAGAATCCTCGCTTGCTAGAACTGTTAATAACAAAAACTGTTCTGGTTTTGAGAAGGCCCTGTGTGTTCTCTGTCTCTTTAAAGACTCAACAAAGTCCCATTGCTGGAAATAGTGTCTCAAGTTTAAAATGATAATCCGAGGGGCACCTGGTTGGCTCTTTCTGTTAAGCATCTGCCTTTGGCTTGGGTCATGGTCCGGGGATCAAGCCCCACCTCGGGCTCCCAGCTCAGCAGAGAGCCTGCTTCTCCCTTTCCCTCTGCCTGCCACTGCTCTTGCTTGTGCTCTCTCTTTCTGTCAAATAAATAAAATCTTAAAAAATAAAATCCTAACTCTTATTAAAAAAAAAAAAAAGATAATCCTAGAAGCCCTTTCTTCCAAATAAAACTTTGTGCTAGACACTTTTGGTTTGGGACAGATTTGCGATTCTCTGTATATTAAGGTGAGTGGTAAAGAGTTTTTGCATTTCTGGCGCCTGGGAACTGTGGACTAGGAGGCAACAGAAATAGCTGGGAAAACTGTGTTTGAATTATCTGGGGAACTGACAGATTCTGAGCAGTCACTGGGGCTAATACTTGCTTTGTTGAAGGTTACACAGGCTCCCACTGCATGAGGAAAGACAAAACTTGAGGGAGAAAGGCTAGACTTTGCTTGTCCTTTCCCAAGTGATGGAGGTCGCATGCAACTTACATAAACTGGTTGTAAAGGGAGGTAGGAGTGCTTCTGTAGGTAGACTGAGTACAGTATTTTAAATTGTTTTTGTTTGGAGTGTAGACTAATCCCCTTCCTGGAAAGCTTTTGTTTCCAGGTTTTGCTCATTATCTTTCCTTCTGTCAAAGGGACTTTAGATATTTCCATGTAGAGGCTTTTGATTATTAACATTGTTTCTCTTGGCTACCAAGATAGCAAAACTTCACAAAACCTATGTATAGGGGGCTAGTAACCAGACTGTGCCCATAACTTAAAAAAATAAAAAATAAAACCATCACTGGGGGCACCTGGGTGGCTCAGTAGGTTGAACCTCTGCCTTTGGCTTGGGTTATGGTCTCAGGGTCCTGGGAACGGCCCCCGAATTGGGCTCTTTGCTCGGCGGGGAGCCTGTTTCCCCCTCTGTCTCTGCCTGCCTCTTTGCTTACTTACGATCTCTCTCACTCTGTCAAATAAATAAATAAAATCTTAAAAAAATAACCAGGACTTAACACATACTTTATATATTTTTTGTTCTACAGAAATGGATTAATGGCCATTGTTCCTTAAGGAATTTATCAAGCTAAATATGTTTTAAGAACAGATGAATTTTCTTGTTTGTTGCTTTTAAAGAAATGAAAGTGGTGAAGATGCTGATGAAAGAGAAGTTGAAAACATTTTGCCCATATTTAACATCTAAATTGCTTTTTTTTTTTTTAATCTTTCAGTATTCTACCTTGTAAATACTGTTATTTGTATATACTGTAAATGATGACGTCGGTGGGCACTAACCGAGCCCGGGGAAACTGGGAACAACCTCAAAACCAAAACCAGACACAGCACAAGCAGCGGCCACAGGTAAAGAACCCAAGGGATATGGATTTATTGGTAGCATTACTGGTCGTTACTGGTTTCCATCCAGTGCAGCAGTATTCTGTGCTTTGGATTCTTGGTTTGGGTTTTTTCTTCTTGTTTTCTAGTCCTTGGCTCTTTTTACTTACGGCTTGATGACTGTTAATGATATGCCATGATGCAGTGTTCTTCCTTTTTGTTGTTTAATACGTCATCATGAGACTTGGAAAGAATGGGTTCTGGGCTTTGTATCTGTAAGGTAATATTTCCCTCAGACAAAATCTTTTAAATATTTTTTTTTTTAAGATTTTATTTATTTGTCGGAGAGAGAGCGAGCACAGGCAGACAGAATGGCAGGCAGAGGCAGAGGGAGAAGCAGGCTCCCTGCCGAGCAAGGAGCCCGATGTGGGACTCGATCCCAGGACGCTGGGATCATGACCTGAGCCGAAGGCAGCGGCTTAACCAACTGAGCCACCCAGGCGTCCCCCTCAGACAAAATCTTAACGTTGTTCTCAGCCCTAGAAATTAGGCGGCACTGGTCCTTGCAGAAACAGGAACAGGGTTTACACGTGACATTGCAAATAAATATGAATTATTTAAGGCACAAATGTTTCAAAAAGGCACTGTGATACCCAAACAGGACCTGCTTTAACTGTGAACATTGGTGGAAAAGCTCCCTGGTTTTCTAGGGATCGTAGAGTGGAATACTAATAGCTTCAGTGTTTTGTTTTGTTTTGTTTTGTTTTGTCATTTTGCAAATTTAGGCATCTTAATTGATGTTAGTATTTTACCAGTTGGTCATTTGTAACGAGGGGAAGGAAATTGGACTGGAAGGTGGGGTGGATTATTGACTTTATAGGTCCCTCTTCCTTCTCTAAACTGTTGTCTCTCGATCATGCTTTCTTGAACTTGTTTTACTTCCTAGGCCACTGCGGAACAAATTCGACTTGCACAGATGATTTCAGACCATAATGATGCTGACTTTGAGGAGAAGGTGAAACAAGTGAGTGTATTGCTAATTTGCTGTAAGCAATGGGGAAAGATATCAGGATTAAAGCATAGTTAAATGTCACAGATAGCTACCAGGGTCCTTTGTGATGTAGGTATAGAAAGAATTATGACCTGAAATATAATAGGTTAAGCCAATAAGTACATGTTTTTGTTTTCTGATTTACCATCCCGCTTTGACAGCTACCTTGTTTGAAAAGGTTTTATCTTAATTTTAACTTCTTATTTATTGGATGACTTTGTTGATGCCATTTCTTATAGCAACTTTGAGCAGTTGTGCCATCTAGGAATTGTAGAAGCTGATGGTGTGGTGATGCCTGTGTGCTTCTGGGTTTGATTCTCTATTAGATACTTCATTGTTTGATTGTTTAATAAATACTTTGGCCCCATCCCTAATCAAAGGTGAATATTTTGCTTACCGAACCAGAATACCAAAATTCTGCATATTTTGCTTTTTTAAGCCTGGGGTTCTTTCAGACTCAACTGGTGTCTTTTCCCTTTTCCCTTGCTCACCTGGCTTCCTTTTGTGAGGAGTGCAAGTTTGTTCTTGATGGTTACTGATCTTTTTCTTTCAGTTGATTGATATCACAGGCAAGAACCAGGATGAATGTGTCATTGCTTTGCATGACTGCAATGGAGACGTCAACAGAGCCATCAATGTCCTACTGGAAGGAAACCCAGATACGGTAGAGTGTTAATGGAGCATTCTAGAAAGTGCGTCCCTGGCTGAGAAGCTCAGAATATTCTAAAAATAGCAAGTAGAGTAACTCAGCTTAAAGGATAGTAGTTTAGGGGCTTCTGGGTGGCCCAGTCGTTAAGTGTCTGCTTTCAGCTCAGGTCATGATCCCAGGGTCCTGGGATCGAGCCCCACATCGGGCTCCCTGCTCAGCGGAGAGTGTGCTGCTCCTCCTCCCACTCCCCTGCTTGTGTTCCCTCTCTCGCTGTCTGTCTCTGTCAAATAAATAAATAAATGCTTAAAAATAAATAACTAAAGGAGAGTACTTTAGTCTCCAAATGGAGCAGAGAACTGCCCTGGAGATTGTTTGCTGTGGGTTACGAATACTTAAAATTTATATACAGTAAATAGGAGGAGACATAAAATCTGTCTTTTTTAATTCACTTAGAATAAATCATTCATTCTAGGCTATCGAGTGTTTTCCAGACTGGGTTCTCAATTAGGTAGGGATGCTATATGTTAGCCTTAGTTACTAATCATAGAACATTCTGCTCATCTGTGGTATTGCTGTTGAATAAAGTCACACAAACTAGTGGATTCTGATTTCAAGACATTCTTTTTAGTGTTACCTTTTACAATACATTTTCATTGCTTGAAGTTATTTCTGTTGAGGTAGTAGAGAGATTGTTAGCAGCCTTTTTGACCGTCCCTGGAGATGATAGGGGATATCTTGGAGGACCTCTTGCCCTAGAATTTCACCTCTTCTCCTTTCCACTTAATGAGATCCTTATATTTTTGTGCTTGTCTTATCACTGTCCCAAATTGTTAAGTCCCTTAAGAACAGGTGTTCTGCCATACTAACCTTTGGGATGTGCCTGTGGTGCTTAGCAGAGAACTTTATTGTTTTAACGAGCAGTGTATCATTTTAAAGTAATCTTCGTTTACGTGGTCTTACTCTGGGGATCTTTGGTTGGGATAGATAACCAGAGTTCACTTTTAGAGAGATCAGCTTACTGGTGTTACAGTGTCACATTAGCTAAATGTTGGAGGTTTGTCAGTTTCCTTGAGACAATAGGAAATAATAGTGGAAAACTTTTTTTAGTCGTTGAATTTAAATTTGTGGATTTTTTTCTTAAAAAGTGTGGTCTTGGGGCGCCTGGGTGGCTCAGTGGGTTAAGCCTCTGCCTTCGGCTCAGGTCATGATCCCAGGGTTCTGGGATTGAGCCCCACATCGGGCTCTCTGCTCTGCAGGGAGCCTGCTTCCTCCTCTCTCTCTCTCTGCCTGCCTCTCTGCCTGCTCGTGATCTCTGTCTGTCAAATAAATAAATAAAATCTTTATAAAAAAAAAAAAAAAGTGTGGTCTTGATCCTGGCTGGCTCAGTCAGGGGAGCCTGTGACTCTTGATTTCAGGGTCGTGAGTTCAAGCTCCATGTTGGGTGTAAAGTTTGCTTAAAAAAAAATGTTGTTTTAGATTTTACATTATTGATCTTATTTGAAAATTACTGTCTGGATAATCAGATAATAGTGCCTTTGGCTCACTTTGAGTTTACTCTAGAATAATTGTAAGATTTTTGGGTGCAGGGAAGAGGTGGGACTGAACTCATGCCTTTTAAAAGTCTGGACTCCTTCTTCCCTCCCAACTTCCCTCCCTCCTTCAAGTCACATTTGTTTAACCTTCCATCATCTTCTGCTTAATGCTATGAAGCTACCCTTCCACAATATCAGAAAGGAAAATAAGCTGGAAAATGTAGGCTTATCCTACAAATAAACTAGCTGCTAGTGAAACCAGTGGGGCATAATGTCAGCTGTCGGGATGTTGGACGTCTTTGGGTGGATGAGGTCATATCAGAAAACTGGCAATGCCTTTGGGAAGGTCATGGTAATTTCTTTTCCTTATAGAACCTGGGTAGCGCCAGCTGCTGATACATGCCATAGAGAAGGGAGAGGTATGGCATGTGACAGGTTTCTGAAGCTTGCCAGGTTTTAAGACAAGCTAGCTGAAAACTCTGAAAGCTGTTCTGAGTCTAGTTTCCAGGATTCCTGATGCAGATTTAGTTATAATAGGGGTATGGTAACTTAGGAATTGAAAGCTACTGTGAGCATAAAATGACCTACCAGCTGTGGTGCGGAATGAGCTTAGACTGGAAGAGGAGGCGGCAAGGAGCTGCTGAGTCCTGGGTGGGTCCTTAATCTTCTTAAAAAGTTAATAGTGAACTATTATAGATTCTTCAGAATTGTGGTTATGATTTTGCTATACTTTTAAGCTGAGGTTTTAACTTAAAAACTTCTTTTAATTATAGTAAAATACATCTAAAATTTATCATTTTAATTTTTTTTTTTTTTAAGATTTTATTTATTTGTCAGAGAGCACAAGCAGGCAGAGTGGCAGGCAGAGGTGAAGAGAGGAGCAGGCTCCCTGTGGAGCAAGGAGCCCGATGCAGGACTTGATCCCAGGACCCTAGGATCATGATCTGAGACGAAGACAGCAGCTTAACCGACTGAGCCACCCAGGCGTCCCTCATTTTAATTATTTGAAGTGTATAATTCAGTGGCATTAAGTACCCTGACAGTGTTGTGCAGCCATTAGCATCATGCCTTTCCAGGACTCTCCATTTCCCAAACAAATACTGCATCTCTTAAACAATAACTCCCTCTTTCCCCATCTTACCAGCTCCTGGTAACCTTCTATTTTCTGTCTCTTATAAATTTGCCTATTCTAGGTACTTCATGTAAGTGGAATCATACAGTATTTGTTTTTTTTTATGTCTTCTTACTTAGTGTAGTGTTTTCAGAGTTTATCCATATTGTGGCTGTGTGTCTGAATTTCACTCCTTTTTAAGACTGAACAGTATTCCAATATATGGATATGACACATGTTGTTTATTCATCCATTGGTGGACACTTGGAATTATTTGGAAGTAAGTTATAGTTGTCATAAATAAAATACTCTACAGCATGCTTCTCTTAAAGAATGATATTCTATGTGACCGTAATGTTAATTGGCCCTGAAAAAATTAATAGTCATTTCATATCGTTCTTGGTCGCTGTTTTTTTTTGTTTTTGTTTTTTTAGATTTTATTTATGTATTTGACAGACAGAGATCACAGGTAGACAGAGAGGCAGGCAGAGAGAGAGAGGGAAGCAGGCTCCCTGCTGAGCAGAGAGCCCGATGTGGGGCTCGATCCCAGGACCCTGAGATCATGACCTGAGCCGAAGGCAGAGGCTCAACCCACTGTGCCACCCAGGCGCCTCTTGGTCGCTGTTCTTTAAAGTTACTAGATATTGGATAGCTGTTTCTGAGCACTGGGTCCTTGTTTGAGTAAGATGGGAACTAGGGTGTTAAAGATCTCGTGGTCTTGGTGTTTGGGAGTTTTTATTTGTATGTATTTTCTGCAAAATACGTGTGAATCCAGAGTTTGTTTTTTTTTTTTTAAAGATTTAACTTACTTGACAGAGAGAGTGAGTGAGGGAACACAAGTATGGGCGGAAGGAGAAGAAGAAGGAGGCTCCCCCACTGAGCAGGGAACCTGATGCGGGGCTTGGGTCCCAGGACCCTGGGATCACGACCTGAGCCAAAGGCAGACGCTTAACAACTGAGCCACCCAGGAGCCCTGAGGGGTGTTTTTTTAAAACTTCAGATTTATAAAACTCCTTTCCTTAGGAATGAGGTTTTTGCAGGATGGTCGGCTTACTTTCCTTACCACAGATTTTCTGTCCTGCAGTGTGGAATGAATCACAGATTACCGTGCTTTGGAGAAAGTTTAATTGGACTATTATCAGTTCAGGAAGGATAGGGAGAACACAGTGTGTAAAACCTGGAATAGAGGTTTCCTATAGTCCACATGTCTCAGGGCCAGGGCTATGTCTTCTTGACTTGGTCTTTTTTAGCAAAGGAAATTGGTGTGTGTGTTAGAGTATGGTTTGGAGGGTTGGGGGGTGGTGATGAGTAGGTGCAGTTGTTATCCTCCTGAATTCTGGTTGCTTGATGAGAGAATGTGCCTAGGAGCCCGATGTGGTTTGTTCCTTCTGAATTCAAAGTCAACCTTTAGAAACTTTTAGTTCTTTTCTGCTTTGACAGGAATAAGACTGTAAAAAGTTGAGAGTCACTGAATCCAAAGGGAATTAATTTTTTCAGCCCTGGAAATACCCTTGAAAGATAGGGAGCAATAACTAGGTCCTTTGATCTGCCAAGTGACTGCTCTGGATCCAGATCTTGGCGATCCTTAGGAGAAGTGATCCCTGTGATCCATTAGCTATAAGCACCTCCCCTACAATAAAGGACTTTGGTTTTTCAGTGATAGGTGTAGAATTTGTACTGAGATTGTAGTCTGTACCTTCCATTTAAACAGGACATAAATTAGTGGAAGTATCTTAGACTTGGATGATGAGAGGAAAAGGGTTGACAGTTTTCCCAGCTTTTATCTGTGATTTCCTGATAGCAATCCATATTGATTCCACGTGAATGCTCTGCCCTTTAGCATTCGTGGGAGATGGTCGGGAAGAAGAAGGGAGTCTCCGGACAGAAGGATGGTGGCCAAACGGAATCCAACGAGGAAGGCAAAGAAAATCGAGACCGTGACAGAGACTATAGTCGGCGACGTGGTGGGCCACCAAGACGAGGGAGAGGTGCCAGCCGTGGAAGAGAGTGTATGCATGGGGCTTTAACAAAACCAGCTGTGGGTCAGTAATGTCTGGACTTCAGGGATGTCAGAACGCTGCTAGGCTGGACCTAGTAACCGTAATATCCTTTTGATTTGTTCTTCCCACTCTTTATTGTGAGGCCTTGGTACCTCTTACAGGTAGTGTTTTCCAGCCGCAGCTACCAGGTTGGCTGAAATTACTCTGCAGTTATTGGTGAAGTTGTATAACCTACAGCTCTCTGTTGTGGCTCATCCCTGAGTAGCCATCATATCCCATCTTTCCAGCTCATTTTCTCTTCCTCATTTTTGACTCCCCACCACCATCTATACATGCCATTTACATATTTAGATAAATTCTATTGACTCTGCTCTGGCTGTGTTTTTCATTTTAGTTCGGGGTCAGGAAAACGGATTAGATGGCACCAAGAGTGGAGGGCCTTCTGGAAGAGGTACAGAAAGAGGCAGAAGAGGACGTGGCCGAGGCAGAGGTGATCAATTTCTTGAGGGGTGGGGGTGAGAATGGGGGGCAGGGTTACTCTTACTGTTAGCTCTTTAGGGTCTGTTTCATTTGAAAACAAGCACATTCACATGGCGTCTCATTATCTTAATTGTTGAGATGTCCTGCAAATTCCAGAGCCTGCTGAGTGGGGCAGTGGGAAAGAAGGCAGGTGTCATTTTCTTTAATGTTTATTGTTGATGTTAATGTATTTGCTTACGGACCAGCATTTGGTCAGCAAAGGAAACGTCTGTCCGTAGTAATGGTGGTCTTCCTGGGGTGTATATTAACTGCAGTGTGGGGTGAGAGAACATCTCATAATACCACCCAGTTAACTGTGGCGGAGTTGTCTCATTTAGCAAGATAGTTTTGTATCAGCTTCTAAAATAGTCTTTTTTCCTCTCTTTTTCCTTTTCTCTTTAGGTGGCTCTGGTAGACGAGGAGGAAGGTTTTCTGCTCAAGGAATGGGGTAAGTTTCATTGATTTGGTGCCGAAGTCTTTAATTTCTTTTCCCCTGAGCACCACTGTAATATTCTAGAGCGGCTGATAACCTGGTATCCTGAGGATAATAGGCAGCCCTACCTGAACTGTGATCAGAAAAATTTCTAGACCGTTTGACTCAGATAGGTATGTAGACTTCGGGCTTAGAGATGAGTGTCCCCCACCTGGGTCATTCTCTCCATCGCATAGCTTCATTTGAACGCATATACCTGCTGTTTTCCAAAATTTTATGTGGATTTTATTATTACTGCTATCTTTTTAAGATTTTATTTATTTGACAGAGACACAGCGAGAGAGGGAACACAGCAGAGGGAGAAGCAGGCTCCCCATGGAGCAGGGAGCCCAGTGTGCTCTACCGCAGGACCCCGGGGTCATGACCCGCGCCTCTTACTAGGATTCTTGATGTCCTAATCCAGGACAGATGGTAGATCTAAATTGAGATTATACCATAGGATTTTAGGTAGGCTGATAAGTGAGGGAAGTAGATGTATGTAGGGTTATAGAATGGGGCTTGGTTGATCTGTTGTTAGGCAAAGCCAGGGTTCTTGTGGCCGTCCTCTCTGAGTTCATTTTTGCTGGTGCTGCTTAGAGCTCAGAGACTCTTTTAAGCATTTCCCCCCCCCCACCCCCAGAACCTTTAACCCCGCTGATTACGCAGAGCCGGCCAGTACCGACGATAACTATGGCACTAACAGCGGCGGCAGTACGTGGAACAACACTGGCCACTTCGAACCAGATGATGGGACGAGTGAGTGACCGTTTCTTGTTTCTTGTCTCTAAAACCTAAGGAAATAATTACTTTGAGGTTATCATCATATTAAAAAGTGGAGGAATAGTTTTTGGGTGCAGAGATAGGAGAGAGAGGGATGGCCATCGAAGTACTGTGTATATTCTCTTCCTGTCTTTGTGCCTGTGGGCACTTAATCATGCTGTCACCTGGCCTCGTCACTCTTCTGTGAGGTTGACGCTAGTCGCTATCTTCAGATGACAAGCAGACTGAAAGGGTGGTTGTGAAATTGCTAGTATTTGAACTTAGAATTGTTGGACTCTCAGAGCCCATGCTCTGTCGCCCTGTGTGGCTGCTGTTAGGTCCACATGCATTTCCTAGGGTTTCTGTTAGAGTGTCTAGCTTTGCTCTCAGAAAAGGTATCCATAATTAATTAATTAATTGAGCCACTACTTGTAGAGGTTTAAAAGGCCTAGAATCAAAACCCACTAACAGCTTAATTGTTTTCTCGCATTGAGGTAGTATCTTTTTTCCCTTCATTTTTGGAAAATTTCAGTATCTGGGGAAAGGAGAAATTGTATCTTTCTAGCTCTATTTATTGGATAGTCTTCTGAACGTGGAAGAATATTAAGGGGATTTAAATACAATTTTTTGTTGTCATTAGCTGACTTCGGTGTCTGTAGCTGGGTAGGCTCTATATATTTAAGGATATTTTAGGTTTGTGGGATATACCAAGAGCTATTACGGAGTAAAAGATGGTTTTCTCTCTCTCTCTCTCTCTCTCTCTCTTTTTTTTTTTTTAACTTTCACCCTTTTAAATAAGAACGGCTTCTAGGCTCCAGAGTGTTTTATTCTTATGTGATCACTAACTTCTTACAGCTGAGCCGGCACATGGAGAGCTCTCGACCCTTTTCTCCTGTAAAAGGAGGAATGATCTAGTAGCAGAACATGAATTAGGCTCTTTGACTCCATCTGTTTACTTGCCTTGCCCTTTTTCAAAGACTGTTGATCTTTCTCTCTCTCTCTGGGAGGGTCTTTGGCACAAACAGTTCATCTACTGCTGACAAGATGTGAGACCTTAGGTCCTGAATGTTTCTTGCTTTTTGTTTACCACACTATCTCATCAGTGCATTTTGGATACAGTTTTTCCCATTGGTGGAGACTGAAGTTGAGTTATGGACAAGATGGTGATCCATTTTAATTCCCTAGACATTTGGCTAAGAAATGTCTTTATTACTTTGGAGGTGGAAGAATGAGTTGCTCTTCATTCATCTCCTGATGGCTTTGTAGAGGCAGTGGTAGCAGTCTGAGTAACAAAAGTTACTGTTTCTGAGCTCTAGTTCTTGGACATTTGGTTTTTTATCATTGGCACAAAACATTATAGAGATTAAGGGATTTGTTTTCTGTTGTGGATAGAAAATCACACAAGGAGTCCTAGTCCTAGATTGAAAGCCTTAGCTGTTCTCAGCAAGGATTTTGTTTGGAAACAAGGAATGATAGTGTGTTTATTTCTTCTTAGAGTATAGCAGATTTGGGAGGTTAGAATCAGAAATCTGAGTTGTGGCTGAATGGAAAACTGTGTGATACCGCTGCCATCTTGCTAGTGTGAACGAGTTGGGTGTAGCTTTATGCGTTTCTGTTGTTCATTTCATGGCATGAACTGACTTCCGTGCATGATCTTTTTGTGTTTTCATGATAGCACACTTCAAATTCTCTTTTTTGATTTAAAAAGAAATTCAAACCTACCCTTAAAATATCCACAGGTACAGTGGGAATTGTGTTTTGGGGGCAGATGTTCTCATTCATAAGCAAAATTTCACTGGTCGTTTTTTCTTTTCTTTTCTTTTTTGTTTCAGGACTTGATTTCATTGGGGTTGAGGGGTCAGATTATCCCCGAAAGTTTGAGACTGCTCCTGGTATGATGCATCCAGGTGCCTCACTGCCCCGGATATTTTTTTAGGTTTTAATGAATTGAAATATCTGTGGATATGTAATTTTTCTGTCATCCTGCTTTTTTCCTTTTCTGCTTTTCTCCCTCATACTCTGGGCCTATTTTCCCTTCTTGAAAAATTTTGTCCATGAATGAAGATTTAACATTTGCATTGACTCCTGTCTGCTGACAGGATGGAAACTCTTACCTGTTCAGATTCTTTGCGCTCTTTCTGTTCCTTCGTGCTGCGCCGGTACAGTCTTCTCGCCACTACGCACGTCCTGTATGGGGTCAAGTAGGTGTCTTCCTTCTTCCTTCCCATCCCAGATGCAGTCGCCAGAGCGCAGGCAGACATTCCTGCCTTGAGAGAGCCTACTCGTGCGTGGTCACTTCCAGCTCCAGGGTTATGTGTGTGGACAGATTGGGATTCCATTTACCCAGGGCAGGATGGGTGTCAGTGCAGAGGAGGAGTAGTGTTACCCGGGAGAGAGAAGAGTGTGCTTTGTAACTTGTCTCAACTGAGATTGGACTTCTGTTTGATTCGGAGAACATTGCCATTACTAAGCGGTTTGGAATTTCCCTGGTCCAGTTACAACGCTCTGAGAGGGGTATTACAGTGAACATCTTTTTCTCTAGGAAATGAGGTTCTTTCATTATTAAAAGTTAAGAATTTTTTTTTTTTTTTAAGATTTTATTTTGAAGTAGTCTCCATATGTAGGGTGGGGCTTGGACGCACGACCCCCACATCAGGAGTCACATGATCTACTGACTCAGCCAGGCAGCCCTAGAAGAACTCCAGATGGGTTTTGTAGGTTTAGAATATTTCTCTTCAGTGACAGTGAAATACCTGAATGCCAGACTTCTGTTCTTTTAAGAGGGTTTCTCCATTTGGAAAAAAGGCTTTAAGAGTTAAAATGTACTCTTGTTTTAGAGAAGAAAATAAAGAGTGTTCTTGTCCTTTTCTATAGGCAGGCTATTTCTTACTGTGGTCCTTGTTGAAGGGAAGAATCCTGGCTCTCACAGAACAGTTTCCCTTTCCGAGGATCTATGTATACATGAAGCAAAATAAGGGGGATGTGGAAGGTGGTTTGATTGTTGATGGCCGTTTCCTATAGAAACTATCCTGACTTCATTTTTACCACCGTGAGGAGAGTGTACACCTGTATTGTCTTCACAGATCCCTTGGGTTAGATGCCACACTTTGTAGGATTAGGATTAGGATAATAACTAATGCACATTTAATTTCTCCATTTTGGCCAGTGTCTTTTGAAAAGAGCAAGACCCATGAGGGTTTCTTATAATTAGTCCAGCGAAATCTATAAACTTGACTGCTACTGAGTATACATTTTTAAATTGAGTTCCTATAGCAGATAGTTGTCCATCCCCTTAGTTTGGACGCTGGTCCTTCTTCACTGCCGTCCCGCTAGCCTGTGGCAGCCGTTGTGTTCCTTCTCACTGCTGTTTTCTCCAGACCCCCAGAGTTGTCTCCTACTGGATGAGCAGGTGTAGTTCTCGTCTAAATTGGCTGCTGCCATTTTACTTGAATTGACCACTAAGTCAAAGGGCTGAAGGGTGTAAGAGTTTGCCTGGAGCATTGGGTCTGTTGTCCCCTGGCTCCCGCACCCCCACTGCCTTTACTGTTAAAACTATGTGACAAAACCAGAAAGTAGGTGTGAAATCATAATCTTATTAAAACCCTCGTATTCTGAGGTATCACTTCCTAAATAGTCTTTTTCTCCTTCTGGAGCCTAGGAATCCCTTCTGATTACTAAAATCTGGCTACACTTTTGGCTGCCAAAATGTTAATACGTTAGTGTTTTTTGCACATGTCTTGCACTGCCACTTAAAATTACTTCACTGTTGTTTGTTTTTTTTTTCCTTTATTGCCAGGTGCTTGGAGGACTGCAACAGAGGAATGGGGAACTGAAGATTGGAATGAAGATGTAGGTATTCCCGGGTTATTCCTCACTAGTGCTTTCTATCCCTAAGTGGTGTTTAGGGATAGAAAATGGGTATGTTTCTACCCCTCAAAATTCACCCTTAAGATTCTGACCCAAAACTTTTACATCCAAAATAGTGTTCTGAGCCAGAACATTTCACATATGTTATATGAAGGAGACTGGGGATGAACAGGACTCTGTGGAACCAGACTATGGAAAGGGCAAGTGCACCTGTGTAAGTCCAATATCTGATTGTCGGATTTATCCCAGGAAGAGATGGTGGTTGGGTAGGGCACCAGAAAGGGAGTCAGGCAGGTGGTGCGCTGAGTAGCAGCCGCTGGCGGCACGTGGTGCTGGAGCCAGTTCTGTTGTTTGGTTCACATTCAGGCATTGGTGTATGGTCCTGGGATTGGCTTAGAGGTGGGTACAAAGAGAAAGGGACCGTACCACATCTTCAGGTTTACAATCTGGTTGGTTCTGGAACCCTTTTATTTACTTGAAGCCCAGCTTTGTAATTGAGATGAATAGATAGATCCGGCTGTCGTCCATCTTGACTCAACCTGGAAACCTCGTACGTGGGTGGCGTAAACGTGGCACCAAACAAGCTGTGAATTCACCGGAGTAGTACCTGAGAAAAAGAATTTTTCAGATTCTTGGTCACAGTCAAGCTTTTGTTGTCAATTCTACTTTTCAGTGATCATGGATTAACTCCTGTTTTAACATTTTTCATTCTACTTTCCTGTACTTGTGTGTGTTCAGGCAAGACAGCTTATGTAGCGAGAGGGTAATCGGTCAGACTGTCCTGGTTTGCCAGGCCTGAGTTCTTAACATTTCAGATGCACCAGCATAAGAGGGTGATTATTGCCTTGTGAATACTTTCTAAGATTTGGCTTATCTGTTAAGCAACTTTCAGAAAATGCTATATTTGGGGGAGTAGATTCCCTGTTTTTAGAGAAGAGATTTTAATCAAAATGTGAAAACAAAACCAAATCAAGTTTTGAATAGTTAGAATGAGTTATTCCTACAATTGCTTACCTACACTGCAAAGACTAGGTGTAATAAAGTCACCATTAAGGCAAAAATTGCATATTGTTGAAATTATCCCTGAAAAGACCTTAATTCACCAGTATTTGGGCCCTTACTGCTCAAAAGCTAGGAACTTAATTTCTTTTATTTCTGTCTTTGTCTTGGCTGTAACCTTTCTTTGAGAGGATGAGTGGAAGTTAAAATTTGGTTTGGGTCAATGTGGGAGTTGGGAACTCTGATCGGGAAGGTATAAAAAGGTTTTCTCTCTTTTTTGTATAGCATGTGTATTCAGGTTTTTGTAAGTTTGGTGTGCATATCATGTGACTCCACTATATTTTATTGGGTTTCTTGATTTTACCCTCTCTTTTGATAAAATCACTGAGCCTGTCTAGAAGGTGCGTGGAGGTCAGTCCAGGTAGGGTTCCTCTGGGTAGGTGGTCCTCTCTTCTGAGGGTTTTCCGTTTTCCTTGGTGTTAAATTCCCCGTATTTATGCCAGATTTCTGACTGTAGCCCACCTAACACCAGGAGTGACTAATCCCTCTGTTTTACAGCTGTCAGAGACCAAGATCTTCACGGCCTCTAATGTGTCTTCAGTGCCTCTGCCTGCGGAGAATGTGACAATCACTGCTGGTCAGAGGCAAGTGTGTGGTAAAGTTCAGCATCTTTTTCCGGAGGGGCCTGGTGAAAGCTCTAAGGAAGAGTAGCACTGGGCCTTCATACGCTCCTATAGTGTTGGTAGTAATGGTAACCAGAGCATACCAGGTTCCTCTTTAGTTGATTGATAGGTTTACAGGAGTTGATCTACTAAATGGAAATCCATATATTACAATTTTAAGGATGTTTTTCTCCAGAATAGCTTCTTTAATTACATAGGTCAATCTGAATTAAAATTTTGTATGATACAACTTGACTGGTAGTAAGGTAAAATTAAACATGGAAATGTTTTCATTTATTTGAGTTTGCAGAGCTGTTTAGTAGCTTCTTCTCTTGCTTTATAATTAAGATTTTTGTCTACTGAGCCTACTGAGTAAAGCGATCATTTTTACTGTAGGATCTGGCTAATGAACTTTTTTGAATTTGATCCCTAAAGTATTGGGGTCAGTAGAGGAAGAAACACTTACCAGGAATATTTTTATCCCCAGAAGTCCTCTTAGATTATTTCTAGACCTAGGTATGATAGCTGTTGACTCAGAAAGTCCCGAATTGCACTAGAAATAGGTGTTGAGGCCATTACCCCCAGAGGTGATGTGTATTGTTTTTCTGACACCAGTTCTTCAACTCTTTGACACCACCTACAGCTATTCAGTAATTCAGTTCAATTCTGATACTATCTAGAGTTGCACACAGCCTAGTAGATGCCTTTATCCCATAAGACCGCCTTGCTTCAGAGGTCAACTGCAAATGGGTGCCCAGGGTACCCATACGCTTCTGCCTGGCTGACAACAAATTTGGGAATTCTTACAGCCTCCTTCTTAAGTTCAGTAATCCGCTAACATGACTCACAGAACTCAGGGAAGAGGTTCCTTGCCATCATTGGTTTGTTAGAACCAGTACTCAGGAAAAAAAGCCAAATGGAAGAGTTGATATGGCAGGGCATGGGGTGGGACACAAAACCTCCCAAGTTTTGTTACTTAAATAGGCCCGATTGATTAAGCCATTGGCTATTAAAGGCAGTCCCCAGCTTCCAACCCTAAGAGTGGGTAGAGAGTGCTGGGGCTGAAAGATGTAACCCTTTAGTCCCCTTCCTGGTGTTGCTGGTGGCCGCCCCCTTCCTGAAGCTCTGTGGGGGGGCTCCTGAACTGAGTAACCTCAATATTGTAAACTTTTGTTGAAAGAGGCTCATTACGGGGTGCCTGGGTGGCTCAGTCGGTTAAGCATCTGCCTTTGGCCCAGGTCATTATCTCCAGGTCCTGGGATTGAGCCCTGCGTCAGGCTCCCTGATGAGCAGGGAGTCTCCTCTTTTCCCTCTGCCCTTCCCCACCACTTGTTCTGTCTCTCTCTCTCTGTCTCTCAAGTAAATAAAATCTTTAAAAAATTCTCTCTAATAAAAGTAAGAATAAAGAGATTTATTATGAATAACAAGATATTCTGGAAATTTTAAGGGTTTTAGGAGCTCTCTGTCAAGAACTGAAGACAAAACCAAACTATAGGTATTTTTATTATACCACATTAACTTTGGGAATTTTATAAAAACTGGGGGAAGGATTCCAGAGACATTTGAAGAAGATGCCAGTGTTCTAGTATATGTTTTTATGTATTAGGTACTACTAATGACAGGTATTCAGTATTAAAATATTGGCTAAAGAATTGTAAAGTTTTGGCCTAAATAATCAAGCTGCTATTAAAACTAACATTTGCACTTTCCTTAAATTGATTTCACTAAATTGGAATATTTGACATTATGGTTGACAACACCATTGGCACACAGCTGGATCCTACAGGGGCTCTTACACACCAATTACTTTGGTAGATGAAGTATTTCAGGTCTTTGTGTTATTGATGAGGGCTTCATTTTGATCTAACCGTAGTCCGAATTGTGAGTTGGGGAATGCTGGAACATTCTGTCATTATTCATCACGATGTCGCATGTCCCCACTAGAATTGACCTTGCTGTTTTGTTGGGGAAGACACCGTCTTCAGTGGAGAATGACTCATCCAATTTGGATCCATCTCAGGCTCCTTCTCTGGCCCAGCCTCTGGTGTTCAGTAATTCAAAGCAGAGTGCCATAACCCAGCCTGCTTCCGGAAACACGTTTTCTCATCACAGCATGGTAAGTAGGAGACATGGTGTCTTCCAGCCACACTTTCCTGCCGACCCCAGCACACACGCGCAGTACTGCCTTCTGATGACAGGTTTGGGGCAGGGTAAAACATCCCCTTTTGCCCTCTAAGCAACCTTGGGTGTAGAGATGTAGAATTGGGTAATAGGGGCGCCCCCAGAGGAGGACTTAGTTTTGGACGCACGGAGTCTTTTCTAGAAATGAGTGTGCTCAGTTACCGAATACTCGCTGTGCTGGATGTTACTTGCTCTTAAGAGAAAAACATGACATCGAACTTTAATCCTTCTTTAATTCTAATTAAACTTTGATGGGAGGTTGTAGTGCTTCCCTATTTCTTCCTTCCTTCCTTCTTTTCTTTCTTTTTTTTTTTTTTTTTAAGATTTTATTTATTCATTTGACAGAGCACAAGCAGGAGGAGCAGCAGAGGGAGAGGGAGAAGCTGACTCCTGCTGAGCAGGGAGCCTTTGGTGGGGCTGGATCCCAGGACCTCAGGATCATGACCTGAGCTGAAGGCACATGCTTAACTGACTGAGCCACCCAGGCATCCCTCCCTATTTTTTGATAGAACAGAGTTGCCACATAAATTTGTTTAAGCCAGACATTTCTGAGCTAGGCTTCCAAAAACTTGAAGTTTTTGTGACTATTTCTGCTTACTGTTAATCCTTTTCTCTGTAAGCAGGGTTGAGAGTAATTGCTTTGCCTGCCTTACTGAGCTGTGGAAAGACAAAGTAAGATGAATAAGGGCTGTGCAGGTTTGGAGTGGTCGTGGTATTGTTCATTAATGCTTAGAGCGCTCATGGCATGTGACTTGCTGATCCAGTTAAAAGACTTAAGGTCACTAGTTATAGTAAAGGAATCATTTAATCTAAAGAAAGGTGGTGAACCAATTTTTGGGGGGGGGTGTTGTCACATAAAGGAAACTTTATTTACAGCAAAAAGGAGATCACGGGGGCGTTGACCAATTTTTTTTATAGTCAACAAATCTTAAGAAATACTTTTTTTCTGTTTGCTTTTCCCCTCCTATCTGTATCTTTTTTGGTGGAGGGATATTATAGTTGTAAGAGCTAAGAGACCATATGTGTGCATATAATTTTATTTTTCCAGTAGTAGGATTATAGTAATTACTTGAGATAGAAAACTGCTGAGCTAGCCTCTAATCCAGAACTGTCCGTTTTTAACTACTGTCTAAAACTTTTTGTGTGCGTGTTAGTAGTAATTTGGTGATTGATGTTCTGACATATATGAAAGGTGGCAGGTGAGGAAAGGTGGGGCAGAAGGGACAGGCAGCAGAGCATTGGGATTAAAGAAAAAGGGAGAATGAAGAACGCTTGGGTGGCTCAGTCCATTAAGCATCTGCCTTCAGCTCAAGTGGTGATCCCAGGGTCCTGGGATCGAGTCCCACATCAGGCTCCCTGCTCAGCGGGGGGCCTGCTGGAGCTCGTTCGCATATGCGTGTATGCGTATGTTCACGCTCTCTCCTTCTCTCAAGAAATAAGTAAGTAAAATCGAAAGAAAAACATTAGAGACAAAAGTCATAAAGTTAAGGAAATAACACCAATCCCTGAGCTATATGGTGGGAAAATGTGGTGATGCATTCTCTCTTTTAATTGCCTTTTTAATATCTGGATTGTAAAGATGTACAACCTAATTCAAACTCTGGTATGAAAAATAACTTTTCAGCATATTTCATTTATCCTGGTAGTCTGTTTAATGTGTCACATGATGTTAAACGATGTTAAACTAAATAAAAATACCAGTCAATACTGTGTTCTTCTCGTTAGCTGTATTGGTCAGTATGCTATTCATTTTCTTACCTATTAAGAGTAAATATTAGAGGATTAATTTCCCTTAAAATTTAATATATGTAAATAATATAGGAGGTCCCCATTGTCATGTGTGATATGTGAACATTACCTCAGGTGCTGTGCCTTTAATGTAAAGGTCTGCACTCGGGGACTGTTTCTGATCATCATTGCTACATGCGATCATCTCTTTGCCACAAGCCCATACTTTTAACTCGACTTCTGGTGTTTTGTTTTTGTTTGTATAATCTTGCGAGATAGACTATAATGGGAAAAATGTCTTACCTTGGGTTGGACAGATTGGTTTTGTGTAAGAAAGCACTGCTCAGGGGCAACTAGGTGGCTCAGTTAAGTGTCCCTTTTGGTTTTGGCTGAGGTTGTGACCTTGGGGTGGAGAGATTGAGCCCTGCATTGGGCTCTGTGCTCAGTAGGGAATTTGCTTGGGATTCTCTCCCTCTGCACCACTCAGGTGTACATGCTCGCTCTCAGATAAATCTTTAAAAAAAGGGGGGGGGTGCACCTGGGTGGCTCAGTGGGTTAAAGCCTCTGCCTTCCACTCAGGGCATGATCCCAGGGTCCTGGGATCGAGCCCCGCATTGGGCTCTCTGCTCAGCGGGAAGTCTGCTTCCCTTCCTCCCTCTCTACCTGCCTTTCTGCCTACTTGTAATCTCTGTCTGTCAAATAAATAAATAAAATCTTAAAAAAAATAAAAAATAAAAAAGCACTGCTTAGTGTTGATCAGGATGGAATGGTTGGGTGAGAACCTAAAGAAAACCAGATTCTAAATCTCCTTGAAGGTGTTTTAAAAGATTTTATTTATTTATTTATTTGACAGAGAGACATTGAGAGAGGGAACAGAAGCAGGGGGATTGGGAAAGGGAGAAGCAGGCTTCCCACCAAGCAGGGACCCCAACAAGGGGCTCGATCCCAGGACCCTGAAATCATGACCTGAGCCGAAGGCAGATACCCAATGACTGAGCCACCCAGGCACCCCTCCTTGAAGGTGTTTTAAAGTAGTCAAGGCCACATGCTTCATCTGGGTGAGCCTGGTCGGCTTACCCAGGAGTAGGGAGTGGGGAAAATCTCCCCACAGCCTTAAGAATAAATTTTGCTTTGTTTTTCATGGTTACCCTATAGAACTTGGATACATACAGACCAAACAAATCACACTGACTTGTTAGTTGATTGTCCAGTGCAGACATTTTGACAGGCCCTCAGCTCCTCTCCCTCGGCTCCTGTGGGAGCAACGTGGCGCTGAGGCTCCGGTTCATTCCTGTTAACTTTCAGCTGTTCAGTGGAAGGGACTAGGACATTAACCCTAAAGTGAAATTTTATGTTAACCTTCATATTAATTAAATAATCACATACTGTTGATTCAGAACTAAAAGGAAAAAAATTCCTTTTAGTCTTTAGATGTTAAATTCTTTTTTAAAGATTTTTGTTTATTCATTTGACAGAGACACCGAAAGAGGGAACACGAACAGAGGGAGTGGGAGAGGGAGAAGCGGGCTTCCTGCTGAGCAGGGAGCCTGACGGGCTCGATCCCAGGACCTTGGGATTATGACCTGAGCCGAAGGCAGACGCTTAACAACTGAGCCACCCAGGCGCCCCTAGTCATTAGATCTTTATCCCTGAGGAGGAAGTGATGGCGTAAATTTTAATGGCTCTCATTTTTTTGAGTGCTTATTATGTGCCATGCACGTATTAAATGCCTTTTTTTTTTTTTTAAGATTTTTATTTATGTGTTTGACAGAGAAACAGGGAACATAAGCACGGGGAGTGGGGAGAGGCAGGCTTCCTGTTGAGCAGGGAGCCTGACATGGGGCTCAATCCAGAATCCTGGGATCATGACTTGAGCTGAAGGCAGATGCTTAGTGGCTGAGCCACCCGGGCGCCCCTAAAGGCGTTTTTATGTACATTACTTGTTTAATCCTCCTACAGCTTTATGCAGTACTATTCTTATTTCTATCTTCAGGTGAGGAAAATGAGGTCAGAGAAGTTACAAATGAGTTTTCCATGATTCTATAGCCAGGATTTGAACCTGAGCAGTCTGACTGCAGAGACTGTGTACTCAGTCTGGTGACATTCTTTGCTTGTCTGATCTCCACTGGCTCTCGCTGTAGAGAAGTGTCTTTCTGAGTAGTGAACATATTTGCTTGCTGTGGATTTCTTTCATCTCTGTGTTCCTCTACAGGTGAGCATGTTAGGGAAAGGATTTGGTGATGTTGGTGAAGCCAAAGGTGGCAGCACTACAGGCTCGCAGTTCTTGGAGCAGTTCAAGACGGCTCAGGCCTTGGCCCAGTTGGCGGCACAGCATTCGCAGTCTGGAACCACCACCACCTCCTCTTGGGACATAGGCTCTGCCTCACAGTCCCCATCGCTGGTGCAGTACGGTGAGGAGAATGGAAAGTGACTTGAATTCTTTAAGCATGGGAGTATGAGTGCCAGGCGCTGGCAGGAGTCAAGGGTGGAGGATATGTCTTGAAGTCAGAAGGGCAGTGGGGCAGCCAGCTGGCTAGTATCCCCTACTGATCTTCCCCTAGTCAGACAGGCTGAGTTCAGAAAGCTAGGAAATAGAAAAAAGTTGAGGCTTACGATGTCTTTATTAAAATTAGACACATACATAGTTGCAGTCTTCAGTTGATTTGGGGGTTTTTGGATTCTCCCTAGATTGGTTTTTAGTGTATGAAAATAACACATTGCCTTTGAGAAGGTTCATGGACTTGGCCGTTTTAGGACCTTACATTCTCAATATGGACAGCTCCTAGATCCTATCTTACAGAGGCAGGGTCGTCGTGCTGGCTTGATTGGGCTAAACTTAGAACAGGTGTGATCCAGTGGTTGTCACTTTCAGAAATGAGGGTAAGCCCTAAAAAGAGAGCCTGTTTATATGAGGTACTGAATGTTGAGGGTCTTGTCTTCTGCTTTTTAGAGTAGGAAAGTAGCATGTGTTTGAGGTTTATCAGCATGTCTGGTCTCACACATACTGCGTTTCTTCATACAGATTTGAAGAACCCAAATGATTCAACCGTACACAGCCCCTTTACCAAACGCCAGGCTTTCACCCCGTCTTCAACCATGATGGAGGTGTTTCTTCAGGAGAAGCCACCGGCAGTGGTTACCTCCACCACCGCACCTCCACCCCCCTCTTCTCCTCTGCCGAGTAAACCCACCTCGGCCCCGCAAATGTCTCCTGGCTCTTCAGACAACCAGTCCTCTAGCCCTCAGCCGGCTCAGCAGAAATTGAAACAACAGAAGAAAAAGGCCTCCTTGACTTCAAAGGTAGCTGAGCTGTGAGATGGGTGTCATCTTAGGGCAGGACAGGTATGGGGTTGGGGAACTGAGATTATAAGGGGAGAGTGCAGATTGGAAGCAGAGGTTCGTCGTCGTCGTTAGTGTCACGTACAGTTGTACTGAAACCCTTCCCTTCTCTCTGTAGATCCCGGCTCTGGCTGTGGAGATGCCTGGCTCGGCAGATATCTCAGGGCTGAACCTGCAGTTCGGGGCTTTGCAGTTTGGGTCAGAGCCCGTCCTTTCTGATTACGAGTCCGCCCCCACCACGAGCGCCTCTTCAAGCCAGGCTCCCAGCAGCCTCTATACCAGCACGGCCAGGTAGAGGACACATCAATCATAAGACTTTTTTAATAGGGCTTTTCCTACTTTTTCTGAGTCTTGGGCTGATTCCTTTAATTCGTAAGAGACTGAGCCTCTGGCTGAATGAAGGAAAAGTAAAAGTGTCTGATCATAGCATTTCACTAAGTATTTCAAAATACCGTTACCAGTGTTGTCTCTAACTCGGAACAGGTGGAGCGATGCCCCTTGGGTACTAGAGTGGCTGCGCCCAGTTCTTTTTTTTTTTTTTTTTTTTTTTTAAAGATTTTATTTATTTGTCAGAGAGTGAGCACAGGCAGACAGAGGGGCAGGCAGAGGCAGAGGGAGAAGCAGGCTCCCCGCTGAGCAAGGAGCCCGATGTGGGACTCGATCCCAGGACACTGGGATCATGACCTGAGCCGAAGGCAGCCACTTAACCAACTGAGCCACCCAGGCGTCCCAGTTCTTGAGAGCTGTGTGTGACACCTTTAGCAGGAGGACCTTGCTATCTGGCTCACAATGCCTCTGACACATTTGGTCCTTTGCTGTGTGCCTTGTGCCTAAGAAGGGTGTATCTCTGGCTTCCTAGAAAAGATGGAGCATTGATATATCACATAAGTTAAATGGAACCTTTCCTGCCTCCTCCGATAACCACGTGGGAGAGCCAGCAGAAGCAACAGCAGATCTGGAGGACTTTCTGGGACTCGGCCGTTTTCCTTAGTCCTTCGAATTTAAGGACAGTGGTGTTAGGCTCTAGCCTAATCTGTTGAATCATCATTGCCATTGATGCATGTGAATATTTTAAAAGTTCTTCTCAGGAGAGTTTTACCAGTAACCTTATATGTAATAGGGTTTCTGAGAGAGCCAGGAGGTCAGAGTTCCTTAAAATGAATATGAGCAAAAGATGACTTTCCTCGTGCTTAGGTTTCCTGTGAGGGTGTTTCGGAGGGATCGGGAGTGGTCCATCCTTTCTGCTTTTTTCTCTTTTTCCCGTAACAGCAGAACATGGGGTAGGTGTTTCAGTTTACACCCCTGATTATATAGGATGTGGAAATGCCTATTGTCAGGAAAAGATTGGTTTTTTAATCTGTTTCTGGAGGTTTTCATTTTGCCTGTTATCAGATTACCCTAGTAGAAGATCTCCACTATTTCCTTCGTATCAGTGGATCTGTTCTGCTTCATTTCTCTGAGATTTTCCTTCTGCATTCCCCACAGTGAATCTTCATCCACAATTTCATCTAACCAGAGTCAGGAGTCCGGTTATCAGAGCGGTCCAATTCAGTCGACAACCTATACCTCCCAAAATAATGCTCAGGGTCCTCTGTATGAACAGAGGTCCACACAGACTCGACGGTACCCCAGCTCCATCTCCTCATCACCCCAAAAGGACCTGACTCAGGCAAAGGTAGTGGCTTTACAAGTCCCTGGGCTGTGGTTAGGACAATATTGGGGAGAGTGTCTTCAGTGTTAGAGTTTTACTTCTTGATAAATGGTGCTGGGATACCTCAGAAGTGCAGATTGAGAAGTTGGAAAAAGCACATTTCTGTGGTTGGTGATATTAAAAACTTTTCAGCAAGCCTAGATATTCAGAGCCAGAAACCATTCTCTTTGCAGTAAAGATTCATTCTTTGTAGTAGAATCAGTGTCAAAAAATGGTTTTTCTGGGAAGATCTGAGTTCTAGACTTCTGGGTGTGTACCACTAGACACCTTGCTGTGTCTTGGCCCAGTGCGGGGACAGCATGTCCCAGAGGTACTGTGGAGTGATGGTCAGATGCAGCCAGCACACTGGCTGGTTTGGCTGCACTGTCGGACTTCCCCGTCCTCCCCTGGGGCCCTAGACTTAGGCCTTTGCTGTGTCTCTTCTGGGTTTGGGGTGTCTCAAGCAGGTTGGCGGTTGCCTTCTGCCGCCGTGGGTCACACGGGATTGGCGTACCTTGTTTTCGTTCCATTTTAAATTCTTGTCATTCTGTTGGGATAGTCCACATTACGTTAATTCTTCGGTCAGCTTGCAGAATTCTCTGAAAGATTTGTTCGTGGAAATTAAGCTGAGTCAGTGCTGACTGGGCCTGTCTACTTGAGCTTGCTTCTTACTCCTCTGTTGTTTTTGTACCAGAATGGCTTCAGCTCCGTGCAGGCCCCGCAGTTACAGACCACGCAATCTGTTGAAGGTGAGTGTTCTTCAGGCCTTTTCCTCTATGTTGTAGTGTTTTTCCTCCCCCTCAGCATTTTTTGCTTTTCTTGGATTGTAGTGAGAAGAGCCCTGGCCTTGGTCATAGTCTTGATTTGGTTCTGCCTTGCTATTTAATACCAAACAAACTTAAGTTTCCAGTTTCTCTGTTTTAGAATAGTGATAATACCCTTGGTTCCCTTAATTGCATAAATGAGATCAGTGCCCTGAAATGCTTAGAATCTAAAAAGAGAGAGAGAGGGAGAGGGGGTTACCTAAACACACGGAGTCCATTATTAAATAACTCACACTCTTAGCTTGGGGACAGCCTGGGACTCCCATGACTAGGAGTCGTCTCTTTACTTCTCATAGACACTCCTTTCCTCTGACGAGGTGAATTATTTATTCTTTATTTCCAGGTGCTACAGGCGCTGCAGTGAAATCTGACTCACCTTCTACTTCGGGCCTCCCCCCTCTCAGCGAAACGGTGTCTGCAGCTTCCTTACTGACAACAGCCACTCAGCACTCATCCTCCTTGGGTGGCTTGAGCCATGGCGAGGAGAGTCCAAATGCTACCACCACGCAACACAGCAGGTGATTTGGGTTGCGCTGGACGTTGGGATTGTGCGGAGCAGGAACAGAGCTCTCTGCCTCAGCTCTCCCTGCTGCCTGGCAGGGGCCACATTAGCGAGGTGGACGACCTGAAAGCTACGGGAAGTAGAAGCAGAGGAGGCCTGTCCTCCCTTCTCAGCAGCCGCTCTCGCTGTGTCTGCTTCCTCCTTTGGGCTGGTCACTGCGCTCCCCGTGATCTCAGGTCTCCTTGGCCCTGTATTCACCTCCTCTCCTCACCCCTGTTCCTGCCGCATGCTCCGGGTCCCGTAACCACAGCAGTGTGGCTGATGGCGGCCTCCTCTTTGCAGCCCCTTAGCCACGCAGCAGAACACCCTTTCATCATCCACATCTTCTGGGCGCACTTCTACATCTACTCTTCTGGTAAGTGTGATACTGCAGAAGAGGAAGTGTGGTTTTCTTAACACTTCTTAAGAAGGATTCTTGGAAATCTCTTCAGGGGATGGCAGAAGCAGGAGAATCCATAGGTGCTACAGAGCTGTGGGCCAGTTCCCCAAACCCCCTGAGTCTTTTTTTTTTTTTTTTTTTTAAGATTTTGTCTATTTGACAGAGAAAGAGATTACAAGTAGGGCAGAGAGGCAGGCAGAGAGAGGGGTATGTAGGCTCCCTGCTGAGCAGAGAGCCCAATGCAGGGCTCGATCCCAGGACCCTGATATCATGACCTGAGCCAGGGGCAGAGGCTTAACCCACTGAGCCAGGATCCCTGACTCCTGAGTCTCTATGTGACTTTTTGTTTGTTTCTTAGCACTGAGGTGGGTGGGACTTTGTGTGCTCTGACAAGTGCTGTAAGAATGTCCCTTTCCGGGGCGCCTGGGTGGCTCAGTGGGTTAAGCCGCTGCCTTTGGCTCAGGTCATGATCTCAGGGTCCTGGGATCGAGTCCCGCATCGGGCTCCCTGCTCAGCAGGGAGTCTGCTTCCCTCTCTCTCTCTGCCTGCTTCTCTGTCTACTTGTGCTCTCTCTGTCAAATAAATTAAAAAAAAAAAAAAAAAAAGAATGTCCCTTTCCCATTCTGGCTGTTGTCATTCCTTGGTCTGGGATATGCCACACATGACTGCTGAAAATCATCCGTGTGAGTCTGGGCATCAAGCTTTGGATCAAATCGTTAATTTTAGTCTTGTGATTTAGAGCAACCATTTGTGGAATTAGGCTGATAGGGTAAGGAAGTTGCATTCTGGGCAAAGATGTCTGGTTTGCCAGGAACCTGGGGGAAGACGATGAGCGCTGAGTCTTCCTTCAAAGTCTCTTTTTCCTTAGACACAGATTCATCAGAACTTGCTGAACTAGTGAAGGAGAATGTGGGAGGGAAGACTGGGATGTATTTCTTTGACTTGAACAGTTCATTGGCCAACCAGCACTGGTTTCTGGGGTGTTGGTCCCCGCTTACTCTGCTGCCTCTGACGAGGGTGATGTGCAGTGGGTCTGCTGTTAGCCACCCCTGCCTGACGAGTCTTGGGAAATGGGTAGCTAGAGGGTAACTCCTTTGGCAGAGGGCACCCAGGATTCAGCCACAGCCTTTTTTTTTTTTTTTTAAGATTTTCTTTCTTTCTTTCTTTCTTTCTTTCTTTCTTTTTTTTTTTTTTTAAGATTTTTTATTTGTTTATTTGACAGACAGAGATCACAAATAGGCAGAGAGGCAGGCAGAGAGAGAGAGAGAGGAGAAAGCAGGCTCCCCGCCGAGCAGAGAGCCCGATGCGGGGCTCGATCCCAGGACCCTGGGATCATGACCTGAGCCGAAGGCAGAGGCTTTAACCCACTGAGCCACCCAGGCGCCCCGATTTTCTTTATTTATTTGACAGAGATCACAAGGAGGCAGAGAGGCAGGCAGACAGGGGAAAGCAGGCTCCCTGCTGAGCAGAGCCCAATGCGGGGCTCGACCTCAGAACTGTGGGATCATGACCTGCGCTGAAGGCAAAGGCTTAACCCACTGAGCCACCCAGGCGCCCCGGCCTCAGCCTTTTTAATTGGGCAGCTGCACTCCTGGCCCGTTTTGCTAATCACTGTTTTGTCCTGTCTTCCACCGCTCCCCCTTTTTTAAGCACACAAGCGTGGACAGTGAGGCGAACCTCCATTCTTCCTCCAGCACTTTCTCCACCACATCCAGCACGGTTTCTGCGCCTCCGCCTGTGGCCAGTGTCTCCTCCAGTCTCAGCAGCGGCAGCAGCTTGGGCCTGGGGCTCAGCAGCAACTCCACCGTCACAGCCTCAACTCGGAGCTCGGTTGCTACAACTTCAGGTAGAGGGTGGTTGGCGCTGCTCTGGGACAGGGACGAGAAGTGAATGTGTGACAGGGTAAAAGTGATTTCTCTTTCTAGGAAAAGCTCCTCCCAACCTCCCTCCAGGGGTCCCGCCGTTGTTGCCTAATCCGTACATTATGGCTCCGGGGCTGTTACATGCCTACCCGGTAAGTGAGACGGAAGTACTTTCTGCAGACGACAAAGACGGGGTGGCTGCTCTTGGCGGCTGTGGCTTCAGGGGGAGCCTCTGAGTAAATACCGAATGAACGAGTTGTCATGTGTAAGCAGACAGGTTTTTAATCTTTGTCGTTTGGGAAGAACTAATCGTTTCTAGAGAGGAAGGGATAAACTGAGGCCATTTCTCCTGTTTTGTATTTTGTCTATGAAACATGGACTCTCAGCCTCTGAATCTAAAGGCCAGAGAGTCCGTCTGCAGTCCGTCCCTTTCAGATTCTCTGAGAACTATTTTCTCTGGTTGGATTGATGTCATGTCTTGGAGGGTCTTTGCTGGCCCTGACCAGCCAGCTAGAGTTCTCTGACCTGATCTGGGACGATCTGAGAGCGACAGACAGCGGTAGCTTTTCCCCCTGCTGTTTCTTCTGTCAAATTTGTGGATGTGGTGCCTGTTAAGATGAAGGGTGTTTATTTTGAAATGTTTAAAAAGACACGTGTTTTGCTCCTCAGAGCGTCCAGGTAAATATCATACAGAGGAAACATCCAGTAATGTTTTATACTTTTTTTTTTTTAAGATGTATTTATTTATTTGAGAGGGAGAATGCATGAGTGGGAAGGGCAGAGAGAGAATCTTACGGAGATTGAGTGCTGAGCACGGAGCCCAACATAGGGCTCAGTCTCACGACCCCGAGATCACAAACCAACCCAAAACTGAGTTGAACGGATGCCTAACTGTGTCACTCAGGCACCCCTACACTTCTTTTTTTTTTTTTAAAGATTTTATTTATTTATTTGACAGCAAGAGAGAGGGGACACAAGCCATGGGGAGTGGGAGAGGGAGAAGCAGGCTTCCTGCAGAGCAGGGAGCCGGAGCCAAAGACACGCTTAAATGACTCAGCCACCTGGGCCCCTCCCTTACACTTTTTAACAATAAACATACCACCTTAGTATCCATACATTAGAGAAAATAAAGAGTAAAATGTGAAACCTTTCTGAAAGAGATAAATCTTAACCCATGTTTTCGAAGGGGTGACAAAGACTGGTGGGATAGAGAGTGAAGCCGGCCACTCCCACGTAGCTCCTGTCTGTCTCACTGCCTGGGCAGGTGGCCTGGTTGAATCAGTGTGGCTTATAGTTTAAAGAGAGTCTGAAAACCTTTCGTACATCACTTAATCTTTTTGTAGTTTACTTCTTTCCTCTTGAAGGAAACTGAAAGAACTAATCTGTGTCGTATTATTCCTAAGAATGACTTACCATGTTTCTTAGCACCTTGGGCTGCTCCTGTGGTAACAGTTGCTGTTAATACTGTAACACGCTTTTATCTTGCAGCCACAAGTTTATGGTTATGATGACTTACAGATGCTTCAGACCAGATTTCCCTTGGTGAGTACGTGTGTAGAGCTTAGGAAAAGAACGAGATCTTCACCTTACCGTGGAGGGGTTCAGTTCATAAGTCACAGGCTTAGCTCTTCCCCAGCCTGCATGTCCACACACAGACTCTGATTCTCAGGCTCTGTTAGAACACAGGGACTTTGGAAGTGGTTTTAACTGAAGGTAACTTTTTGTTTTTTAATCAGTTGGGATTTCTTTGAAGTGAACAAATTTTAATGTGATCCATATCTCAGAGTACTTGGGAGCTTTCTGGGTGCTTTTTCTGTATGCGTCAGGTGTTTTGATTTACAGACGGCAGTCTCTTTTCCAGAAGTAGTAGACTGTTAGGTATATACGTGAAGGTCTGAGTGTATCCTTGGTTCCGATGGCCTTGATGTGTTTCCTGGTGGGCATACCCGTAGACCTTGTCTGACTGTGCCTGTGGCCAGGCGAGGGGGACAGTGTATGCGAGAGTAACTTGGAGTTGGTGCCAGCTCTAACCAGCTGAATCGGTGGCTGGGGAAATTGCAGCACTCCCAACATTGTGCTTCTCACCCTCTGTTGTTACTCCTGCTGGGGACTGAGTGGCATTGAGTGTCTGCTCTTTGATTTCTCTCTTCTAGGATTACTACAGCATCCCATTTCCCACGCCCACCACTCCGCTGACTGGGAGGGATGGTAGCCTGGCCAGCAACCCTTACTCTGGTATGGCTGGTATGGGGCCGAATGAAGGGAGAGTGTGTTGGGATTGGTGGCAGAAACCTGATTAATAGGGGGGGGGGGACTGTAAGAAGGACCCCAGTTTTCGCTTTAATTAAGACCTTTGGCAGAAGGTATAGAATGGATGTGATGAATCAGGGTGGGTGGATCTGGAATGCTGCAGAAGGTGGACATTTCCTTCTCGTCTTACTTCGCTGTCTCCCAGTGGTTCCGGGTGACATCTTGACTTAGTTTTCCCTGCTCTTCTCCAGTCTTTCCCAGAAGTGGAGTGCTTGGACTGGCCTTTCTCTGCTCCTCTCCGCTCCTGTCCCTGCTCACAGTGGCAGTCTCAGTGCCTTGCCTAGGCCATGATGCTTCTTTTTATGCCTGACCTGTCGTCCTCTTCGACCTAGCTTTTTTCCTGCCCCGTTACTGTGTTCTCAGTCCAGCATGGAGTGTTCCTCGTGGAGGGGAAGCAGGGGAAGGCAGGAAGGGGGGGGGGGGAGGATGAAGGGATAGGAGTGGGCTGGGCAGAGAAATCATGCAGGAGCTTTGTTCTCGGGGTCTGTCTCCCACAGAATTGCACAGGCAGCCGACGTTTGGCTTGACTTAGCACCGTGCTGAGCGTGCACTTGGCAGTGATAAATGTTGCCATAAAGAAACTTAATTTGAAGAATTGAACTTTTAATTGTCCTGGGTCAGGGTCTTCTGGAGTTGGGAGTGAAAAAAGCAGTAGGTCCATTTAGTCTCTCCTGTCATAGGTGACCTCACAAAGTTTGGCCGTGGGGATGCCTCCTCCCCGGCCCCGGCCACAACCTTGGCCCAGCCCCAACAGAACCAGACTCAGACTCACCACACCACGCAGCAGACATTCCTGAACCCGGCGCTGCCTCCTGGCTACAGTTACACCAGCCTGCCGTACTACACAGGGGTTCCGGGCCTCCCCAGCACCTTCCAGTATGGGCCTGCTGTGTTCCCTGTGAGTACCTGGGCTTGATCTTTCCATGCGGTGGTGGTGAATCCCAGCCCCCGGGCACTAGCCTAGCTGCCTTCAAGGCTGGATGACTTTTTAATAATGTGCGAGGAGAAACATTTCCTCTTCTGGCCTATTGCTGGCCTGGCAGAGGGAGTGGGGCTAGAATTGGTGGTATTGGGATGAAGGTTACCTATTCTTAGAATTATCTAAAGGGGATAGGAGATGTGACCCCATAGGGCTTTGTCCCCTAGACTGTCTTCATTCCTTGCGGCAACTTGCCCCTTTCCCTTCCTCCGAACTACCATTTCTTGACTTCACTGGTAGATTTTATAAAGCTCTGTAGGGAGCCCATTTCACTAAGCAGACTGGCCAGCCTATCTCAGGATGGTAGGCATCTGAATGCCCAGTCCCTGGAGTAGGACACAGTGAGGGGATGGTTCTCGGCCACCACGTGCCCTCATTTCTAGCCCTTTTGTCTTCAGGTGGCTCCTACCTCTTCCAAGCAGCATGGTGTGAATGTCAGTGTGAACGCATCGGCCGCCCCTTTCCAGCAGCCAAGCGGATATGGGTCTCACGGATACAACACTGGTAAGCGCCCCTTGACCCTGGCTGTCCGTGGTTTCTGCAGGACGTGACTGAGTGAGTTTCAGGGAGCAAGATGTGCTCGAGAGACGGGGCTGCTGAGGCATGCTGCTAGCGGCTCTGCAGTTTCCTGTGCGACTGATGGGGGTGTCTGTCCGAGCAGCAGCAGCTGAGGGGCTTGACGGAAGAGCATGTGTCCAGCACTCATAATGGGAATAGCCCGGGGCATGTGTTGCCTGTTACTGTGTTGGCTGGCCTAAACTGCGGGGGAGGCAGGGCAAGGGGCCCCAAGGTGTCACGGAGACGTCAGTGGAAGTGAGCGCTAGAGTGTCCAGTACCGGTAGGTAGCACGGAAGGCGAGGTGCTTGCTGGACGGCAGACTTGGGTGGGTTTGCTTTTCCCTCCTTTTTTCACGCAGCCCCTCTCCGTTCCTTAGCTGGGAAACCCAGGATGTGGAGAGAAAGCATGGGATACAAGTGCCCAACAGAGGGAGAGTAGGACCTTCAGATCCCTCCTTTGTATGGCTGATCTCTTTGGCAAAGTCTGTGCACACATCTGATGGCAGGAGGGAAAGGCGGGGATCCTCTGCACGGGCACTGGCCGCACCGATAACTAGTCCAGCCCCGGCCCCCGTACCTGATGTCTGCGCCCCTTCTGTAGCGGCTTCATGCACTTTCTTCAGTGACTTGTAGACAGACACAGGGAGGAGCTCGTTGGAGTCGCAGGGAGTTGGGATCGAGGGTTTTTCCGAATTCTGAGCTGTGCTGTCATGGTGATTGGGATGGAGCTGCCTCTGTGCGCTTCACCCCTGTGTGGGCTCCAGGTGGGTCGGTCGTCCGAGCTTCTCGGTGATTGGGAAGCTGAGCTGAACACAGGGGGCAATAGATCTAGCAACCACTAGCCAGGCAGACCTTTGAACTGTGTTGGAGCAACTTGGAATGAGTCTGGATTTAACCTGGAGAAATCCTGAGGCACCCCACTCCTTGTGGCTGCCCCTCTTACCAAGCAAGGTGCACCGTGATCCTTGGAGGGGACGATTGTAAGCTTTCTCACTTGGAGTGGCCCCATTCTGAGAACATTAGATTTAAGTTTTAGCTGGACCAGATTCAAGAATTTTAAGAGGTAGGTGATTGATAATATTAAAGAATGGCATACCGCATTTTTATTCCCCTTAAGATTTCAGAAATCTGCCACAACAGTCTTTTGAGCACCCCCAGTTCCCAACCCCACAGAGGGCTCTTATCATCCCATTCCTCATCAACCTCTAAATTCATTTATTTTTATGTATTTGATTCCTTTTAGGAAGAAAATATCCACCCCCTTACAAGCATTTCTGGACGGCAGAGAGCTAATTTGGCCCAAGGCTGGGGGCTGTGTTTTGTGTGTGTGTATAAATTTGCACTGAAGTCTTGTTTCAGAAACCAGACCACTGAGGAGAGCCTGCTGAGCTGAGGCCATGGCCTGCGTGGCTTGGGGGAAATGATTGGTGGATACCTTCTGGGCTTTGAACTTGCCCTTCCCCCGTTTCCCTCTCCCCCATGTGTCTGGCCCTGTCTGACCCATTTCGAGTTCAAGCGGCGCAGCCCCTCCGAAGCCTCAATGCACACCTGCTGTCGCTTTTGATTTCTGGAAGGCATGTAGTTTCACCTTGTAACACAACATTTGTAGTCTTCAATAAACTGTGGTATTTCTTTAGCTAACTCTGGCGTTCTTTCCGTGCATGTCTTTCTGGACACCAGGAGCCAATGTTGTGCTGTGGATGAAGGGTGGAGGGGGGCCTTTTTGATCAAACCAGCATAGCCAAAGAGTAAGAACCGTTAGCTTCCCGCCATGGTGATTGTATTAAGGTGGGAGAGGGGAAGCGGCCTTCAGTTTCCAGCCCTTTGACTGACTGGGAAAGAAAGCGATTTTGTAGAAAATCCCTGACGCTCCCTGCTTACTCCAGCTCCTTCACGTTTCCACCCAGCTCTCCCCCTTGCCTCTGACGTAGGCAGAGGGAAAGGCCAGAAACAGCTTGCAGTGTCCTGCCTCGGTGAAAGGCGGAAGACGTGGCGTTCAGAGCTGCTTTAGGGAAGTGGCTTCCAAGGCCCCAGGCCAGGTGGCTGGTGGAGGTGTGAGAAGTCTTTAGTGACCGCCGGTTGAGGACTGCCGCTGTGAAGCTGGCTAGCGGCAACATTGTTCTTACGCTTCGACCCCATAAGGCTTCCCAGGGATGGCGGATTAGCGTTGTTCTGCGCTTGTGGGTGTGGCTGCGCATGTGCGCGAGAGGTTTGCTTGGACCTCTCCTTGACTGGGGAAATTCTTACCCCTCAGTCCAGCCGCTACAGAGTTCACTTGTATGGCGTGAACACCATCCTTGCTTAATTGGAAACCCAGATACTCCACTCCCTTCGTATTTGTTCCCAGCCCTCTGGAGTGATTTTTCCTGTGAGTGTGACCGCACCTCCCAGGGGCTGCCGTGCTGGGAGACGTTGGTTCTTGCTTCTCCGTGCTGTCCACGTCATGTCAGTGTGGTCACCACTGCTTGGGAGTTGGCGGGGGGTAGACGGGGCGTGGGCTGTTGGAAGGAAGGCAAGAGAACTCTGAGGAGCTTTCTCGTAACTGGTGAAGGGTAAGTGGAGAAGCCAGCGCCTGGTCTGTCTCGTGCTCGCACTCAGACTCTCAGGGCTAGTAGAGTGTTCTCTTGTCCGTATCTCCAGTCCCTTCAGCCAATACCCAGACTGAGTCTCAGGACCAGAAGCTGGATTTCAGCTAGTCCAGCCTCTGGAAAGAACGAGGCCAGGTGTGGGGAGAGCGGAGGGGGGCGGTTGCTGGCAATCTAAATTCCTCCCTCCCACCCAGCTTGAGAAACAAGGTGGCTGTTCCTCTCATCCAGTATGGGGTAATCCTGGGCGTCTGCAAGGTTTTGAGCCTCTGCAGTAAAGATCAGTCATTGTCTCTGATTTCCCTCAAAAATGTTAGTACTCTTGTCCCACCGCACTCTCAGCCCCTTCCACACAAACCTCGGTGGCGTAGCCTTTTCCGTAAACGCACTGTTGTTGAAGTTACATTCATTACCCATGATGTGTACATGGGCACGTGGGGTTTGAAGAGGAGGGGGCCAGACTACCCCCGTTAGTCCCTTTATGGTCCTTTTCTTTTACCTCAGTGCCTTTGAATATAGAGTTGCTGCTCTGGAGATCGCAGTATCTTCTCATGCTCAGTTTCTGTAGTTCTGTACCTTTTGACTTGTGCTCTGGGAGGGCTTTCCAGGTTAAGGTGCCACTTGTGTTAGGAAGGTCCTGCAGTAGCTCTCCAAGGAGGGCTTAACCTTTGAGGGCTGCCTTTGTCCTTGGCATCGGGAGGATCGGGGTTCTGGGGGGGAATTTGTGGTTTGGTCACGTAAGCACAGTGGTTCTAAACAAACTCTTGCATCGAAGTGCCCCTCACAGCAGGAGAGAAGGGTCCAAGGATACAGGCTGAAAGGTTTTTCTGAAGATTATTTAAATTATCTCCTGTGATGAGATTGAATGTATCTTTAAAAGTGTGCTTTACATTTGAGTTATTTTTCCTCACATCTTGGCATAAAACTTCTCTCGTAAGATGCTCACTGATTTTATCTGATGGCTTCTTCCTGTCGCCTGACCCGTGGCCCCATTCCCAAGGGTACAGTGTGTGTACTTCAGTGTCAGGAGTAGAAATTAAAATGAGGAGTGGTACTGCTCTGCTTTCCTTGAAGTGGTACTGGTAGTAGTAGGGAGCTCTTCGGCGGGAAGCACGCAGGTTGTTGGGAGCACGGGTCAGAGCCTGTGTCCACGGAGCAGCTCAAGTTGAAAATGATGTCGGATTTTGTGTTCCACGTAGACCATAGGAGATGGCCTACGCCACCACCTTCCTAACCTCCCCCACCCCCACCCCCCATGCTTAGGCTTAAATTTCTTAGCTGGAAATGCACCTCAGTGTCCGCTCGTTAAGTTGTAAGTACCCAGCCTAGAAGAGCCAAGACTGGAGAAGCTGGGCCAGGGGAGCAGAGACTCCGAGCATGCGCCCTGCTTTTGGGGTTGGCCTGGACTGCTCCTCCAGCTCTTACTTTATGCTGTGAAAGCACGGATCCTGAGCCCAAAAGTGTCTCTTCATGAACAGAAAGAGCCCAGACTACCTGTCTTCCAGGAGCAGGACTGAGTGGAGTCTGGGTGGGTTGATTTGAAATGGACGTTAAAAGTTCAATCCATTTCTTTTTGGGCTTTGGCACAAAAGTGTTTTGAAAAGTATGTTAGTGGGGTTTGGCTAGGTTTCCTTGCCCCACAAAAAGCAGCTGCCTTGCTTTCTGACACACATACTCAGTACATACCTGGAAAGGGCAAGAGATTTGGGTCATGAGCTCTTCTCCCTCAGGACTGACCTGAGCTGGAAAAACAGACCAGACTTCCCTGGCAGAGCGGTAGCTAGAAAGGCTGCGCGTCATCTCCTCGCCGGGAGAGGGGCCTGCGGCCAGCTGAGCTAATCCTCCTGTCTGTTTGCTCCTCCCCCAGGTGTATCAGTCACCTCCAGTAACACGGGCGTGCCAGATATCTCGGGTTCTGTGTACTCCAAAACCCAGGTAGGTGCCTAGCTCTGGAGAGAAGTGGAAAGATACGGACAGAGAGGAGGTGGCGTGGCAGTGACAGAAGTTCAGTGAGCAAGCACGACCCTGACAGGGGCCCAGAAACCAACCCTAGATGAATGGTCTCTGGAGGGCAGTTTCTCAAAGAAGTTGAAATCTAACCCTCTGAGAAAAAACCAGAGAAGTGTGACAGGACGATGAGGTGTGGCAGGTCGCGGTGGTGTGTTGTGGGACCCCCTGTGTTGCTGTCCTGACTTTGTTTACCCACTGCCAGTCTTCTTGCGACTTTCCAAGGGAACGATGTGGAATGAAGGGAGACTGGTTCGCTCCGTTCTCTGTACGAACAAGGAGCAGGAAGTACTGTTTGAAGCACGGGATGTTAGAGGAGGTGTGCTGGAGCACGTCCTTCCTAGCCAAGAGCCTTGCCGCGGATGGGCCCGGCTGCAGGGTGGGGCGACAGTAGAGTCACAGGGCACACTCACAGCCATCTTCTCCTGCGGTCCTGACAGCTGGAAGTCAGGAGCACCCCTGTGTTGTGTGTGAGAAACAGGAGTCAGAGACAGCGAGTCCTTCTCTGAGCGGAGACAGACCCGAGCACTGGGCACCAGGTGCAGGGCTCCTCTGCAGACGCGTACGGGTCTTGGTGGTGGGGGGCTTGGGCTCAGAAACTCCAGGGATTGGTTTGCTGACCCCTTTTACTGTCTCTCCATCCCCCTGCATAGCAGTCCTTTGAGAAACAAGGTTTTCATTCCGGTACTCCTGCTGCCTCCTTCAACTTGCCTTCAGCCCTAGGAAGTGGGGGGCCCATCAATCCGGCCACAGCTGCTGCGTACCCGCCTGCCCCCTTTATGCACATCCTGACCCCCCATCAGCAGCCGCACTCCCAGATCCTCCATCATCACCTGCAGCAGGATGGCCAGGTAACAGCCCTCCCCTCTCCTTTCCCTTCCTCTTCCTTCCTGTCCCTTAAAACTGCCCCCCTTTCCTCTTCTTACCCTTCCTCAGCACCACCTTCACCCACCCCTCCCAGCGCCAGCCATGGGCACACAGCACACACAGACACAAGCGCACAGAACACCAGCCACGGCTGAGGAGAGGTCAGAGAAGGGGTCAGGCTCAAACCTCCTTTGCCCTGTTCCTTTGGTACCTTTCTCCTCTACCTCCTGTAGCACAGCTGCCCCCATCCCATCAGACCTGGGTCACACCTACCCTCTGACCTCTCCCAGCCTCCCCCCTTCCCTGACATTGTAGCTTTCCCTTCTAATGGTGGAGTTCTATTGTCAAAGTTTGTCCCTTTATTTTCCATATATCCTGGTTCTGCCTCAGCTACCATATTTGCAGATGGTTCTCTGTTGCCAGCGCCAGCAGGAGGAGCAGGTAATGAAACTGAATGATGGTGTGCTTGAACCCACTCCTTTCCAGCCCCCATTTCACCTCCACAGCCTCAGGGAACTTGAAAAGGCTGCACGGTCACAGATCAGGACACACGAACACAGACACCTTGCTGAGCTCTCTGGCCTCCCGTCCCTCTCTTGTCCTCCCCTCCCCAGTGCCCTCTTTTTTTCTCTCTGCCCTTCCCTGACTCTGGAAACACTTGGTTACTGGCATGGAAAGGATTCTTGGGGCAGCCTCTGGAGCCTGGGGCCTCAGACTGTCTCTCCTACCTTGCCTGCAATGGGCTCTCAGCGCTGCTGTGTGGTAGGGGTGGGGAGCTGTGGCGGTAGTACAGGTGACCTCTCCTCCATCATAGGTGGCTGGGGAGCCGGGATAAGGGCTTCCTGGCTCTCAGAGAAAGCCTCCCGACTTCAGGTATTCTTGGGATCAGTGAAATCACCGTTTGGTCACTCCTCTCCAAGAGGCCATAATTCTCTTTAGAGAGAGTAGCCTTTTCTCAGAGCAGTGTAGGTGGGGGTGGGGGGAGACGGTGGGATTGAAAGTGGGTAGGACTCATTCACTGTCTTGTCTTCAGAAGGTAGCCTGCCGTCTTTACACTGCTGCCCTGTTGAAAGGTTGAAAATGCTGTTCGACCTATCACGGGTGCTCTAGCAGCTCTGCACACCAGGTTGTCTGGGGTTGGGAAGTAAACTTCGGAGTAGTTTCTAAGCAGGGGGAATGGGAGAGCAAGACAGTTTCCAGATCTCCATCTGAAGATGTCAGATTTGTCCCACTAACTAGACCCCTTTTTCCTCCTCATCGTCCCATTCCCTGCAGACGGGCAGCGGGCAACGTAGCCAGACCAGCTCCATCCCGCAGAAGCCCCAGACCAACAAGTCTGCCTACAACAGCTACAGCTGGGGGGCGAACTGAGGCCCTGACCCTCTTCTTCTCCCGGTCCCATCTTCTGAGAGGGCTTCTCAGCCTGGCAACTACGGAAACAGCATCAAAGAAAGGAATGGGGGGGTCCGCTGCCCCCCACCCCCAGCGGCCTGCCCCATGCCTCAGCTTCATGTCTGTCCCGTTCCCATACCATCCCCACTCTGTTGTATGTATTATAGGATTTGTATTTTCTTTTTTTTTTTCCCCCTTTCCTCTCCTACCCCCTTGCATTCAAGATTATGAAACTTTGCTGTGGGCCCTGCCTGCCTTTTCCTCCTCCTATTCACCCTGGTGGTGGATGGGTGAGGTGGGGAGGGGGGACCCCCAAATATATATCAGCCCAACAGCCCTGAGTCTCCTTCTTTATTATTAGGAAACAAAACAACAACAAAAAATGGCGTCATGAATATGAACAGCATTGTCAGATTAGTTGAAGTGTTTTTTTTTGTACTGTGTCCTCAAATTTAATGGATTAATGTGTCTTGTATATATAAAAAGAAAACCTCTACCTTCAGCCTCTGCCCATTCTTGATCCGTCTAGGACGGCCTCGTCGGCCAGCTTGGCGAATGGGTGTTCTGTGCCAGCTGGTCCCCTGGCGGGGCTCCCGAGTCGCGGGAATAAAAGCTCTTTGGCCGTAATGTGCCGCCAGGATCTTAACCCCCGGGAATTCCCTTTCCTCCTGCCCCAAGGGTTTCACACCTGCGAGGAGCCGCTGCACGACCCCGTTCCCTCCGGAAGCTGCCCCCGCCCCCCGCGGCAGGTTTCGGGCCGTGAAGGGAGGGAGTGGACAGCAGATACTGGGCGGGAGGAGAACATGAAGCAGGAGCTGGAAGAGGCGGCGTGCGGTGTAGACGGGGCGTGCGGTGTAGACGGGCGCAGGCAAACGCGCGGGAGGAGGGAGCGTTACCTCTAGCCGCCGAACACACCGGAGCCCGGGCGCTCCGCGAGAAGAGGGGGGGGTCTGCGCGGCGGCTGCGGGGGCGGGGGCCCGGGGAGGTCGGGGACGGGCCGGGGGATACTCACATCTCCGCACGCCTCCTGCCCCCGCGACACTGGCCCGGTCCCCCGGGCTCCAGCACCAAGCGTCCGCCCCGCAAGCTGCAGAGCCCGCCCGGAGCGGTGAGGACTGCGTGCGGGGTGCGGAGCGCCGAGTCCGTGCGGCCCGGCGAGGGAACACACTCGCGGCCCCGGGCACCTGCTGCGGCCGGCTCGCGGGGCGAAGGCTGACCCCTGGCGGCGGCGGCCAGCCCCGCGCGGCCTGGAAGCCCCGGCGGCCCCGCGCGGCCGGCGGGGAGGGGTCGGCTCCGGAGGCGGGGCCCTCCCGGGCGGCGGCAGGTCCGCGGCGCCCGCCCACCGCCCTCACCGGAGGCGGGCGGCTCGGGACCCGGCGATCCGCTCCGCCCCGCCCCCCCCACCCGCGTCGTACGGACGGTCGTTTTACGACAGTGCGGGTAGCAGGCCTGCTTTCCGGCAGGCGGCCCGACGCTTCGCTGCGTTTCCGGCCGCGGAACGCAGGCTGCCGCGGGCTACGCATGGGCTTCGCAGGAGTCCGCAGGTTCGAGTCCCAAAACGGGGATGAGCCTCTTTGATCTCTTTCGGGGCTTTTTCGGCCTTTCTGGACCTCGGAGGTTAGAGTGGGTCGGGGTCGGACGAGGGTGGGGTCCTCTGAGGGGAGCGTGACCCCTGACGCCCGGTTCTTGGGAAAGCGTCGTCTTCGTCACCCCTTCACCTGCTGCGGCCAGGACGGAAGTCAGCACCCTGAGCGCTCACCCCGCGGCAGTCACCTGGGCGGCCGCTGAGAGGAGGACTAGCAGCAGTTTAAGGCTTTCTCCAGTCTGGGGGTGATGCAGCAGGGGCCCCGGGACGACGGTGGGGCTGGGGGGCGGGCCGGTGAGGGGAGAGGGCCGCCGGGCGCGCGGGGGACCGCGAGGTGAGGCCTGCCTGGGATGGCGGCGCGACCACAGCGCAGACCCCACGGCCCGCCTCTCCCCCGCACCTCGGCTCTGCGCACCCCCGCCTGCCCTCGGCCCCTCCCGCCGAGAGCTCGCGGTGTGGTTTCCGGTGGTGCTGAGGTCCTGGTGCTCAAATCTGCCTTCACCCCCAGCCACAGAGACCCCTTTTTTGGAGGGATGACTCGAGATGAAGAAGAGGACGACGAGGACGAGGAGGAAGAAGCCCCGTGGGGCCGCGGGAGCTCCAGGTTTGAGGGCCCCCAGCCCCCCGAGGAGTTTGGCTTCGGCTTCAGCTTCAGCCCAGGAGGAGGGATGCGTTTCCATGATAACTTCGGCTTTGACGACCTAATTCGGGATTTCAATAACATCTTCAGCGAGATGGGGACCTGGACCTTGCCTTCCCGCCTTCCGGGTGTGTGGCCGTCCCCGGACAACCTGTGGTTTCTCCTGGGTTGGTGGGTGAGATCAGGAGCCTGAGGAAAGGAGTCAGGGCGGGCAGTGTGAGAAGACTGGTGATAACAAGGTTGTAAAGAGCCCAGGTCCTCTCCAGCCCCAGCAGCCATCTGCCCTCTTTCTGCAGAACTTCCAGTTCCGGGTCCTGAGTCCGAGACACCCAGTGAGAGACGACGGGAGGGACAGACACTCCGGGACTCGATGCTTAAGTATCCAGATAGTCAGCAGCCCGGGACCTTCAGGGGGGTCTTGGAGAGTGACGCAAGAAGCGAATCCCCCAAACCAGCACAGGACTGGGGCTCCCAGAGACCTTTCGGTGTGGTGAGTGCTTCTGGGCCCAGAGTGAGGGCCTGTGGGGGAAGCTAATAGAGCACAGACTGGAGGCTTGTCAGAGTCTGACAGACTTGGGGTGGGATCCTGGGCTCCCCGCTTAGCGTTCATGTCTGTTTTCTGTGTTGAGCTCCTTGTAGGATTTTGGTGGGAGTAGACAGGGATGGGAGTTCTGCTTTCTCTTAAAAAAAAAAAAAAAAAAAAAAAATCAGGGCATCTGGGTGGTTCAGTCAGTTAAGGGTCTGGTTTTGGCTCAAGTCATGATCTCGGGGTGCTGGGATCGAGCCTCGTGGTGGGCTCTGTGCTCAACCGGGAGTCTGTTTCTCCTCCCTCTGCCCTTCTTCTTTCTTGTGCTTTCTCTTTTTCTTTTTCTATCTCCAAAAAAAAAAAAAAAAAAAAAAAGTCTAAAAAAAAGAAGTGTCAGTTCAGGAGAGCCTTTTGGTAGAAGGATAGATAAAACAGATAAGAAGGAGAAAGGGGTGAGTAAGTAAAGCTACCCCGAGTGCCATTATCTCTCCCAGGGAAAGGTGGTTTTGGATCTTAGGGGTACTTTGTGTCCTGTGACCCCTCAAGTTTCAGAGTGAAAGGTATCATTTCACCTACTTTGCTTTTTTTCTACAGTTCGATGGTATGTGGCCTATGACCCCCCGTTCTAGAGCCAGAGAAGACAATGGTGAGTCTGGAGGGAGAGGCCATTTAAAGTGCCCTCAGCTCTCCTCCCTGAAGTTTCTTGTCATACTTGGCCCCCTCTTTTCCTCGGACTCTTGATTTCGTGTTTCCTCTCTCTGCCCTTCTAGATCTTGATTCCCAAGTTTCCCAGGAGGGCCTCGGCCCAGTTCTCCAGCCCCAGCCCAAATCCTATTTCAAGAGCGTCTCGGTGACCAAGATCACTAAGCCAGATGGGGTGAGTTGGAAGAGAGGGGTAGAAAGAACTGTGGCCAGAGGATGCCATGGAGAGAGCAATCTAGGTAAAGAAACCAGTGAACTCATCTTTATTGATGTTAGAGACAAGGTTCGGGCTTCTCCTTATAGACAGTAGAGGAGCGCCGGACTGTGGTGGACAGTGAGGGCCGGACAGAGACCACGGTAACCCATCAGGAAGGAGATGGCCATCCTAGAGATGGTAAGTAAAGTGTGTGAATCAAAGGGATCCATCTCTTACTTCCTTGAGAAGGGGGAACCCGTACTTTCCTAGCTTTTAATGTTATTACTCTCCTTATCCTTTGCTCATTCTCTTTCATTTAGTGTGTCTCTGTGTATCACTTTCTTCCTTAGATCCAGAATCACCAAATCCTGCAGCCCTGGATGGTGCCTATTCCATCCTGGATTTATTCCTAGGACGCTTGTTCCGGTCCCGGTAGCCTTGTCAACCCTCAGAGGCCTTCAGATTCTTTCCACCCTTGGCGCACCATCAGTGGGCTTACCTTTCCCTCCGGCCGCCTCAGGGCCTTGGGTGTGAAGAACAGTGAATTGGGGGTATGTCAGTATGTGACTCACCCAAACTGACCAATAAAACCTTTATTTATGCTAATTCCTTGGTCTTAGTTTTGTCTAGGCTGTTCCACTTCCTAGTACCATCCAGGGCTTCCCAGATCATTTTGGCCCACAGTGTTCTTATTTCTTAATTTTTTGTTCCACTTCCAAAACCAATTTGATAAATAGGGTCAGGTACCAGTAGAAAATGATTATTCTTACAAAGGGAGACAATTCCAGGAAAATTTCTACACAGGGATGCATTGGATTCTGAAAAGAGAGAGTGTGTATGGAAATGTGGGGACACTTGCTTCCCAAGCTCTGGGATCACTATGATTAGACAGTTCGTGAGAGAATTCAAGGAGCTACACTGGCAATTTTTTTTTTTTTTTTTTTTTTTTAATGTATGTTGGAGAAAATGTAACTAGCACAAAAGTTGCTAGATTTTCTTCTCATTAAGAAACATTTTGGAGGGGCGCCTGGGTGGCTCAGTGGGTTAGGCCTCTGCCTTCAGCTCGGGTCATGATCTCAGGGTCCTGGGATCGAGTCCCGCATCAGGCTCTCTGCTCTGCAGGGAGCCTGCTTCCCTCTCTGTCTCTGCCTGCCTCTCTGTCTACTTGTGATCTCTGTCAAATAAATAAATAAAATCTTAAAAAAAAAAAAAGAAAGAAAGAAAAAAAAAAGAAACCTTTTGGACACCTGGGTGGCTCAGTCCGTTAAACATCTGCCTTCAGCTTAGGTCATGATCCCAGGGTCCTGGGGTCCAGCCCCACATCCCTGCTCCCTGCTCAGCAGGGGGTGTACCCCAACCCCCACCCCGCTCATGCTCACGTGCATATCCTCTCTCTCTCTCAAATAAATAAATCTTCTAAAAAAAACAACAACAGGGTGTCTGGGTGGATCAGTGGGTTAAGCCGCTGCCTTCAGCTCAGGTCATGATTTCAGGGTCCTGGGATCGAGTCCCACATTGGGCTCTCTGCTTGGCAGGAAACCTGTTTCCTCCTCTCTCTCTGCCTGCCTCTCTGCCTGCTTGTGATCTGTCTGTCAAATAAATAAATAAAATCTAAAAACAACAAAAACGACAACAACAAACCGTAGCCCTGTGACTTGAGAGTGGCAGATCTTACACACTCATTTACCTGTTTTATTGAAATGATTCAAATGATGAGGGATTTTCCTAAGGAAGCCAATCATGAGAACAAAGAAAAAAGGTACAGCAATAAAATTTTGTATTTTCATTTTCTTTATTATATCTTTTCATGAACAGAAGTTGATTTATTGTAGCTAAGTTTATATTCTCTATGGTTAGTGCTTTCTATATCTTTTAGGAATTTCCCCAACCCAAGGTGAAAAGAATGCTCTCCTTTATTTATTCTCTCTAAGGTTTTATTAGTTCTGCTTTTACATTTAGGTTTTTAAATCCACCAGGATTTTCTCTTCTATTTGATATGAACCAGGGGATCAACTTCTTTTTTTTCTATTTGGGAAAATGAACATGTGTGTATAAATATGTATGTACAAACACTATGAATATATTTTATACACACACACATACATACAAATACACATGGGTCCCTTTGCCGGGTCTTTCTGTCTTTTCTGTTAATCTATTTGTCTACCTCTGTGCCTACTCACATTTTAAAATTGTGGGGCTGTATTTAGTAGAACATGTCCTCCCATTTTTCCCCAACTTCTAGTATGTAAGAAAGCGGCTGGGGCGCCTGGGTGGCTCAGTTGTTAAGTGTCTGCCTTCAGCTCAAGTCATGGTCTCAGGGTCCTGGGATCAAGTCCCGCATCGAGTGCCCTGCTTGACAGGAAGCCTGCTTCTCCCTCTGCTTGTGTTCCTTCTCTTGCTGTGTCTCTGTCAAAGAAATAAATAAAATCTTAAGTTAAAAAAATACAATTGATTTTTAAAATTTATTTATTTATTTGAGAGAGAGCACACATGTGAGCAGGGGAGGGGGCAGAGGGAGGGAGAGATTCTCAAGCGGACTGCCCACTGAGTGTGGAGCCTGCTGCAGGACTCGATCTCATGATGTTGAGATCATAACCTGAGCCAAAGCCAAGAATTGGATGCTCAACCAACTGAGCCACCCAGGCACACTTGTAATCGATTTTTCGAATCCGCTTTTCAGCGTATCCCCATAAACACATGGAGCTGGAGATTGCCAGACATGTGTGGATAGCCCAGAGCCTGAAGGGTGGACATACAGACAAGAGAAGCAAGTTGGGAGAAACAGACCTGCAGAAAGATGAAAAATTAGGAAGGGCACATTTAATGTCCTTAGAAATATGATATATTCAGAAAGCCAGAAGATATTCCTACAAAGGAGAAATAAGTAAGAATGAACTTTGAGGAGTTAAATGTGATGGCAAAAATGAAAAACTATCCAAAGATTTTGATGACAAAGTTGAAGTCTCTGGAAAGACCAAGTAACAGAGACAGAAAACAGGAAAAAAGTACCCCAAAACTAACATTACTTATCAACGATACTCCAACTTAAAAAAGAATTTTTTTAAAGAAAAAAGAATAAAGGGACGCCTGGGTGGCTCAGTTGGTTAAGCAGCTGCCTTCGGCTCAGGTCATGATCCCAGCGTCCTGGGATCGAGTCCCACATCGGGCTCCTTGCTCATCAGGGAGCCTGCTTCTCCCTCTGCCTCTGCCTGCCATTCTGTCTGCCTGTGCTCGCTCGCTCCCCCTCTCTCTCTCTGACAAATAAATAAAAAAATCTTTAAAAAAAAAAAAAGAAAAAAGAATAAAAAAGGAAAACTGGGATTGTATAAACCATCAAGGAAATAAACCAAGAAAATATCCCAGAAGTGAGGAATATTTACTTCTAATCTGAAAGACCCGCCACATGCTAAACAGCAAGGATCAAACAAACAGAACCTCTACTTCAGAACACTAGAGAAAAAGGAAAATCCAGATGACTTGAGAGAGGGTTCAGAGGAATCTGGGAATTCCAGATTCTCATTTGCATCTACCCAGATGTCCCTATGTCGAGTGTCCGAGTCCTACCCTTTTTCTTTTAGGATCCTAACCTTGACGTGGGAAACCGACTGGGGCTGAGAGTTCCACCTTCGCTAAAGCTCAGCTGCTCCTCCCTCCAGGAGGCGAGGCTTTCCTTAAATGCTGTAAGGGAGACCACTGGCTTTCGTAGTGTGCCGTGGCTTAGCGATCCATTCTGCCGAACCTAGGACCGCTTCCCTCAGCCTCTCCCGTGCTGGAGGTCCTACATAGGTGCCTGTCCTTCAACCAGTGACGGCTTCCAGCGGACGACAGCTGGTGATTTTAACCATTGCATTGCTTCAAGCTAGAGACTGTCCATCTTCTACCGACTACCATGACAGGGTTCTTGTCAACCAGCCCGTAAGTGATCACCCAAATTCCATTCTAGAGTTCGTGGAACCACTGTCTTGGGTTCCCTGGGAAAAGACTAAGATGAGAAGAGACATGAGCAAAGTTTACTGGGGGTGCTAATGGTCTCAGGGGACACACATGTAAGAAGGTGAGGAAAGCAGGATTAGGCAAAAAGGGAGATTGACACAAGGAAGTTACAAGAGAAGCCTCTGCTGATCCTATGGGGACTTGGAAGCTGGAGTGGCCCTTGTGGTTGTTCTACTTCAAGGCAAAGAGGCCAGATCTTTGCATCCCTGCACCGACCAGTCATTGACATGGGCCGTGTAAGGGGGCATGTCCCCTTGGGTGAGGCTGTCCCGGCCGTGAGAGGTATTCCCGTGCAGGAAGGAGCTGTGTGCTCTCAGCATCTGAGAGTCCCAGCCTGGCGATAGGTGCATTGGCCCCAAAGTGGAGTCGGGGGGTCGGCAGGCATCCGGAGCAGGGGAGGTGGGGCTCAGCACGGCTGGAAGCGCTCTGTCCGCTCTGTCTGGAGCCGAGGCAGGGGACACAAAGCTTGAGCACTTTCTCACCGAGGGGAGACTCTGCATGACAGCAGGGCAAACGTGCAATGAGTTGGTTTTAAGTGTCCAAATGGGTGGTGTTGTACCCGAGTTTTCGCATCCGAGAGACCACCAAGGAGCCGACACCGATGCAATCACACGAGGGTTTATTTGAAAGCTTAAGCTTGGGCCCAAGTGTACCTGGCACAGCGGAGTAGGGACTTGGACCCCGAACCAGATTACAGTCAGAGTTTTTAAAGGCAGAGTAGGGGTGGACTTGGGGGTGGGTGAGGACAAAGGGGATTATGGATGATGTAAGTCTCTAAGGAATTTTGGAAACGAGGTCTCCGGGACCTTGAGGGGCTACCTATTGTCACCAGTAATAAAAATCTTCTCGTGAGACCCTTTAGATATATATCAGTGGGTCATATGCTTGAGAATGATTGTTGACACTATTTTGGAGGTTTAGAGATAAAGTTTCCTAAAGGAATTATTAAAGTAGACTTACAGGATCCTGGTTGGACCTGTTGGAGTAGGGGGTCAGTCAGGCTAGGATTGTCCTTAGCAAAACCTCAAGGTGAGGGCAGTTGAGTCCCCAGGGGAGAGCCACTCTGTCTGTTTCAAGGGCTTGTCAGTAGGTGAGGAGATTTAATGATTTTCTTCTGCCTCTGTTTCCCACATCAGGTGGGGGAGGTATGTCACATTCCGCAGGAGAGAGGAATCGTGCAGCAGGAGATGGGGAGAAAGACTGAGCCCTTAGATGGCCATGTGGCCTTGGGGAGTCCCGAGGTTCTTGAGACCCTCACAAGCAGAGTGAGAACGGTAGTGCTGCCTCTGGAGGTGCTGGCAGCCAAGAGCACAGACACAGGCCACTCCCTCCAACCCGGCAGCATAGGAAGAGGTTACTCCTGGAAGGAATGGGGGTGACAAAGGGGACAGAGCCTGGGCAAACTCCAGGCTCTGGTCATGCGCGGGGCCTGCCCTTAGACCTTCTCCCATTATCTCTACCTCCCCAGCCTGTACACGTGTACAGGTACAGATATTGTACAGATACAGAATTGTACAGATACAGATATTGCTGTGCCGGAGCTGAGCCAATTGGTTTTAAAGTCATTTCCTTATCACTTCCCCTGTCAGTAGTTGCGTGCCTGTGCAGACGGAGGGCGGCAGGCGGACACGGGCTGTCTTCACCATGGCCTACGGCTGGCCCCTGGCCCAAGTCAAAGGCTGGCTCCGGCTCCGCAGCCAGCTGGGTCGACAGTGCCTGGCGGAGTTTCTCGGTGTGTTTGTGCTCATGGTGAGCTGGGATGGGGAGCGGGGGGTGGGGGCGGGGGGCAAAAGCTCTTCGCTCCTCCAGGGTCTCTGTTTCTTCTTGCAGGTGTCTCGCGTCTTCCAACCACCCGTCATTTCTCTCCCCGTCCGTGTCCCTGCCATTCCTGTCCTACTCCCTAACTTATGCCTGGCCCTGTCCATCTCTCATTCTCCTTCCCTGTCTTCAGTCGTCCTCCGAGTCTCCCTTTTATTGCCCTCTGTCTGCTTCTCCCTCTCCCTAGCCCGTGCGCTCAGCTCTCTCAGCTGGCGCCTTGCGTTCCCAGCCTCTGTCCCCGCTGCCGGTCCCCCTATTCCCGGCTCCTGTTCCTCATCTGCCCTCTCCCCACCAGCTCCTCACCCAGGGGGCTGTGGCGCAGGCTGTCACCAGCGGAGAAAGCAAAGGCAACTTCTTCACCATGTTTCTGGCCGGCTCCCTGGCCGTGACGGTAGCCATCTACGTGAGCGGTAACGTTTCAGGTGAGAAGGGCGGGGTCTGGTCATCAGAGACGTGGACCGCGCACGGGAGTGTGGGTCTATGGTGATGGTGACAAGGCAGATCCTTTGGTGATTCATGGACATTGTCTCCTTGAGCTTGGCTAGTGCCCCGGTCGGAGATAGGGCTTTGGCCTGGTCCAGCCCCTCCCCTTCGTGTGTGTCCGCCACTCACCTAGACAGAGATCTGTGGCGAGGCATCGGGGTGGGTGCCATCTTCTTGGGTCCCCCTCTTGAAGCCCCGGGGCTCATCTTTGCGCAGCACCTCACCCGCTCCTCCTCTAGACACGTGCTATGCCAGTGTGCCTGGCCGGAGCCTGGAACACGAACAGTTTGTAGAAAGAGCAGGCAGACCCTGGGCTTTACTCTGTGACCCAGACAAGTTGCATGACCTCCCTGAGCCTCAGCTTCCCGACACACAACGGGAACAGTAGCATCTGCCTTCAGAGTTGCAAGCAGCAGCGGCGCCGGCCGGCCCAGTGAGAAGAGTGTGCCACTCTTGATCTCAGGGCTGTGAGTTCGAGCCCCACATTGGGGGCAAAGATAAGTAAAATTAAATTAAAAAGCTGTGAGGAGCAGCAGCGTCACCTGGTGAGTGCCTGGTGGGACACTTCATGGATGTTGGTTTCCTTTTCTGGATCCTTGAAGGGGCCCACCTGAATCCGGCCTTCTCCCTGGCCATGTGCCTCCTGGGACGTCTGCCCTGGGCCAAGCTCCCCATTTACTGCCTGGTGCAGCTTCTGTCGGCCTTCTGCGCCTCCGGAGCCACCTACGCGGTCTACTATGGTAAGGTGGTTGGGCACATTGGTGTGTAGCTGGGAGTGCCTTGCAATGGTTTTGCATGAACAAAGATGGGAATCTGGGTGTCCCCGTCCCCTGCAGATGCCCTCCAGAATTATACAGGTGGGAACCTGACAGTGACTGGCCCCAAGGAGACGGCCTCCATCTTTGCCACCTACCCTGCCCCTTATCTGTCCCTGAACAATGGCTTCCTGGATCAGGTCAGTGTGAGGGAGAGACTGGGAGAGCCTGGCTCTTTGCCCTCGTCCCCTGAAACTCCCTGGGCTGAGGGGGTTGGGTTTCTCTCTGAGCCACCCCACCCCAGTTGCCCATGTTGGACAAAGTCAGATGACAAGGGTTGGTGGCCTAGGATCCTTGGGTGAGAAAGGGCAGAGGGATCATCTGGCAGCTCATGGGGGCCCCTCTGCTTCTGTCACTTTTAAGGTTCTGGGCACAGGAATCCTTATTGTGGGGATCTTGGCCATCACGGACACACGGAACAAGGGAGTGCCTGCGGGTCTGGAGCCTGTGGCTGTGGGGCTGCTGATCCTAGCCATCGGGCTATCCCTGGGTGTCAACTGTGGGTTCCCACTCAACCCTGCCCGCGACCTGGGCCCGCGGCTTTTCACCTATGTGGCTGGCTGGGGCCCTGAAGTCTTCAGGTGGGAGACTATGGCCCCCTCCCCTGGGGCAGTCCCTCCACTCTCCTCCCTCAGAGTCTGGGTCCCCAGCTCCCCCTTTGCTTAGTTCTCTCAGCCTCTGGGGCAGTGTCCCTCATCTACACCGTAGCTCTCCCTCTCTCTCTTACCCTTCTCCTCTCCCCCAACCCTTCCCCCCACAAACTGTAAGGATGTTGCTCTTGGGTGTGTCATTACCTCCTGGGCATTAGTGACCTCCTCAGCAACAGGGGTATATTCAGATAATCCCCTAAGACAAGAGGCTGGACCAAGGCTTTCCTAGGGGCTCCCCTCCAAGCGCTGTGCGCCTTGCGGAGCCACACTCCTCTGGCGTCCATCTCCCCAGGAACTGCTTTCAGGGCGCCTATGCGACGGGCGGTCCTCCTCGGGGAGGTGAGGGGAGTCAGCCCTGAGATCCTCCTCCTGGCCCTCTGTTGTAGTGCCGGGAATGGCTGGTGGTGGGTGCCTGTGGTGGCCCCTCTGGTGGGGGCTATGCTTGGCACAGCCACGTACCAGCTGCTGGTGGCCCTCCACCACCCCGAGGAGTCAGAGCCAGCTCAGGATCTAGAGCTCGCGCGACGGAAAGCCTCAGGCTTGGAAACGTCTGCCCCAGCTCGGCGGCCGCAGCTGTGATTCCCCCAGGACAGCCCTCACCGCCCTCGTGGACGCTGCGGAGGGCCAGAGGTCCGGCGTCGGGGACAGGACATTCTTCCTCTGACGAATGCGCCGGCTTCGCGGTCGGCTATCGAGGCACCCTTTCCTCCTAAGCCGGAGAGGATGCCTGCACCGGGCGATCCCGGGCCAGCCCTTCCGGGCCTCCTCCGCTCCTCCCCACTCCCCGCCGCCTCTCCTCCCCTCCTCCGCTCCTCCCGCTGCTCCTGCTCCCCTGCTCCCCCAGCTGGTCTTTGGACCCCACGGCTGCTGCGGACGTAGCGCCTCAAAGCAGCCACCAGAGGGCGCGCCCCGGAGAGGCACGCGGGGCCGGGGGCGGCCGCGGCGAGGGGCCCTTGCTGCTGAGCCCGGTACCCCTGCAAGGCTCCCAGCCCCGGACCTCGGTGCGGCCGCCCTGCCCTCGCGGGGCGGCTCTCTGGATGGAGAGGGGGCGAGCCGGGACTGCCTGGCGGCCGGGAGCGCAAGGGGGGAAACTGAGGCACGGCCCAGTGCCCAGACGCTCCAGCCGTCGGTCCCGGAAAGGGGTGCGGTGAGCCGCGGGGCAAGGCCCCGACTCCGAGGCCGCGGGGAGCCGGGTGAGCGGGAGGGGGATGCTCGCTCTCACGCCCTTCCAGGGGCCGCGCTGCGGGGCCCCTTCCCAGCGAATAAACGCGCCGGCCCTCCCTTAGGGGCGTCGGGCTGGCTCAGTCGGAGGAACTTGCGACGCGGTCTCGGGGTCGTGGGTTCGAGCCCCTGTTGCGCGCGGAGATTACTGAAATAAATAAACTTGAAAAAACAAAAAACGCCCGGGCTCGCTGCTCTGCTGGCTGATTTGGCTTTTTGGCTGTGGGATGGATGTGCAGTGGGGGTGAGGGGACACGGCCTCGGGTGGGTAAAGACCCCGTCTCCGCCCCGCCCCGCCCCGCACAAAGATGGCGGGTCCCGCCTCCCCTCCCCCTCCCTCCCCTTCCCCAAAACCCCCTCCCGCCCCCCGCCTCTGCCGCCTCCTCCGTCACTTCCGCCCCGCCGCGGCCGAAACTGACACAAAGTAGCGGGCCGAGCCCCGGGGGAGCGGGGCTGCAGCTGGGGGCGGGAGCCCGCGGGGAGCCCAGCCGAGCGCCCCCCGCCGCAGCCCCCGACATGGGCAGGACGGGGAGGCCGGGGCGGGCGCCAGGCGCGGCGCGCTGAGGTGAGGCGGGGCGGGCGCGCGTGCTCTCAGGGACGACGGTGCGGGTGCCTGAGGATGGGGGTCCCGAGGCTCCCCGCACCGCGGGAGGAGGGGCTGCCCAAGTGGGGGGCGCGGAGCAGCCTGTGGGGCAGCGAGAAGGGGAGAGCCTCCCCGAGAGTTGTGGGGTGAGGGCAGTGTCCCTGGTCCGAGCGTCTGGGCGCCTGGAGAAGGGAGTGCGGGCTGGTAGGCTTTTTCCAAGGTGGAGGTCTGTGCGTGAGCCAAAGCAGGGGCGCAAAAAGCGTCAGTAGCTCTGGGGTTTCGGAGCTGGGAACTGAGCCCTGGCATCTGGCCTTGGCGATGTCGGTGGCCAGGGGTGCTGGTGGCAAGTGAGCTGGGGGTCTAGGATTCCATTTCCTTCTGTTCCCCTGACCGGCCCACACATACCCCTGCCAGCCTCCTCTGAAAGAAGGGGTTCGTCTTCCCGGGCTTGGGCTGGAAGGGAGCAGGGGCCAGGCAGAGAGGAGGAGCCGTTTTCCTCCATGAAGCGTTGCCTTCTTCCCAGAGCTGGCTATTTTTATCCCAAATGTGGCTGCAGAGGGGGCTGGGGCAGGGTGATGGGCAGGGCGACGTGGCTGGTGTGCCTGATGGTTCAAAAAACCCAGGCTGTGTGAGACTGGGGAGAAGTGACAGGGTTTCCCTGTTTCCCCTCTGCCACTCTTGTTCCCTCCCTATCAGAGCCCCGCAGAGGGGATGAGGTCTGGGACCAAGTCAGCTCTCATTCTCCCCAGGGTCTTAGAGGTAAAACAACTTTCCTGCTCCGTGTCCAGACTCCTGACTCCTAAAGGTGTGTGTGGTTCCCTCATTAATTCTCTCATGGGACTCAAACCCAGATCTCCAGGCTGGTGGTGTATCTTGATTACCTCCCTTTAGGGTGGTGGGGCTGGTATGGAACTTGGGATGCCCACCTTAACCTCTCCCTCCACACCCCACCCTGCCGTGCCCACCCTTCCGTCCTCTCCTTAACCTCTCCCTCCACACCCCACCCTGCCATGACTCATACTCAGGACTGGGTGGAGACCCTGGAGAGGGCCCCCCTGGAGGAGGGCTTGGCATCTCCAAAACTGTGGATGAGGTTTTTCCTCTTTAGCCAGGCATCCGTGGCGACTGGTGTTGGGAAGGGTCCGGGAGGAAAAGGCCTTGTGGCATTGTGCCTGATCTGGGGCTCGGAAAGGGAGTGTGAGTTAGTGAAGGGATGACGGGTGTGGGTGACGGGCTGTGGCCAGAGCCTGTAATTACAGAGGTTGGGCAGACAGGCAGTCGGTATCTTTTTCGGCATCCGGCTGGCAGGCTGTGCCTAGGAGGCCCGAGTCAGGGGCACCGATGAGGGGGAAGGCTTTCCACCCAGACAGAGAAAGAGGGGGCGACAGGAGGACCTGGGACCCAGCTGGCAAGAGGGTTGAGGCTCTGTGATCCTGTTTTGGAGGCCAGGCCTTTTACCTTTTCGGGTGAAAGGGACACAGAAAGATGGAAGGAGAGCAAAGGCATGTCTGACTGATGCTCCCAGAGCCTGCACCTCTTGCCATCCCTAGCAGTCTGGGCTTGCAGGGGGGTGGGGGGGGAGCAAGGGCCACTCCCCAGCACCGCTGGGCAAGGCCCCTCAGCTGACCCAGACTGAGAGGAAGTGGTTTGGGGACTGTGTTCAGGAAATGCAGACCATGCCTTTAGTGTGAGCTCCCCTGCAGGAGGTGAGGATGGAAGGCCCAGCAGTTGGGGGATGGGGGTCTTATAAGCATTTTGGGAAGGGTGGAGCCTGCCCACTTGGTTTCCTGAGGTTCTGCCAGGTGTTTCCTGGCCCAGGTTCCCTCAACACCACCCTTTGGTGGAAACTGCTTTCCAGTAAACACAGGGACCACTCATCACCACCAGGAGGGCACATGGGGGCATTCATGGGCCCGGGGATGGGCTCCCTGAGAGCTGTGCCCCTCCTGTCTGGCCACTTCTGTCTGTTCCCTTCTTTTCCCCGTAGGTCTCAGCTTCTGTAATCTGCCAGTCCTCACACAAGTGCTCACACACATACCCCCCCCCATCCATTGAAGGCTGAGGCATGGGTGGGGGGTGGAGGGGGACACCGTGGGGAGGGCCAGAGCTGGGAAAGAGAACCTCCAGGAGGGGTCCGAAGAGCGGAATGAAGGGTTGCCCTTGGCTTTCTGAACTCACGCGTATGTCACCCTCCTGCAGGGTCTCCCATGGGATTGCTGGGACCTTGCTGGGTGAGATGGCACTGTGTGCAAAAAAGCGCCCCCCAGGTAAGACGGGGGCGGCGGGGGGATTGGAATCCCTGGGATCATCAAGATTGGGTGTTACTATGGCTCGGGGAGCAGAGGGAGGAGGGACGACTGGCACTGAGTCTGGAGGAGGGTCGATCGCAGCCCTGCCCATCCTGGCGGGGAGCCTAGGAGGCGAAGTCGTCTCCCGGATACCTGAGCTGGGCTCTCCTCCCCTCACTCTCGGGGCACCCGGGCGCTTAGCCTCCGGCCTGGGGCACTGCGATTCCACCTTCCTTGTAGTCTCCCTCCGCCCTGCCCCCCACCCCCGTTTCCCTGCAGGCGGGGGCGGGATGTAAGCGGTTGCCCGGACAACACTGGCGGCTCCCCCCCGGGGGGCGGGGCTCCGCGGTCTTCGCCTACGCGGCGCTGGCAGGCGCTGCCCTGCGGGCGGGGGGCGGGCAGGGGGCGGAGCCGGGGCGCGCGCCGCGCTCGGGCCACTGGGCGCGCGGGCGGCCGGGCCTGGGGGTGGCGGCCGCGGGGATGGCCGGGGCTGCAGGTGGGGCGCGCGCGCGGCGGCCGGGGCTCCCCTCTGAGCGGCCGAGGCTCTTGCGCCTGCCCGGGGGGCCGCCGCATCCGCGCCGCTGAGGCCGAGGACGGACCGACAGACAGCCCGTCCTCCCCCGCTCCAACCGGGATCATGACGGTCCCCAAGGAGATGCCCGAGAAGTGGGCCCGGGCCGGGGCGCCCCCCTCCTGGAGCAGAAAGAAGCCCTCTTGGGGGACAGGTAACAGGAGGCAGCCCCTAGCAGCTCTCCCGGGTCCGTGCTTTTTCCTCTCACTCTCCCGTTGGGCTCTCCCCAGCTGTCCCTGGTCCTCTCCTTTCCAGACCCAGAGATCCGGCTCCGGAACGGTCTGGCCCCTGCCTCTCGCTTGCACGGTCTCTGGAGACAACGCAGGGGGCTCAGAGCGAGGGGTCCCCGCTGGGGAAGTTTCTGGGAGGGAAGGAGCCCTCCGAGTAGGCGGAGGGAGCCCTGTGCCGAGGTTTTGTTCCTGTGCAGTGCTCTGCAGGGGTCTTTGGAGGGGTGAGGGGGTTCTGTAATGCAGCATTTGGCTCCTGTGCTGGTTGAATGCGTTGTGTTCCCTGTGGCGCCAGGGAGCCCCCCTTTTCAGCCTGTGGTCCTTGTGACCCCCAGAGGTGGTCTGGAGATCCCTTTACAGGACAGCTCCGCGTTTTGGGACATGAACTTGGCACCTGCAGCCCCAGATGAGCGAGTGTTCAGGATAGGTGTCACTCCGTGGGTGGCAGGTGTGTTAAGGGCGAGATGCGCAGATGGCACAGGAGGGGTTACAGTCAGAGCAGCCCTTTAAAGCACATCCCGTTCCTGCCTCCTTCATCGCCGTCTTGTTCTGCATGACCCGCATCCCTGACCCCCCCTTCTCCGACTGGAAGATGAGCTTTGAAATAAGGTGATGTCATTGTGGGCCAGTCAGAAGGCTCTGCGGGTGACATGTGACAAGCGGAGGGGGTGCTGCACGTGGGGCTGTGGGGCTGCCGCAGAGCACTTGCGGAGCAGGGTGACCCCCTGGCTTGCCACCCACCCCACCCCCAGGTCAGGAGGAGGGCAGTGGCTGGGCCTGCAGGGGCTCCTCTTGGTCTGCAGCTGCTGCTCTGGGGATCCCTGAGGCTAAGGTGTTAATTAAAGGGATGGGGGAGGGGAACTGAGTGCCCCTAACAGAAGACCTTGACATTGTTGGTCTTGTCCTGTGAATGAATGCCTGCGGAGCCAAAAGGCCAGGCTGGTGGTGAGAGGGACCGGAGGGAAGAGTGAGCGACACCTCAGGTGGGGCACCAGCTCCTTCAGACTGTCCTGTGGAAGGAGCCAAGAGCCCTCAGTGGAAAACCCACAAAATGGGTAGCCCTGACAGGGTGTTGGGCCCCCATGGGCCCCTTCTGACTGCGGCATCATCCGCATTCTGTTGCAGAAGAAGAAAGGCGGGCTCGAGCCAACGACCGGGAATACAACGAGAAATTCCAGTATGCGGTGAGTGACTCTGGCTGGCCTGCTCCCTCCTCCTGAGTGTGTGTGGGGGGAGTGGCCCCCTTGAGGTGGGGGTCAGGGGACAGAAGCAGCCCCTGGGCCACTTGCCTTGGAGGCTATGCTGATTTTTTCCCACCTTCACGTGGTGGTGCTGCAGGACAGGTGGACCCCAGGAGACTCCCTTCTTGCTGCCCCTTCCCCCTCCCAGGCCTGTGCTTGCTGGCTTTTGGGGGCAGAGGTTTGGGGAGGGAGGATGGAGGGGGCAGCCCTGCCTGGTTCTGGGTGGGGGTGGAGGCTGTGTGGTGATCTCCCGCCTGCCTGCCTGCCGCAGAGTAACTGCATCAAGACCTCCAAGTACAATATCCTCACCTTCCTGCCTGTCAACCTCTTTGAGCAGTTCCAGGAAGTTGCCAATACCTACTTCCTGTTCCTTCTCATTCTGCAGGTAGATCCTTGGCACTCCTGAAGCCAAATGAACCAAGAGGGAGGGGGGGTGGGGGTGGGAGGGGATGGGCGGGGCCTCAGAGCCACGCCCTCTTTCCCTTGCAGTTGATCCCCCAGGTGTCCTCCCTGTCCTGGTTCACCACCATCGTGCCTTTGGTTCTCGTCCTCGCCATCACGGCTGTTAAAGATGCCACCGATGACTATGTGAGTCGCTTCCATTCTCCCCTTCCTGCCCCTCTTCCTCACCCCACTCCCAGCTTGCTCCCCTCTGCCCACAGAGGAGAGCAAGTTGCTGCCATCCCCCACCTGGCCCCTAGAACTGCGGCACCTTGGCCGCGGGCAGGGGGCGGAGCCAGGGAGAGAGCCCATCTGTGGACAGGTGCGCCCAAGGCGGGACCGGCTCGCTTCGCACCCCACTGCCCGGCTGAGTCCCTGGCAGAGGGGGTGTCTGACGTCTCATCTTCGCAGTTCCGCCACAAGAGTGACAACCAGGTGAATAACCGGCAGTCCCAAGTGCTGATCCGCGGGAGGTGAGTGCCCGGTGGGGGCCGAGGGCCTTCAGGGGGAGGGTCCCCAGGAACTTCTCTCGCTACTGACAGCCTCTCCTGACCTCTCATTGCCTCAGCCTCCAGCAAGAGCCGTGGATGAACGTCCGTGTCGGTGATATCATCAAGCTGGAAAATAATCAGTTTGTGGCGGTGAGGGCCAAGGCGGCCCCCTAGGGCTGCACGTCTCCTCAGTTCTCATTGGCAGATAGAAACGAGTCTTTCCTGATTTCTTGCAGCCTCATAATCACGCATGGATTGAACTTCCTTGGGTGGAGCTTTTTTTCCCCGTTTGTTTTATTTATTTATCTTCTGAGGGAGAGCGCATGCGTGCGTGCCTGTGTGAATGGTGGGGGGCAGAGGGCGAACCCTCAGCGGGGCCCACACCCAGTGCAGAGCCCACCATGGGGCTCGGGTTCACAACCCTGAGGTCACAATCTGAGCCGAAATCAAGGGTCGAACGCTTTTTTTTTTTTTAAGATTTTATTCGTTTATTCGACAGACAGAGATGACAAGCAGGCAGAGAGGCAGGCAGAGAGAGAGGAGGAAGCAGGCTCCCCGCCGAGCAGAGAGCCCGATGCGGGGCTCGGTCCCAGGACCCTGGGATCATGAAGCGTCGGAGGTTAACCGACAGTGCTCCCGGAGCTCCCTGAGTGGGGAGCTTCTGTGTCATATTAATACGCCTGGGGCTGGCGTCTTTCTAGCCATCACGCTTGGGACTAAGCAAACCAAGAAGGCTCAGGGGAAGTAGGGATCAGCAAAGAGTGCATCGCAAGTGGAGGTCCTTTGGGCTCCTCACTGGATTTTCTCTCTAGGCGGATCTCCTCCTCCTTTCCAGCAGTGAGCCCCACGGCCTGTGTTACATAGAGACAGCAGAACTCGACGGGTAGGTCAGATGCCCAGCGCCACTCATCTCCTGCCTCCTTAAGGGTAAAAAGCTTGTTTTTTGGAATAGATTCCCAGGTCTGGGGTCTATACCCTTTGGACAATTTTTAGGGCTCAGAAGAGTTTCGGGTATATGGAGATGGGTGATGCCCAGAGGTCAGGTGCTCCCAGGTAGAATCTGGAGGAAGGGATGGGAACCAGAACTTAGGGACACTGTCCTTCTAGGGAGACCAACATGAAAGTGCGCCAGGCGATCCCAGTCACCTCGGAGTTGGGAGACATCAGTAGGCTCGCCAAATTTGATGGTGAGTGACTTTGGAGAAGTGACTTTTGGGTGGAGGAGGTGGGGCGGGTTTTGGGGTTTTAATTGCACCGGCTCCTTTTCACTGGGCTGCAGCTCCCCAGATCTTTCTTCATGGGGGAGTGTCAGCAGTGCAGGGTGGCCCCCGCCTGCTTGAGTTCACAGCCGCTAGCTCCCTCCTGGCTGTGTGTGTACAGAGAAATTCAGTTCATTCTCATTTGGCCCCGGTTGATGATGTTTGCTCCTTTGCTAGAGGAACAAACCATGATCTGTGTGAGAAGCAAGCCTCCTGCACCCCAGTTTCGCCCTCGGGCCAGGTGCACAGCCCCTTCAGTGGGTGTCCTTGCACGCTCTGTGTTTGCACAAACCCAAGCACAAAGCAGTGGGGCCCTGTGGCCCCCAAGTCCCCGCACAGGCCTCTCCTTACCTGCTGCGTCCTTCAGGCACGTGGGCGCCTGGCCATTCCCAGGGACTGGCCTCCTTCCTGGGCCGCCTCACTGGGCCATCCCTCCGCCGCGCAGTTGCTTCTGGTTTTTGGTTTTTCACTTTTCAGTGGCGGCTTCAGTAAACCTGTGGGGACCTGTGCTGTCACTTCTGTAGAGCTGGGCCCCCCGTGGGGTCCCCAGGCCAGAGTGCGCGTGCAACCTTGTCCCACGCACCCGCGCTCCTGCCCCCGTGCTCCTGGCCACGAGTTACTCCGGCTCACCTCCCACAGCCGCGTGTCTGCTCTGTGTCCGCGCAGGGGAGGTGGTCTGCGAGCCGCCCAACAACAAGCTGGACAGGTTCAGCGGGACCCTGTACTGGAAGGAGAGCAAGTTTCCGCTGAGCAACCAGAACATGCTGCTGCGGGGCTGCGTGCTGCGTAACACGGAGTGGTGCTTTGGCCTGGTGGTGTTTGCTGGTGAGCCTGCCCAGCGGCCGGTGGGGAGGCTGGCAGGGAGGGGGTGGGAGCGGGCAGGGAGGGGCGAAGGGGCGGGGGGAGGGGGAGTAGGGGTGGCGGGGCCAGCACAACACCGAGCCTCTGGCCGGAGGGCGGAACCTGAGTGCGGCCCCCCACCCCCCGCGCCCCCCAGCTCTCTGGACTCCAGGGTGGGGGGCAGAGCCTTCATGGGCCGGAGCCCCCCTGCCCCCAGCCCTCCTCTCTCCAGCTCGCAGTGCTCCTTGCCCTGGCCCAGGCGGCCCGTGGCTCCCTTGGCTTCCCCTGTCTTCCCTTCCTTTCCAGGTCCCGACACAAAGCTGATGCAGAACAGCGGCAGGACCAAGTTCAAGAGAACGAGCATCGATCGCCTGATGAATACACTGGTGCTCTGGGTAAGGCTCCTCCCCGCGTCCCCCCCCCCCCCGCCCCGCCCTTGCTCCCCCCTCTCCTCCCTGCTCAGAGGCTCCTTTCGGCTCTCTTTAGGCGGGGAAGACGTTATTTACAAGAACCTTAGGGACCTGAGTGAATCAGGGGTGGACAGAGCTGAAACAGGTCTTCCCTTCTCGAGGTTCCAGTTCCAGTGGCGACTTAGCGCAGCGTGTCCACTTCTGTTTGCGTTTGCCGGGGACAAGGAGCCCTTCACAGGGTTGGAGAAGGAGTTAAACGAAAAATTTCCATTTGGTGGCTGCATAATGAACGGGTCTTTCCCCTGACGTCTCAGAGTGGAGGATCCCAAAGGAAAAGTTACTGTTTTAGTGTCTGGCCATTCCTGAATCCTTGTCTTGTTTGCCTGGAGATTGGAGGTCCTTGTTGGGCTCTCCTCCCCTTCTTGGCGCCCCCGCTGCCTGCTTCCAGCCCCCTACACGCCAGCTTGCAAAGGTTGGACCAGCCTCTGCAGAGCTGGTCCGCCCCTGCCTTAAAGGGTTTGCCAAACCACCCCCCAGAGAGTGGTTAAGTCTCGCACGAGGGCTCGCATCGCCCCCCGGCAGTCCTTGGGCACCTGGGTCGTTCCCGTTGGGTTCCAGAGCATGGATGGTGAGCATAGCTTTGGAAACAGATGTCTGAAATCAGACAGTGGTCTCTTTTTTCTTTTAACCGCCAGGATTTTCTTATGGTCCTGCTTCAGGGACTGCAAGATTTATTTTATTCATTATTTTATTTATTTGAGAGGGAGAGGGCGCATGCGAGAAAACGAACACAAATGGGAGCAGGAGGTGGAGGGAGAAGCAGGCTCCCCGCGGGGAGCCCACTGTGGGGCTCAATCCCAGGACCCCAGGATCATGACTGAGCCTAAGGCAGATGCTGCATGGACTGAGCCAGCCAGACGCCCGATCTTTTACAATCTTTAAACTTTTTTGCTTTCAAATCTAATTTATGAAGATAAAATTTGTTTCCCTGGTTAAAAACTTTTCTGGCGATCTGTATGCGATAATGAGCATTGCAGAAGCCTGGCATTGTCGCCTGTCTGGGGAGGCTAGTTCAAGTAGATGGGTGATTTGCCGTGAGCACCCCGGGGAGAGGAGTGTGCTCGCACCCTCTGACCGTCCGGGAAGGGCTCCCTCATCACACAGTGGACACAGGTGCTCAGCGACAGGACCATGTGACGGTTGGCGGACCACGTGCTCTCAGCAGTCCTGGGTGCTTCTCGGGCGAGCGTGGCGCCGTTTTAAAGATGCCTGAGCCTTTGAGGGTTTGGGGTACGGGCCGTGACCTTCAGGGATGCACTTGATTTTGGGGGCTTCCTGAGTTGCCACCTTGCCTCTGTTTCCCGCTCCTCACCAGATTTTCGGGTTCCTGGTCTGCATGGGGGTGATCCTGGCCATCGGCAACGCTATCTGGGAGCATGAGGTCGGGACGCGCTTCCAGGCCTACCTGCCCTGGGACGAGGCGGTGGACAGTGCCTTCTTCTCTGGCTTCCTCTCCTTCTGGTCCTACATCATCATTCTCAACACCGTTGTGCCCATATCGCTCTATGTCAGGTAGGTGCTCGCTCTGCCTGGGTCTCCCGGGAAGCTCGGGCAGTCCCTCGGCAGACTCTCGGTGAAGGTGGACCCTTGGGGAAGGAACCTGGAGCTCCTTGTGCCTCGAGCATCTTGTTCGCTGTTTACCTTTGTGTGCGGAGCAAGCTTCATCACTGTTCCCGGGCACTTTGGACGGTTGTGACAGAAAGAGTCCGATTTGTCTGGCACGGGTCGCCCGCATGCTGACTTCGGCCGTGCACGCCGCAGAGACATGTTAGGGACGGACCGCGTGCCCAGCAAGAGTTTCAGTCGCGTAGAGAGAAAAATCTAAATGCCTTCTGAAGCAGAACAGGAGTGAGTGCTATGGGAGTCCCTACCCCTTCAGTGAGTGTGAGCACAGGGGATACAGGTGTGTAACCCTGTGTCTGCCTCGGGAGCCGCAGGCTGGGAGGGGCTGCGAGACGCCGAGACCCCGTGGCCCCAATGTGACAGCACAGGGGTGAGGAGCATCAGCCCCTGGATCATTCGTCAGGGAGGGCCTCTCTGAAGAGGGGGCTGGCGGGTGCAGGGGGGCCTGGGGGAGAGGACAGGCACAGAGGCCTGGAGGTGCGACCCTCAGAAAGGTCACCTTCTGGCAGCAGCACAGGGCAGGACCGGGTTCCCGCTGACCTGGTTCCTGACAGAGGGTCTTGACGCTTTGTCATTCCTTAGTAAACACTGAGAGTCCTTAGAAAAGAGTCCCAGGAACGGGTCCGAAGCCTTGGCCTGCGGCGGAGCGTGGCGAGTAGGAGCTCGGGCACATCAGGGATGCTTGAGGCCCGGAGCGTGTGAACAGCGCCGGGCCGGGGGGAAGCTGCAGGATGATAGCCGGAAGAAAGAAACTTCCACGTGCTTACGGCCTTGTCCTCGGGGGCAAGGGCCCGAGACCTGTGCAAGAAAAGCCTGTCTGGAGGCACGGGGCTCTTCCCAAGGGCCCGGCCCGTTTCCTTGACACACACACCCCGGGTGCCCTCCCCTGAGTCCCGGTGCCGACGGCGTTTCTGTGCCAAGACTTGGGCTTTTCTAGAACACGGACAGGAGGCTCCTGGCCGCTGGGGGTCTCGGTTTCCGCATGTAATGTGGGAACGGCCCCGTCCCACCTTCTTCCCCGCGTTGCCGGTGCGATGACATGAGATGCGCATTAGAGAATGAGACAGCGGGGTGGGGGGGCGGGGGGGCTGCGTCCCGGCCGCCGCGGCTCCCTCAGGCCTGCTCAGGCGCTTTTCTGTCATGTCTGGCCCGTCCCCACCCTGGGCTTCTGTCTGAGCTTCGTCCCTGCCCCCGGCGTCCGTGGCGGCTGCCAGGAAAGCCTCTCGCTTTCTGCTCGGGCTCCGGGCTGTGCCGGGGGCAAGAGCCGCTCCTCAGGGAAAAGTCTGAGAAGACCCCTCTGGCCGGTTGGGGTCCTCGGTCAGGCCACACCGGGCTCCAGCGGCGCCCCCCTGGCTCGGTCCCCTGCCTGGGGTGCTGACGGTCCGTGTCGGACCTGGTGGAGGGCACCCTGCCGGGGTCGCCAGGCCAGAGCGGTGGCGCGCGAGACGGTGGAGGAAGGACAGTGCTTGCGGCGGGCAATGGGGGCCTGTGCCCTCGCCGTGTCTCGCTCGTCCCTCCCTCACACGCTTTCTCTTGTTTTCTCTGCATGGTTTCTGTGTAATTAGTCCTGAGGTAAGAGCTGGCCGCGCGCCTTGTCTGCAGTCCCTTCCTCCTCCGCCTGTGCTGTGTGCCCCGCCTGCCCAGGCCCTTTGCCCCCTCTTGTCTGGAGAGCATCACAGGGTCGGGGTCAGGGAGCTCCTGGCGGCCACAGTGAGTGGCCGGCTCCACTTTCAGGCTCTCCTTGCCCTTCCCTCCCAGGTTCTGTGCCCAGGTGTCCGTCCGTCCGTCCGTTCTGTCTGCCCCCAGGCGGGGGGGGGCCTGCCACGGAGGCCCGTGCGGGTGGGTCCCGTCCGCGGCTCCCTGCCCGAGCCTGACCTCCTGTCCCCCGTGTAGCGTGGAGGTCATCCGCCTGGGCCACAGCTACTTCATCAACTGGGACAAGAAGATGTTCTGTGCGAAGAAGCGGACGCCCGCAGAGGCCCGCACCACCACCCTGAGCGAGGAGCTGGGCCAGGTGGAGTACGTCTTCTCCGACAAGACGGGCACGCTCACGCAGAACATCATGGTCTTCAGCAAGTGCTCCGTCAGCGGCCGCAGCTATGGTAGGGCCGCGCCGGGGCTCCCCACCGCCGCTGCCGTCTGGACACGGGCTTGGCTGCCTCCCTGCACGGACCTGTGGGGCGGGGGGCGGAGGGGCGGAGGGGGGCAGCGTCTGCCTTGTGCCCCGGGTCGGGCCGCAGATGTGGGGTGGCGATGGAGTGCTCGGCCCTTCCCGTGCTGCATCCTGGGCCCTCTCGCGTCTCTGGAATGCGACCGTGGTCCCTAGCGTGGCCTTGCTGCCATGGGCTCGTGGCCGGGCCCCGGGGTGATCTGGGGCAGGGGGTGTGCGGGACTCACTGCTTTCTCTACTAACCCGGGCCTGTGGTTTGTGTGTGGGGTTTGCCCGTTGTTCGGCCTGTGGGGTGAAAGGCATCTGGGGGGTGCTGGGGGCCTGGCAGGAGAGCGGAAGGGGCGTGCTGGGGCCGCGGCGCTCGACGAGGGCTCCAGGTGCCTGTGGGGTTCTGCGCTGGCGCCCTTCGTCCACGGCGCCGAGTGCTGATGCGCCTTCACCTTCTGTCTTGTGCGTGTAGGGGACGTGTTCGATGTCCTGGGACACAAAGCCGAATTGGGAGAGGTAAGCCCAGTCACCGTGGGTCCAGTGAGGACGGGGTGCTCTGGCCCAGGGTGGGGGCTGCTGGGAGAGGCAGGTGTGTTCAGGAAGACTCAGGAGCAGGAGGGTGACGTGGGGTCCGTGGCGGGTGGGGTCAAGGGCTGCAAAAGAGCAGGAAACAGCGGGGTGGGGACGGCGGGGCTGGGGTGCAGCCTGAAGGCCGCCCTCAGCTCATGGCCCTCCTCCCGCCCTAGAGGCCAGAGCCTGTGGACTTCTCCTTCAACCCTCTGGCCGACAAGAAGTTCGTCTTCTGGGACCCTAGCCTCCTGGAGGCCGTCAAGACGGGCGACCCCCACGCGCACGAGTTCTTCCGCCTCCTTTCTCTGTGTCACACCGTCATGTCTGAAGAGAAGAACGAAGGTGAGCCCCGGCCTGCCTCGCGCTCTCCTGGCCTGATGGTGGACCTTCAGTCTGCTCTGGGGCGCGGCCAGGCGGGCCTTCCTGGGCGGGTCACGGCCGGGGTGGCCACTTAGACCCTGTGCTCTTGCTGCCCTCCCAGGCGAGCTATACTACAAGGCACAGTCCCCGGACGAGGGTGCCTTGGTCACGGCGGCCAGGAACTTCGGTTTTGTGTTCCGCTCTCGCACTCCCAAAACCATCACCGTGCACGAGATGGGCACAGCCGTCACCTACCAGCTGCTGGCCATCCTGGACTTCAATAACATCCGCAAGCGGATGTCCGTCATCGGTGAGGCTGTGGCCGGGCTGGGGCGGCGCCCAGGGGCGCGGGGCCTGCGGCGGGGGAGGGGTGCCGAGGGCCCTGGCTGATGAGGTCGGTCGGGGGTCTTGGCCTGCCTGAGTTCTTCTGGGACTGTCTCCCCTGCCCCGACCGTAGTGCGGAATCCAGAAGGGAGGATCCGACTCTACTGCAAAGGGGCTGACACGATCCTGCTGGACAGGTTGCACCCCTCCCCCCAGGAGCTGCTCAGCACCACCACGGACCACCTGAATGTAGGTGTCTGGACGGGCCCTGTGGTGCGGGGCTTGCGTCGTGGGTGAGGAGGGGCCAGCTGACCCTCTTGGCTCTGTCCCCAGGAGTACGCCGGGGAAGGGCTGCGGACCCTGGTCCTGGCGTACAAGGACTTGGATGAAGAGTACTATGGGGGCTGGGCCCAGAGACGGCTCCAGGCCAGCCTGGCCCAGGACAGCCGGGAGGACAGGCTGGCCAGCGTGTACGAGGAGGTGGAGAGCGACATGGTGGTACGGGCTGTACAGTGGGCCGAGGGGGGCTCGGGGGGCTTGTGCCGGGACTCTCCTGTTCAGAGCCCTTGTGGTATTTTCAGCTGCTGGGTGCGACAGCCATCGAGGACAAGCTTCAGCAGGGGGTTCCGGAGACCATCGCCCTCCTGACGTTGGCCAACATCAAGATCTGGGTGCTGACCGGGGATAAGCAAGGTGAGAGCCCAGCGCCCGGGTGCAGCCCTGTCGGGCCCTTGCGTGAGCCTAGACCTCAGGCTGGAGAGCGTGCCGAGCTCCTTGGTCTCTGTGGTAGAAACGGCTGTGAACATCGGCTATTCCTGCAAGATGTTGACGGACGACATGACGGAGGTGTTCATCGTCACCGGCCACACCGTCCTGGAAGTGCGGGAGGAGCTCAGGTAGACGCAGGCCAAGGCGGAAGGTGTCCTGCCCTTGCAGGCCCTGCTTCTGTGCTGGAGCCCACGGGTGCCTTTCCCCTCCCCAGAAAAGCCCGGGAGAAGATGCTGGACTCGCCCCACGCGGTGGGGAATGGCTTCACCTGCCCAGAGAAGCGTTCGTCTGCCAAGCTCCCTTCTGTCCTGGAGGCCGTTGCCGGGGAGTACGCCCTGGTCATCAGTGGGCACAGCTTGGTGAGCGTCCTGCCGGGAGCCCTGCTCTCCGCGTGGCTGGTCCATCCGGCCTCGCTCTCAGTCCCCTGACCTCAGCACGACTCCCGGTCTGCCCATGGGAGAGGGGGCTCTCTCAGGCTCTGTGTTCCAGGCCCACGCGTTGGAGGCGGACATGGAGCTGGAGTTCCTGGAGACGGCCTGTGCCTGCAGGGCCGTCATCTGCTGCCGCGTGACCCCTTTGCAGAAGGCCCAGGTGGTGGAGTTGGTTAAGAAACACAAGAAAGCTGTGACGCTGGCCATCGGGGACGGAGCCAATGATGTCAGCATGATCAAGAGTGGGTGTGGATGTGTGGGGGAGAGGGGCTCCAGCCTGCTGGGGTTCTGAGTGTGTGACCCTCTGCTTCCCCTTGCCACCACCTGTCCCCGTAGCGGCTCACATCGGCGTGGGCATCAGCGGCCAGGAGGGCATCCAGGCTGTGCTGGCCTCCGACTACTCCTTCTCCCAGTTCAAGTTCCTGCAGCGCCTCCTGCTGGTGCACGGCCGCTGGTCCTACCTGCGCATGTGCAAGTTCCTCTGCTATTTCTTCTACAAGAACTTTGCCTTCACCATGGTCCACTTCTGGTTTGGCTTCTTCTGCGGCTTCTCCGCCCAGGTAGGGCGCCCGCGGCCCGCTGCATCCCGTCTGTGAGCTCCGTTGGGGCAGCCGTCCTCTGTGTGGCGTCACCCTCCAGGGCCCAGCGTTGTCTGGATTGTGCGTTAAGAAAACACGTACCCAGGGTCTCCTAGTCCTGCGACTTTCAGTCTCGGGCTGTGAGTTCTAGTCCCACACTGGGTGTGGCGTCTACTTAAAGAAAACAGAATGAGAACAAATGAACACTCGTTCAGGGTGTAGAGACGGGCTCCAGAGGATTCCCGAGGCCCCGCTCAGCCGTCTCTCCCTGCCCAGTCTGTGGGGAAGAGCGTGTGCTCACCCGCTCTTGCTCTGTGTTCTCTTCCCAGACCGTCTACGATCAGTATTTTATCACTCTTTACAACATTGTGTACACCTCCCTCCCGGTCCTAGCCATGGGGGTCTTTGACCAGGTGAGGGGCAGGGGGGCCGGGGCGGGCGCTGGGATGGCTATGCTCCTGCCCGGCTGCCGCCGCCCTGGGACTTTCCTGGATGGGGGGTGGAGGCGGGGTCTAGCTGTCAGAGACTCTGGAAGGGAGGAAGCTGGACGGGGTCTGCCCTCAGCGGTCCTGAGGCCCCTGTGGTCCCCGCCCAGGACGTCCCGGAGCAGCGGAGCATGGAGTACCCCAAGCTCTACGAGCCGGGCCAGCTGAACCTCCTCTTCAACAAGCGGGAGTTCTTCATCTGCATCGCGCAGGGCATCTACACGTCCGTGCTCATGTTCTTCATACCGTACGGGGTGTTCGCCGAGGCCACGCGGGACGACGGCACCCAGCTGGCCGATTACCAGTCATTCGCCGTCACCGTGGCCACGTCCCTGGTCATCGTGGTCAGCGTGCAGGTATGAGGCCGGTCAGACTGGGGCAGGCGGGGTGGGTGGGGAGATCGCTCTTCCTGCCTGTGACCACTGTCCTCCTCAGATTGGGCTGGACACCGGCTACTGGACGGCCATCAACCACTTCTTCATCTGGGGCAGCCTGGCCGTCTACTTCGCCATCCTCTTTGCCATGCACAGCAACGGGCTCTTCGACATGTTTCCAAACCAGTTCCGGTTTGTGGGTGCGTCCCTGAGCGGCTCCCCACGGACGGGGCGGGTGCCTCACAAGCACCGTGGGAACACTGGGAATGCTGGCCCCGTGCGCCGGGTGCCCGGCAAGCTGCTGGGGGCGCATCGGGCTGTCTCTGACCCGGGCTGGGCCTCAGAGGGCCTCCGTATCCAGGCCATGGGGGGTCGGGCTCAAAGGGAGGGCGGACCTCCTCATGATCAGCAGATGACTGTTGGGGGGGACTTGGCGGGGGACGGTCCACAGGGGAGGCTGCTGTGAGGCCCACTCCATGCCGGGGAGCCGGAAGTGTAGACGGGGCGGGTGAGAGGTTGGAAAGGTAGAAAGGACATTGGAGGCACCAACACTGGGCTGTTGGGTCCTGATTTATTCCAGTGGGAGTCTTTTTTTTGAGGAAGGAGACGGGGAGTGGCGTTAAAGGGTTACTTCAGAGAGAGGAGTCCGGGGGCCAGTGAGGAGCTACCTTAGTGACTGACGCCCGGCGTCTGGATGGGAGGGGTGGCGGAGGCAGAGAGGGGCTGCTCAGGAGGCACGACGGGAAGGACGGGTGCAGGGGTGCGTCAGTTCCGATCTGTTCTTCATCCGCTGTTCAGCCGGCACCTGCTCTATACCACTGACGGTCCCGAGCACTGAGGGTGCAGCAACTGACGACAGGCACAGTCCTCACTCTCCTGGGTTTCAGGTTTCCATGAGACAGTTTACAAGTTAGCAGATGGAACGTCTAGAATTAATGAGTCTTAGGAAAAAAAATCAAGCAGGGTAGAGAGAGAGAAAGTAGTCAGGGAAGACCCCTTGAGAAGACGACGTTGGCATAGAGAAATCTGAATAAAGGGGAGGAGTGAGCCTGGAGGAGGGACTGGTAGAGGAGTCCTAGGGGGGATTGCCTGGAGGTTCCCCCAGCAGAGGAGGGGTGTGGGGGAAGGTCCCTGCAGCAGAGTTGGGGAGCAGGGAGGACTCTGGAGCTGAGAGGGGGCCAGCAGGGCTGCCCCTTGTCTCTGGGTGACCCCGAGGCCGCCGGCTGCTTGCATCTCCAGGCAATGCCCAGAACACTCTGGCGCAGCCCACGGTGTGGCTAACCATCACGCTCACCACGGCTGTCTGCGTCATGCCCGTGGTCGCCTTCCGATTCCTCAAGCTGAGCCTGAAGCCGGATCTCTCAGACACAGTGAGCCGCTGGCCATATGCTCTGGGGGACTGGGGCAGGACAGGGAGCCCTGTGGAGGGAACGCGTGTGCGGGTGGCGTGTGGGGTGGCCTTCCCCTGCTGTTTCTTGGGATAGACCCCGCCCCCCCAGTGCAGCCTTGCATCCCAGAAGCTCTGGGTTCCTCATGCCCGGGGCTGGGGGCGTGGGGGGTGGTGTCCCTCGTGTGCAGGGTCCCTTGCCTGCGACACCGAGGCTGTCACCAACCCCGGCCCCCTCCCTGCGCTGCCCTGCCCAGGTGCGCTACAGCCAGCTGGTGAGGAAGAAGCAGAAGGCCCAGCACCGCTGCCTGCGCCGCGTGGGCCGCACCAGCTCCCGCCGGTCAGGCTACGCCTTCTCGCACCAGGAAGGCTTCGGGGAACTCATCATGTCGGGCAAGAACATGCGGCTCAGCTCCCTGGCGTTGGCCGGCTTCACCACGCGCTCCAGCTCCAGCTGGCTTGAGAGCCTGCGGCGCAAGAAGAGCGACAGCGCGGGCAGCCCCAGCGCGGGGCCTGACAAGCCCCTCAAGGGCTGAGGGCTGCTCCTGGGGCGCCCCGCACCCTCCCTGCGGGCTCCATCCTGCCCGCGGGCACCTGCGGGGGTGCAGGGTGGGGGCGGGGCCTCCGAGCGGGCACCCCAGGGAAGGGTCCGACGTGGAACCAAAAACTGAAGAAGTTGAGATTGGGTCTGCCCCAGCCCTGCGTGGATCCCGCAGGCAGACTATAATCTCTGTATTTTTTTACTCCCACTCCCCAGAGGGGGCCGAGAGCCTCTGTTCCTGAATTACACAAGAATGTATCACGCCGGGAAGCCAGAGATCTGCTGCGGCCCACGGGCCCTGCACGTTGTGTGTGTCTCTCCTTGATTTGTGTTTGTGTCCAGTTTGGGTTTGTGTTTCTTATTTGGCAGGAGAGGGGGTTTCTGAGTGACTTCTATGTTGTGGGAACAGGAGGCCGGCCCCCAGGGGTACCCTGGCTGGCTGGGTTGGGGGGGATCCAGAGGAACCACCGCTCAGGGAGGAAGGCACCCGTCCTCCTGAGGGGTGTGCAGAGCACTGAGGAGGATTTGGTGCCGTCTCCTTCCTCATCTTGAGAGGGAAGTGCTCCTTCCTCCCCCAACACACGTGTCTGTCCCTGGTCCGTAAGTCCTGGTGTCGGGCTGAGCCCAGGTGCACAGTCCTGTCATCTCTGACCTAAGGCCGATGTGAGATGTCCAGAAAAAGATTTCTGTCATTTTAAATTTTGATCTGAGTTCGTTAGCAGAGTCCTGCCTGTCTTCCTCTTGCATCATCTGGCATTTTCCTGCATCTACACCTGGGACCAGAGACGGGTCTGAAAGGGGAAGTTGACCTCTGCTTCTCCCTTCTCGTACATGGGGGTCCCTCCCCTCCAGGCCCAGCGTCTGGCAAGAGGTGTGGAGGAGTAGGAGGGCTGGACCAGCCGGCTGGGGGCAGCGGTGCCTGGCTGGGCCTGGGCGTGTCTGTCCTTCCTTCCCACCATCTACACCCCAAATCGGGCTTCTGGGGTAGTTGCTCCCAGTTCAGTCTAGGTAGTGGAGGGGTTGCTGAGGGCTGGTGTTGAGTTGGGAGGGGCCCTCAGGTCTCACTCAGTGTGGCAGCCTCAAGGGAGGTGGGCTGGGCAGGGACCAAGGGGAGGGGAAGCTTAACAGGGAAATCCCTTTTGGCCACACAGTTTACAAACCCAACATCATGTCTGTTTGTGTGTCTCTCAAGGTGAGAGTCTGATTTTTATACCAAAGAGGAGATGATTTTTTTTCATATTTGATTTGTCTATATTATATAAATATATATATATATATACAGTTATATATATATTATTTTTTTGGTTCTCTCTCGTTTTTTTAGGGAGGGAAGCAGTACCAAGTTGCATTGAGCTGTAATTAAGGAACATTCTGTATAATTTATGACACATTTCTATACTTGCAAGAATTATATCATTTTATGGACATAAGAGAAAAAAATGCCTTTTTATAAAATTCCAGTTTCTGAGAAGTGTGTAGTTTGTCTCTTTTCTAATCTTTAATCAAGGCTGGTGGTAAACGCCAAAGACTTTCCTAAACGGAATTCAGTGGGTGGATCTGTGCTGAGGGGAGGAAGCGGCGTCCGGGTGGTTTCCTCACCTGTCCTGGGACTGAGTCTCGGCCGGACGGGGCCGTGGCAGACCGGGGCCCTCGTGTGCACCCAGGCTGGGCACTCAGGGCCTGGAACCATTTGCTTTTCAAATAAGCCACCCACACGTTCCTAACACATGGTAGCTGGGTGGGTAAAGAACCAGGTAAATATATGTTGACTTTTTTGTACCCTGACGTCTTGTTTTTCCCACGGGCACCGGCCTCCTAGCCTCACGTCTTCCTGGCTTTTCACAGAAGTGAGCATGAAGGAGCCAAGGTGTAGACCAAGTCTGAGATTCCCAGATGAAGGGAGGTTTCTGGCAGGGAGCAGAGCAGGGGAGGCTGCGTCCCGGGTGTGCTGGGAGCCGCACTCCGTGTCCCGCTGACCTAAGCAGCCCTTCCTGTCACGGTGACCGTCTTCTCCGAGTTCGGAGCAGGTGTGAAGTCGGGAGGGGAGACAGAGGCAGACAGAGGACGCCCCCTCAGGAGAACTTGCCCCAGCTGAAGGCAGAGCTTAACAGTGCCGCCCAGGCGCCCCCCAAATGCCTCCCTGGGATCACCTTTGACCTCCACGTGACCCCTGGACCTTTCCAGGCCTGAGCGTACTTGCTCCCGACTTGGCCTCCCCCTCCCCCTCCTCTGGGCTCTGAGCTCCTTGGTTTATTCCAGGTCCTTAAGTGGCAGAGTCACCGTTGTCGTCCAGTCCAGACGGACTTCTGTCCCCTCCCGGCGCAGCCCCGGCCTCTGCGCTCAGCTCTCGGTCGGACCCCCCAGCTCCTCTCACTCAACACGCCCCACACGGGACCTTATTTTCCTCAACTTGGGCTCGTCTTGCCGCAGGGCCCCCCGACCCCCGCAGTGAGGGGCGCGCTGTCCTCAGGCCGCCGGCACCGGGCGCCACGCGGGTCCCCAAGGGCCGATGGCGCGCGGAGGGAGTGCGAGCACGGGGTCCCGGCCGCTGCTGCGGGGCTTGTGGCCCAGGCCGGGTCGCGGGCGGCCCCGTGCCCGCCCGGAGGAAGAGACTCAAAACAGACCCTTCTGCCGGGAAGGCGCCGCGCTCAGGCCGGCCGGGCCCTGCCAGGGGATGGGGAGAGGCGGGCGGCGGCTCCAGCCCCTCCAAGCCCGCGGGAGCGGGTCCCTGACGAAGACCCAGGACGGGGGTGGGGGGGTGGGGGGCGTGGCCTCCACTTCAGGGGACCCTCCGTTGGGAGAGGCCCGGCCCCGTCCCTCTGGAGCCGAAGGGAGGGGCCGATCTCCCTCCCGAGGTCTTCCTGGGCCGGAGAGTCTGCAGAGATTGTCCACCCTGCTATGACTGGGGGCCCTGAGACACATTGAGAAGGACACTTTCTCTGTCCCCCGGGGCCCCGTGATGGCTTGTGTGGGCCCGAGTATGGGGAGGAGGCGCGTGGGACGCCGGGTTCACTGAGGTCCTGCAGGGGTGAGGAGGGGGCTGCCGGGGAAAGGAAAGAACCACGGATGCGGGGCCCTGGCTGGGGTCAGGAGGACTCCGGCAGCTGCTCCCGGGGCAGGAAAGGGGCCCCGAAAGCTGGGTTTGCAGGAGCTGGAGCTGAGGTCTCTCCTGGAGGAGAAGCGCCGACTCCCAGCAAAGCAGAAACCGCTCTGTGAAGACAGAATGGACACAGGGAGATGACAGGGGACCTCAGCCACCCATGACAGCCGCTCTCTTGGTCCAACCCCACCCAAGAAGCGACAGCCCTGACCCTGACTCTGGAACTAGGACACTAGAAGGAGCCAACTCATCCCATCAGGTGTTCTGCCGCCTCTCAACTGAGAGTTGTTTTTTTTTTTTTAGATTTTTAGATTTATTTTAGATACACATATAGAGAGTGTGAGTGCACGAGGGGAGGGGCAGGGAAAGGGACAAGCTGACTGTGTGGGGCCTCATCTCATGACCCCAAGACCATGACCTGAGCTGAAATCCAGAGTTGGACACTTGACCGACCCAGGCGCCCCCCAGCTGATGGCTCTTAACCACATTGTCTCAGGAGCCCCTTTAAATTGGGCGGTAAGTCGCTGGGGTGCGTGTCCGGGACCCATGGGCTCCTAGCAGCTTGTCCTGGGGCACTCGGGGTGGGCCGGCCTGGGGCATGGTGGGGCTGGGGTGAGTGACACAAGGAGGCCCGCACACCACTTGTGTAAGTACTGAGGGACTTAAGGGTTCAGGCTAACAGATGTTAGAGTATGGTCTATCCCCTACCTTAACAGATGGTAGTTGTTGTTGTTCTTCTTTTTCTTCTTCTTTTTTTAAGATTTTAGTTATTTACTTGAGAGAGAGAGAGAGCACGAGCAGTGCGGAAGGACAGAGGGAGAAGCAGGCTCCCGGCTGAGCAGGGAACCCGACACAGGACTGGATCCCAGGACCCTGGGATGGTGATCCGAGCTGAAGGCAGACACTTCACTGACCAAGCCCCGCAGCGCCCCGACAGGTGTATCTTCTCAACAATTTGGAAGGCCAGGTTTGTATTTAGAACTTGCCACCCATGGCTTCCCGACCCTCAGTCTGCGCCCTTTTCTTCCTGTCACCCGCGCCCCCCCCCCCTCCCCCCTCTCTTGTGCACTGGGAGAGACCTGGTGTGCACACAAGCCGACACCCGAGCTCACAAGTCCAGGCTCCAGTAGCCCACACCTCCCACCCCGGTGGGGCCAGTGTGCGTTCTGACCGAGAGGCTGCCTACCTGAGGACAGCATAGGTCCAGGCAGGGACCCGGGCAGTGGGCTCAGGGCTACTTGGGCAGAAAATGCCAGGGTCTGAAAGGATTTCTGCTAAGCAGCCCGTCTTTCAGTCTCCAAGCTGTGATGGGCTGATATTTCTACAAAAGACGATGTATTTTATTAGCAAGGGTACTGGCAATACACTGTATTACACTGCGTTACTGGACAAAGGAAAATGATCAGGAGCTTGGATGTTGCAGCAAAGGCGAATTGCAATAAAATTTCCATGTGACTGGGGTACCTGCGGCTCAGTTCAGTTGTTAGGTATCTGCCTTTGGCATAGGATCTCAGGCTCCTGGGATCGAGCCCCGCTTCAGGAGGGACCCTGTTTCTCCTTCTCTTGCTCCCCCTGCTTGTGCTCTCTCTCTCACACTGTCAAATAAGCAAATAAGATCTTTAAAAAAAATTTACATGTGACTATCTTTTTTTGTCTTGCTTTTAAGATTTTTCCCTTTATCACTATATTCTGTCGTTTTAATTGCAACATATCTTGGTATGGATTTGCTTCTGTTGGGGGTTCTCTGTGCCTCCTGGATCTGGATATCTGTTTCCTTCCTCAAATTAGAGACGTTTTCAGCTATTAGTTCTTCTGATAAATACTCTGCCCCCTTTTCTCTCTTCTTCTTCTGGGACTCCTGTCATACAAATGTTATTACTTTTTTTTTTAAAGAT